GATCCAGAGTTCAAATAGCTATACATTTATATGGGGAGGGTAAAGTTAGGGCATTGGGGGAAAGATCTTAACTGATTTCAAAGCTTCTCTAACAACTGTGTATGTGAACTGATGTATTTCTGTTTATATAACCAAAAAGTTTCAATCTATCAGCTCTATATAATTCTTAAGGAACACTATAGGGTCAGGAACACAAACGTATTCCGGACCCTGTAGTGTTAAAACCACCATTTAGGTGGCCCCCCTGTTGACCCTCTTTAAAAGGTAATAAAACTTACCTTATTTCCAGCATCTGTCGGGTCTGCCGGCGCTGGCCCTGCCCCCAATCCACCTCCTCGCTGACATCATCAGGATTTATACTTTTTAACCAATCCCAATACTTTCCCGAAGGGAAATCAGGAAGGAGGAGTGACGGGGGCAGGGCCAAATGCTGGCTTGGACCATCAGCACCTCCTCAAACAGATGCATTGAATCAATGTATCTCTCTATGAAAAAAATTCAGCGTCTGCCTACTGTGCAGCATTGCCACAGGAATACCTCCAGTGGCCAGTGGAAGTATCCCTAGTGGCATGAAAATGCCAGCAGAAAATTATTTTACTCACCATAACAACTACATTAAGCTGTAGTTGTTCTGGTGACTATATTGTCACTTTAATTACAATATACATCCAATGTCCTGTAATCTATAACTTCCTAACTTTACATTAAGTGAAGAAATGCAACATGCTAAGCTCCCATAGGCAGTTATCATAAATAATAAATGTAATGAAAGAAATTTCATATATAAAATATACAAAAATCTCTCATTTTATTTGTGGAATACCTTTCTTTAATTACTTTCATTAATTAACTTAATTGATTATGTAAACATTTGAAAATGCTATTGCTTATCTTTCTGGCTTGCTGTTAGTGCTGGGGTTATGTATCTTTATTTGGTTTGTGTTTTACCAACCTGTTGGAACATACGAGGCAAAGAATACAGTGTGCACAATGCACAATCAGCACATGCAGCAAGTTCCATGGCTTCTTAATGACATATGTCATTCAGCGCCGTCATCGCGCACCAGTTTAAAGACCCTAGAACAGATTATTATCCATCAGCAGCTTTATAGAGCCAGGTTAATGCGGAGTTAATTGGACATTGCTTGCTGGTGCTTTATCTATAAGGATCAGATTGCTATATTGGCATAGAGACAGATCTTCATCAGCCCTTCAAGAGGTAATAAACTCAAAAGCAAGCACTGTCATGTGATATATCTATTGCAGCGTATGCATTTGCTTTCTAGGTGGACATGACCTTTATTCCGTCAGGTGTTTTTTTTTTTCAACCAGATGTTAACTGGTGCATATAACTGCTAAATATATTAACCAAAAGACTCAATTAGATTTTATTGAATAAAGTAAATATAGCATAAATTACATATAGACAATGCAATGTCCTCTAACAATGAACAGTGGACCACTTGTGTTGAGCTGTGCATGAATTAAACCTTAAATTAGATCATCCGAATAGAGGGGGAGAGTGACTACAAGAGAGAAGGAAATAGCTACACATGAAGGAGGAATTTGACAGGTTTCCATTGCCTGTTGAATTTGTGTAGTGTTTTAGATGGTAAACGCCTCTCCTGGTTCAAGCAAGAATACTTTTGAGCAAAGTTGAACTAACCAGTTCTGTATTTTGGAAGCATAAGGGTTGGGGTGTGAAGCGTGTAAACTTTATGTGAAGATAGGTATCAGGATGACTGCACTATTTACAGCATAATTGTTTATAATATAAACCTGTGAGTCTCAGTATAATAAAATAACCATAAGGTGTATAGTATTCTTATTTGTTGCTTCAAACCAGTGCTCACCCTTTTGATGGTGAAATAAAGAAGCACAAGAAGAGGAATAGAATATGTGAGTGCTGATGTTTTGTTATGTTTTTGGGATACAGGTTATGTGACTGTCCCCTACCACCACAGAATAATATTGCTAGAATTGGAGTGCCCCATCATGATTCTGCTTTTGTAAATCCATCAAGGCTGGGGCTTTTCTAAGTCATAGTGGTCTTGAACTGTTATCTCTGTCAGGGTGAATATTGTGCTTAAAGGGACACTTCACTGCCCAAATACAAAATAAATAAAAATCACTGTTTAGTAGATATAACCCCAGTGAAGACGTGTATGCATTTAGTTATGCATTTATCATTGGGGATACATAAAAACCTCTTGCAGAACCTGTAGTTCTCTTGTCTACTGCCTTTGCATGTTCTCCCCTTCTAACTCTGCCTAGACTTTCTGTGACTGTCAAATCACAGCATTTCCAGTGCAGCTCAATGAGAAGTCTTTGTAAGACAGGTGCTCTGTGCAATTGCTGCCTCTTGAGTTTAGCTCCACTGAGCTAACCAAACCAGGAAGTAACATTATCTATTGTCTTCTTGAAAGCCAAGGGGGTGCAACTAGGTTAAGTTATAAAAGTGTTAATTTCTATTGAAATCTGCATTGCTTGCAATTTTTTAAAAATAGGACACACATTCACACACAAAGCTTTTCAGCAAATAAAGTGCTTTAGTGGTCTGGAGGGTCCCTTAAAGATTAGGGAGGTACAGATCATTGAGGTATTTATGAATATTGAATTTTTATCCTCCCCTATTAAACTAAGTTGGTGGCATTGCTTAATGTTATATAACTTAACAATTTTACCATGTTTTGTCAGGCACGGTGTATGAAAAGGGACACCGTAGGTACTATAACCACTTCAATGGATTGAAATGGTTATGGTGCCATGGGCACTTTCACATCTGTTCTAGAAGATTTACTCATCATTTAGTTCCTGGCAGCCTGAAGCTCGGCCTCCCTGTATGGCGGAGGCAGAGTTATGCTTCCACTTCACACGATACCAGCTCTGGGACTGTGGTAGTGATTGACCGAGAACACGCAGTTGGCACTCTCAGCCTATTCATGCCTGTTAACCCTGTTATGGCATGAAGCTAAGCATAGTTTTGCCTCTACCATTTTTTCATTGTCCCCGGGCTTCAAGCTGCCAAGCATCGAAATTCTCTACTAAACAGCCAGTAAAACATTTTGTGTAACTTACAGACACTAGGCACCATAACCACTTTAGTTTGTTGAACTAGTCATGGCGTCTACAGTGTGCTTTTAACTGTCAAGGAGTCACGAATGCTTGATACCACTGTCAAACCTTCTTCATCAAAAAGCATAATTGGTGGTCCATATTAAGATCATCACATATAAATGAAACATTGATTTGATCTAGAATTGATGCGAAGAGTTTTACCAAGCAGAGGAGGAACTCCAGTTTGATGCCCTCTTGAATATACTACAACTTTCTGTTTCCCAGTCTCTTTTCCTTTATTAACTTGACAGTCTCTCTTTCCCATTGCCATCGGACTTTCGCCTCCCAGTTTCTTCTTCTTATCATATTGTTATACTTTTTGAGGGGAAACTGTGTTGGTGATGCTAGCTGTAATGTTTGCGTCAGAGTCAAATTAATGTAGGGACTGCTGGAGGTGAAGATCATGCCCACACATTGCAATAGAACAAAAATGCTTTGCTTTAATTTTTTTTATTTTCTCTTTTTAAAACTGAAGTGCTCAATACCATCTTCAAAGTATAGCCAGGAGGTGCACTTAAGCTACATGGGAAACAGAAACACAGACTGCCCATTGCAGCAATGGAAGGGATTCCCCGTGCTCCGTGACCCATACACCTCTTGTACTCAGCCTTCCCCCAGTGGATTTGTCTGTGCCTTAGTTGCTTGTAAATATGTATTTTACATTCTTAAAATTTACTGTTTCTAAATTCATATAGGGATGTTTCCTATTTATGGCTACAAAGCCTCAATACAAGGAAGCGGTCAAGCCTCTGATTTAAAAAAAATATTTTTTTAAACACACGAAGATCAAAAATCCATATTTAGTAATTGGGCCCAAGGTAATTTTCAGCTTCAGAACCCCATATCGAGCACTGGTTTGTTTTAGGGAGCTCTGCACAAACAGGATTTAATAAAGTAAAAATTGCCTGGAATTTAAAGTTAATTTAAAATTTAAGACCAGAAGAGCCAAACTGGAAAAATAATAGACTTGGAGAGTTCAGCTATTTTGTTTACAATTTTGAAATTCATTTAGAATTTCTGGCAGTTCTCAATTTAGTAAATAACAGTTGTGCATAGCCAGTCAGAGGTTCCCTAAAAAAGGTGAACCCTGTGTATCATGGTTACATGCTCATATGGGTTCTATTCATTTCAGCACAGGTTAGGTTAAATATGTGTTTAATAATTCACATGTTCCAATGATCTCCACTATATTTTATAGCCCTGGTTAAGTAGCCATGCTTTGCAAAGAATTTGTTGACCGTCATCTATATGATCCTTGTGAAACTTCTGTGTGGTTAAATTGTATTAAGATTTTGAATTAACTTTTCTTTTTTATCGTTTTATAGTTGGCGGCAGTGAATCATTAAGGCAGTACTGGAAGATGTACCTTCCCAGAGCACTGGCAGTGATTTATGTTGTGGACTCAGCAGATCACAGTCGCTTCCCCCTTGCCAAAAGGCATCTTCATCAGCTGATCCAGCAAGATTCTTTGTTGCCCTTGTTGGTGCTTGCCAATAAACAGGTACTTTCCAGTTTACACCCTTTTATAATCAGGCATGGACAGTAGTTTAGTTTAGACAATAACCGAGATTAAGAGAGACAGTCCAAGAATCACCAAAAGCTTGCCCTATTGGTCATACGTGCTTATGAGGGCTCATAATGTGTAACAATTTGTCAACTTATCCAGTTTAGAAATTGGGGAGAGATTGTATTTTCTTGATATCGTTGCATTTTTCAAAAAGTTATATAATATATAAGCCTTCAAAGAGCCAAAATTTCGCACACAAAAATTTATAATTTAAAATCTAAAAATGTCTTCTGCAGTGCTAGGTACGTGTTGGATTTTAAGGAATGATTTAAAAGAACACTCTGGTCACCATAACAACTTCACTCTTACCTTAAGGGGTTAAACCATTCTCAATTTGGTCAGCATAAGTCTAGGGTCTGAGGAAATACCTTGTACAGTGCAAAACGGGTTAGCATTTCCCTCCTTTGTGCCTCCTCTGCACATTGTGTTCTAATGTATTTTTAATACTTTGTGTTCAACAAAGAACATCTCTAACTGACCAGATTGAATCTGAGGTTTTTGTCCAACATGTGGAGCCAACACTATGGAAGCTTTAGTTGTCCTGAACCTCATTTGGATCAAAGTGATTTAACTCTGTTAAAAATAGAATATTTGAAGGGACACTCCACTGCACAGAAAAAAACTAAACATTGTTTAGTAATGTACCTCAATTGAAAGCATGCATGCATTTAACAATGCATTTTATTATTATTATTTTTTATATTGGGGTATATCACGTGAACGCTGCAGTTCTCTTGTCTGCTGCCTTTGCAAGCCCTTCACTTCTTCTCCAGTCCAGACTTTCTGTGACTGTCCATTTGCAGGCGTCCCAGTGCAGTTCAACGAGAAGTCTTTGCAAAGAATTCACGCTGGGTAATTGCTGCCTCTTGAGTTTAGCTCCACTGAACTAAACAGACCAGGAAGCAACAAGATCTGTTGTCTGCTTTAAAGCCAGGGGGTGCAACATGGTTTATTTATAGAACTGCCCATATCTATTGAAATCTGCATCTTTTTGTAAAATAAAATAAAGGCACATTCTTCACACACAGAATTTCATCAAGCTAAAGTGTTTTAGGGGTCCAAAGTGTCCCTTTAAAGAAATTGCTCGGTTTCGAACACAATTTGTAACTTAAACCTAATTGAATTTGTATTCAGTAGTCAAAAAATAGTGTTTAACTCAGCTGTGCCACAAATTCATTTCTTAAATAAATCCAATAGGCATCACACTGATGCAGCAGAAAGGCCAAACTTGACAAGGGCTTATACAGCTGAAACATTGATATGCTGGATACTGCAGCTTCAGTGTGATGCCATACACTCTATGTGTAGAGGAATAGGGGATCCCCAGTATGGAGTGCTATTGCTGAGCTCCTTATTTTTCTAAATTCTTAAATGTATCACACACACATTTTGTGCACAGCAAGTTTTCAGATTGTGGAAGAAACACAAAAAGTATATTTTTACTATTGCTTATGTTGTTATTTCTTTCTAGGACCTTGCAAATGCATACCACATCACTGAAATTCACGATGCTCTGGCACTTTCTGAAATTTGCGTACACAGGAAGCTATTTTTGATTGGTACACATGCGACAATGGACGGTTCTGAAATTTCTTCTGGTATCGAGGACACTCGGGAATTTCTCGCACAAATCATTTCTGAAAACTCTGCTGTAACAGTATAATCCCCAGTCACTCCACCCCCAATATCCCCAACACATTACAAAACATATTTAAAAAATAAGCAAAACCTCTGAAATTTACTACCACTCCAAGTTTTTGTGCTCCCTATGGAATATTGCCTCTTCCAATAGATGGAAAATTGATAGTAGAATAGATTAGAAGAGAATCTGACCATGCATTAAACGATGAAACATCTCTTTATAGCCCTTCTAAAATGTTATATTTACAATTCTGTTATTAAACAAACATCTGTTTCAAAGTACAAATGTTTCCTGTAAGAGACAATCAAAAAGCTGAACCATATCCTACACGCAATGGTTCACTTAGCCATCCTGCAAAATGTTTTTCATAATGATCTCCATTAATCTGTTATTCACGTTGGACAGGTACACATTATTTATGTAGTGAATTCAGTAGAATCTAAACATTTGGTGTTGGCAATAATGATTTTGGTTAACAAAAACAAACAGTCCATTAATTTATATAATTTGCTTTTGATTTGAGAGCTATTCTATATTTATAGATCTTACTAAAACTATTACGGTTTGCTAACTTTAATATTTGCTGTCAATATTGAATCAACCTGTGTACTTTGAATGATTTAGAGCAGGGGTACCAAAAGTCAATTTACCCAGAACAGAAGCCAGGTCAATGTATCCCATAGGAGTCATAGAACCCGACTGCCAGATGTGCATGTACACACACATGTGCTTACTCACAAATACACACTCCAATACAAAAACAAAGTAACACTCAATATATGTTACCCCCATTCCAATCACATGTAGCATGGTTGAGCTATTAATGGATTCTGCTACCCTGCACTGTGTGTGCTTTGTTAAGCCTCATCACTAAAATCCCAGCATGCAACTACAGAATGCTGGCACTTTCATCGAATAAGGCTGATAGGAGCACACAGTGGAGGGAACCTCGGCTCGCCAGCCTCCTCAAGCACAACAAATAAGAATGCAATTGCAGGCCTGAGCAGATCAGGCTACCTGAAATCCACAACATAGAGCGGCATGCCTCTTACTTTGACATGCCTCTCTATTCCAGCATGATTAGCCGTACACCACATGGGTACTTTGAGACCCCTGTTTTAGAGGGATTGCTTACACAGCAAGGCACTAGACAAATCCTTATATATCATTATGTTTCTGGAAATTCAACTCTTAACATGTTGTGAAGTAGTTTAAGCTTCTAGATGGTTTTGCTTAATTACATTTACAATATTACAACTTTTTACACAACGGTAAACTGTAACTAATCCAATAATACTCTCATTAAGACTGGACTACATGGTTTGAATAGAGTTACATTTTGGGTGAGTATCACAATTAATAAAAGGGCAGAATTTATAAAATGAGATTACTGAATACTACAAACATCGATTTTGTAAATTATTGTTTTTAAATTTTATTTTTATTTTTTTGGATTTAATACAGTTATTGCACATAAGTAGTTGTGCTTTTATTCTTATACAAGAACATGAATAAAAACAAATTGTAAATGGTTTGTCTTTTTTATTTTGAATGAAAACCATGCTGTATATTTTTCTAATATCAAAATAAATGAAGTCAACGTGCTGTAAAATGGCTTTCTTTAGAAGCTGAAATTAAAAGAAATCTCCAGAAAAAAAGGGGATGATATATGCAATTTTGTTTAGCTAACAGTCCAGAAGAATTGATTTTCAGTAGGCCTCTCTATGCTAAATCATGTTCTGACAAACCCAGCAAAAATGCATTAAATGAACACTGTATTCCTGAACCTATAGTGTTAAAACCACCATTTAGGTGGCTTGCCCCCCTTAGAAGGGGTTAAAACTCACCTTGTTTCCAGCGCCAACCTGGTCCACCGGGACTTAATTTGCACTTCCCGGCCTTCCTTCTTCGTCAAATTAGGAATTAAGCAGCGTAGCTAGCTATATATTTCCTAGAACTTCTACTGAACAAGATTTTGCTTGCACCTATGAGTCTTACATATGAATTCCATAAGAGAACTGGAAAACACTGGAGGCATTGGCCCTCTGGCTGAGAAGTGCTAGTGAAATGCCCCATCGTGATTCTGTTTAATCAAGCAAGTGAAATAAAAGCCATGTGTTGAATACAATTGAAAAGTTTAGCAACCAAATTCTATCACCCAAAATATTAATAACTGTGAACATGAAATATTGGTCCGAAACATTAGATTACAATAATACAAACTGCATGCACAGAAAATGACAGTGGCAAACTATAGGTATAAATGGTAACAATTCTATAGTAACACATGATAATATGGCTACTAAAAAAGACTGGACATACCCCACTTGCAATACCTTGAGTTGTCTACTTTTGCAAATGGTATGCCATCATGGGAGTAATTCTCATTCTTGGGCTACCATATGATCTCAAAGGTAACATTACCAAACTGGCAAATTTCAATGTGAAAAAACAGAAAAATGAAATGTGCTATATTTTACCCTGTAACTTTCCAAAACACCGTAAAAACGCTTAATGAGGGGTATTGTTTTACTTGTGAGACATTGCTGAATACAAATCTGTGCATTTTATTGCAGTAAAAACTAACCGTATTATGATATGTACAGCTAAAATGTCAGGCAGAACTACAATGTATTTTAAAAAACTTAATTTCTCACAGTTTTTTTTTATTGTATTCATAATAAATTATGTTTCATATATGAATAGTTCATGAGAAATTAAAGCCCTGTTTCTCCTGAATAAAATGATATTTTATGGGTGCATATAATATGAAAGAGGTGAATTACGGTTGAACAGACATATAGCGCAAATTCCAGTTTTTGTTTACATTTTGTACTATTGACTCCGTCCTGAAGGGGTTAAAGAAGGAGGCAAAAATTCTATGGGGGTATGTTTGTAAACTGTGTTTCCATCAGCTGCACGTAATCAGGCTTGTTTAACCCCTTAAGACCGGAGGGCGTACTATTATGCCCTATTTTAGGCGGCTCTAAACGCCGCCGTGCGTAATAGTACGCCCTCCGGTCTTTCATTACTTACCCGGTCACCGGCGGTCCCACACCGGCGATCGAGGTTGGTGGGACTCCCAGAGAGCCCCCCCGCAGCAGATCTTCCTCCTGGCAGCCCCCCCCGGCCATGTGAGAGTGAGGTCCTTGCGAGGACCTCACAATCACATGGCCGGGTTAGCTGCCTGCTGCATTGCCAGCAGGGGGGGCTGCCTGTAATGACAGGTAGTCCCCCTGCTGGCTGGAAATAAAATTAAATAAAATTAATAAAAGTTAAAAAGTGTAATAAATATATACTTAGATCATATATATATATATATATATATATATATATATATATACAATATATATATGATCTAAGTATATATACACATATGCATACAAACACATACACTGTCTAGGTGTATTTTACTATTAATATATATATATATAATTATTGTTATATATATTTATATATAATATAAAAAAATTAAATATGTAAATACGTTAAAAAATAAAACTAAAAAATTAATTAAAAATAATTAAATATATAGATGTGTGTTAACTGTATTGATATTAATATATATATATATTTATATCAAAATACACGTAGAACAAAATAATATATATATCTATATACATAAATATATATGTATGTATCACTATATATATACATATATATATATATATATATATATAAATAAAAATTATTTTAAAAAATTATATATATATATCATACATATATATAGATATACTTATACTAATTCTACATATATATTTATGTAATATTTTTACATAATTAGGTATCTTAATTAATTACAATTAGCGGGACCTGCCTGACAACCCATGCCGAAAGTAAAGGGAATTTAATTTGTTAGCACTATATTTAACCCTATAACTTTCCAAGACACCATAAAACCTGTACATGGGGGGTACTGTTCTACTCGGGAGACTTCGCTGAACACAAATATTAGTGTTTCAAAATAGTAAAATGTATTACAACGATGATATCGCCAGTAAAAGTGACGTTTTTGCATTTTTCACGCACAAACAGCACTTACACGGACGATATTATTGCTGTGATACTTTTTACTGTTTTGAAACACAAATATTTGTGTTCAGCGAAGTCTCCCGAGTACAACAGTACCCCTCATGTACAGGTTTTATGGTGTTTTCAAAAGTTACAGCGTCAAATATAAGGCTTGTGTTTCATTTTTTTCACATTAAAATTCGCCAGATTGGTTACGTTGCCTTTGAGACCCTATGGTAGCCCAAGAATGAAAATTACCCCTATGATGGCATACCATTTGCAATAGTAGACAACCCAAGGTATTGCAAGCGGGTATGTCCAGTCTTTTTTAGTAGCCACTTAGTCACAAACACTGGCCAGTTTTTTGCATTTTTCACACACAAACAAATACTAACGCTAACTTTGGCCAGTGTTTGTGACCAAATGGCTACTAAAAAGACTGGACATACCCCATTTGCAATACCTTGGGTTGTCTACTATTGCAAATGGTATGCCATTATGGGTGTAAATTTCATTCCTGGGCTACTATAAGTCTCAAAGGCAACGTAACCAATCTGGCGAATTTCAAATTCAAATGTAACGTGCTATATTTGACCCTGTAACTTCCCAAAACGCCATAAAACCTGTACATAGGGGGTACTGTTTTACACGTGAGACTTTGCTGAATACAAATATGTGTATTTTATTGCAGTAAAAGGAAACAGTATGACATTGACAGTTAAAATGTCATGTAGAACTAAAAAAATCTTATTTTCTCCCATTTTTTTAATATTAAATTAGGTTTCATAGCTAGTTATTTGATATTAAATGAAAGCCCTGTTTCCCCTGAATAAAATGATATATAATAAGGGTGGGTGCATTTAATATGAAAGAGGTGAATTACGGTTGTACAGACATGTAGCGCAAATGCCAGGTTTTGTTTACATTTTGTTTCGTTCATAACTTGTAGATTTGGCTCTGTCCTTAAGGGGTTAAATTGGGTCACAACTTTGAAGGTTTTGAGGGTGTCTTGACAATAAAACATTAGACATCCAGTGCCAAAATTCTACATTGGAGGTTAACCAGGTTCTTTTACTCTGGAATTAAGTTCCATACCTTCATTGAAACATTTCATAAAAGCAAGTTACTGTCTGTTTTCCGCATCAATTGTAAAAAGGTGTCAGATGTGGGCGCCTTAGATTACAAAGTTCATTCTGGGTGTACTTTTTCATATTTGCAGGCAAACTAAAAGCACTTTTTCTCTGCTAAACCATCATACATTCTTACTTGAACAAGCTGCCAAAACGTAAGACGAATCATTATAGGCCTTCTGGGTCTCCTCTGTTATAGATCTCATTATGTCAGCCTTTCAATCCGGTATCCTCTTCAACCCTTATTTATATTAATTAAATGCACCATGGGGATATCAGGAATTTACATTTTCCAGTTTGAAGCTCATTCTGCCTGAGACGCCATGGCCTCAGGCGTTTTCTGTTGGCTGTTGATTAGAACATCTGAACGAGATCTGTCTGCAGGTCCAGGGAGTCCACTTTAGGGAGTTTTACTTTGAGCCTATACATCATGTTTCCACTGTTGTCATTGTGCAACTTTCCACTTGCGTTATAGTTGCCTCTGTGCCTTGAAATAAGTTTCAAGAAGTTTGGAAAAAAATGACTTTATAAAACACAGGGTGAGTTTTGTCCCATTGTTATTATACATTTCTTACCGTACCTGATTATCGTTATATTGTTTGTTACCCCGTGTAAAGAGTTTTGATTTTTAGTAATTGTAATAACCTAGTTTTACTATCTTCTACCCTTTATTTTCATTTTTTTCTATAGTAAATTCTCCCGAAAGGAATGTGCAGTTGCCTCTGTGGTGGGTAGTTGGATACTTGTTTGAATTTATGGTTTCTACTTAGTACTTTACATCAAAGTTCTTTATAAGGTACCCACAGTTTTAGCATATTTTGGATTGCAGGAGCCTCGATACTTCATCTTTTCTATTCTCGATGTTGACTTTTTCAGTTGAATAGAAAGAGGACATTAGAGGGACCTTTTATTGCATTGGTAGTGACATGTTTTCACATAGCAATGTTTGGGGGTGATGTCACTGCAGATTTCTTTTCAGTTCATATTTTGTTAGTTTGTTCAATTCTCTTTGCTGCTGAAGGAAGTAAAAAAAAAAAAATTTACCTCAGGAGTTTTCACATCAACTTTTTATTATACTTACTGTGCTTAAAAATATAGATACATTTTTGTGGATGAGGCAATTTACCATGCCACAAATAAGTTCCACCTTTGATCATTTTGTCAGCTTCTAATCCGTCAGACATTTTGACAACTGATCAGGAAATCTGGGCTTTGTCCAAATTAGGCAAATACAATAAGGGAAACCATGCTAAAAATCAAACTATAAACTGCTTCAAAAATGATTTGTCAAATTTTCTGTTAATGATATTCACTCGTTCTCTATAAATATAAAAAATATCGTCTGGAGAAATTAAGCAATGAGAAAAAGAGGGTTTGAATTATCATTATGCTTAAATGGACACTATAGTCATCAAAACAATTACAGCTTATTATATTTGTTCTGGTGAGTAGAATCATTCCCTTCAGGCTTTTTGCAGTAAACACTGTCTTTTCAGAGGAAGAAAATGCAGTGTTAACACTACAGCCTAGTGATAACTCCACTGGCCACTCCTCAGATGGCTACTAGAGGTGCTTCCTGGGGCAGTGCTGCAGAGGGAGCAGCACTGCCATTCAGTGTCTCCACCCTCTGCATGCAGACACTGAAATTTCCTCAAAGAGATGCATTGATTCAATTAATCTCAATGAGGAGATGCTGATTGGCCAGGGCTTTTTTTTTTACTTGTACTGGCTCTGCCCATGATCTGCCATCTTGACCGTCTCAGCCAATCCTATGGGGAAGCACTATGATTGGCGCAGACATGGGAAGTTCACAGGAAAACAGGGACAGAGCCAGCAGCTACAGATTTGAATACAAGTAAGATTTTACTATATTTCGGGAGGCAAATGGGGGCCAGGGTGGCTAGATGGTGGTTTTAACACTATAGGGTCAGGAATACATGTTTGTGTTCCTGACCCTATAGTGCTCCTTTAAAAGTGTGAGACGATACTTTTATCATTCACTGTGGTTATACTCTACGATGCCCCTTTACCAGAAACATTGTTTTTTAAGGCTGGTGTCCCTTGCATATTTATATTTTGTTCTTGTCCACAGGCTTCAGATCTTCTTTGACATGACATGACAATTTCTTTGACATGACAATTTAAAATTTTATACCAGTTTCAAATATCTTCCTTTGATTAGCTTAGACTCAGTTGGAGTGACTGCATAAATAGGACAAAATACTGTGACATGTCCTATTCTACAATAAAACCAGAATTAGGGGGGTTGATTGACTCATAATTAACAATCCCATTATTATTTAACTGAGATCTGGTCATCAATACCTTTTACTTATCTATCTCATGCCCCGGTTCGGGGACTACTTTCTTAGCCCGTGATATATTTTCTTTGCACTTCCTCATAATAAATAAAAAGTATATGTGTGTCAGGCGCTTCAACAAACACAAGGTGACACCCCTAGTATATAAAGTGCTTTCCCCAAAACACTCGGATAAACAAACCAATAAAATAAATATCTATATACTAGTAAGGAGAAAACCTTTTATAGGAGATAATACAACCGTATTTCACATGGACCTAAAGAAACAGATATAATACAACATAGTGTTAATTATCCTCTCCTCTCCATTGTTTCTGTCTTTTAAAAACCACCATATGGGGGGCAGGGCCTGACCGCTGAGAGGAGAGGACGCAGACCTGGTTAGCTCCTGCTATGCAGCGATAATTAAGCTGAATTAAGCCACCTAAACGGGACCTAACCGGCCCAAAAATGCTACCAACCAGAAGATGACAACCAGGGGCACACAACCATGCCACACAAGCGACAAATTTGGTATACAGCACCTGCCCTTCCTACGAGGCCTACACGCATGGTCGGCGTGAGGGAGATGGCCGCACCGCCGCTGACATCCACGGCTGACAAGCGGAGACCAGACCCTCGCCCCCCCGGACCGGTGGGGGTTATCCCGCTCTATCCTTGGGAGACCCTGGCACGACCCGGCGAGAAAGCTGAGGAGACGCAGGGGCCTGCAACAATCGGTGGCACTACACCTAAAATGGCGGAGGCAGCATGCTCCCCCAATACTCACAGCGAGCAGCCAGACATAGAGCATAGAGGACAGGGCCTTCCAGGCTTTATGGGACAAGCTGTAAGCCCTTATGTTACCGGAGAACACTAAGGCAGTGCCTGTCACCAAGCCACGTACTCACCCAAGCGAGATCAAACAGGTGCAGGCACCGAGCCGCCCAGAAGGTCGGAAGCAGCGAGACGCTCACCAGCGGCAGGAGACCGAAGACCTGTCAGATGGCAATAGGAACCGGCAAGTAATCGTGCGGAAGCGCACATCAGCCCAACCTCCCACCAACTTAACAGAGAGGGCTTGTCCCCAATGATTATGGCAGAAGTGCTGGAGGAATGGGAGGCCGCACAGCGAGTACCCCCACCAGCGACCATTAACTTTGCCGCCAAGCATAGCTCACTTACAGCGGAGCCGACCTTACACGCACATACTGCAGTGCGGCGGCCCCGAAGAGGGAACAAAGGAGACACCCAGCAACAAGCCATAAAGAGTGACGTCCAACTACCTCTCACGACGCACACCAACCTCCAGAGGCACAGATGTGGCAGGCTTACCCCAACAGGGCTGCAGCCCAAGGGACACCAACGAGAGGCTCACAAAGCCACCATGGGGGACACTATCATACCAGCAGCTGGCGTGGGCTAAGTGTATCTCAAGTTCTTTCAGCTAACTGTCCTCTTCGTGCTGATCTATTTACTGTGGGACAGCCTAGCACAGTTAATTATACCAGTGTTTTAATGTTTTTGGTTCTGCCTAGTGGGTACCCTTTGTATGCCTTTACGCTGTAACGTACACTGGACTTAACTGGCTGAGCGCCAAGAGCACACACTGCACCTTCTCATTTGATTGAATAAGTTCTTTTAACTTGCCTTAAAAGTTGCAGTGCCAGCTCCCACCACACATTATGCATTAGACACTCTAGCCAAATACATGCCTTACTAACATGTAATTTTGTCAAAGCTAGGAAGGATTTCCCCAAGTGAATAGCTAATTTAGCAGACAGAGTAGGAACTGCCAAAGATGGGGTACATTGGCGTTGTGGCAGGCTTATGCAATGTATGATCATATACTGTAACTAAACCCCCATTATTTTTTGCCTAGATTAGGTGTTTTTAATAAAACTAACAAAATTGTTCAGCACTAAAATAACTGTTTAGTAGATAAGTGAATGCGCTGGAAATCATTTTTGCTATTCTCGTTTTAAACATCCTCGTTGTCATCCCTATATATTGCAGTCCACATGGGCACCAGAGGAGGTTGACATTGGAAGATTGGCAAGTGAGGATTTGTTTAATCTTAAAAGTCTTCTTCGTAGAAAAAGAGATAAAATCTATGCACTTTTGTTTCTTAAAAACTGTTTTCCTACACGCTGTACATGATTTACATGGGTAAAAACCCACACTTGGAAAGTCCATTATCCAGTTCTTCCTTGCTGACAATCCTAGGAATTGGATCGTTTAGTCCTTAGTGGCACCCTACAGTGCATTATTCAGAGCCTGGGACAGCTCTGGGTCATGTGAGTGAAACTCCTACTACACTGATCCCAATTATAATTTTTTTATACAGTTTATACTATGTTGTGTTATTTCTGTTTCTTTAGGTCCATGTGAAATACGGTTGTATTATCTCATATAAAAGGTTTTCTCCTTACTAGTATATAGATATTTATTTTATTGGTTTACTTCCTCATAATGTCGAATTGCATCCTAAGCGTTGTGGAAGCACAAAAACACAGTGTGAGTGCAGATGGTTTAAAGGCATGAACTTATATTATAATATTTTGTACATTTGCTTGAAATGTTGCTAGCATATTACATGTATGATCATATAATTATTATTTATATTGGGAAAACTATAGTTTTTGCACTACAGGTACATTTTAATAATTCAAGTCCTCTTAACTCTTAACGTTAACTCTTTAAGCTATAATGTTACTTGTGGCGTCATTGTATTTTTGTTCACCTGTATGGAGGCAGATAGGGGGGAAGTATGTAGGGAGATATACTTATCTGGCGTTCATTCTCCTAGGTGCCACCATATTTGGCCTGTATCACTCATCAGGAGCATCATCAACTGTGTATTCTTGTTGAGTGCACAAAATGGGGGTGTGTAGAAGATTTCACAAGACCATAGGATATTTCATAGATCTTTTCATACATGTGCCATAACATGTCATTAACATCATGCACATCATGCTAGAAGATGTCGTGACTGATAGGTGATTGGAAATGTCAGAATACGTTGGAGGAATCCATTTTTGCCAACAATCCTTCACGAGGCAAAGTAGCCCCTACCTTGTCTTAGGATGTGTCTTTAATTGTGATAGAATTTTAAAGTAATTACGTCAACCAGAGCTTTTAATTAATTGAAGCAAGAGTTGTTGGTTTTGGAATAGAAATAATTTACTCAAAGTACAGTACATACTTCTCTTTCATATGATTTATATTCACTACATGAAATTGACCACTAGATGTCAGCAGAAGCATATAAAGAAATATACATTATCAGCACTTACTGACAATGAACACATAGTTTATCAAATTCAGTGCTGTTCAGATTACCTATAGTGCCAACTGCCAAGTATTTAAGATTGTTTCCAAATATATAATGTAATCGTCCAGTACTGAGTAGGACAGACATATGTGGTAGGTTTTAAGGACCCTGTTTCCAATCTGCAGCTTTCATCAAATTTTCATTTTTTTCCCCACTGAATTGTTTGCTTTTCTCCGGTGACCAAGATTTTTGTTTTATTAATGCACTAATTTAGTTAAACCATAGAGAGAAAAGTATGTTGAACATCAGTCCATGTAGGAAGGTATTTAGAAGTAACAGAAAATATTAACTTACAATATCTGAATCAACCATTATTTTTAGGATTGAAGCCAGACACTGGAAAACAGCATGAAATGAAATTAGTAATAAAAAAATAAATAAATGAGTGTTAAGTCAATGCTGTAAGAATTTTTTGAATACTGAGGAAGCAATGGTTTTGCCGAAGAGGGCAATTGGAAATACAAAAAAGATGGACATAGGCAATGTTCCAGTGATTCAGTGTCCCTAATGGACAATGAGGAGGAGCATAATGAAATGCCCGAGGCAGGGGTTGGCAACCTTAGATGTGTTCTACATGTCCCATAATGCTCTTACAGCTATATAGTTAGCAAAGCATCAGGGGAGATGTAGTCCACCAGATCTGGCGTGCTGAAGGTTGCTGAAAGCTTTCAGAAATATGCCACCATTTAAAGCACTGGAAAGACAGACTTTCCTTACATCTTTAGTAACTAGGAGAGACCCCTGCAGGTTTTGAGTTTTATGGCGTTGGAATCCAGGAACTGGCCCTAGTAATGTAACTTATGGCAAATCATAGGCAAATGATATGTTTACACCAAGAAGCCCTCAGACTAGCTGCTAGCGTACGAAGACTCTTATGACGTATGCTCAGCCTGTAAATCCCAGGCTGAGTTATTACAGCAAGGACGATCAGATCACCTGAGAAAAGCCATGAGGGATTAGAACCATGTCAACAGGCATAAATATAGATGATAGCTACGTAATAACATGCAGTAGTAATTCCTGTTGACAACACAGAAGGTTTTATAAGGTTTCATTAGAGTGATGAGCTTTACAATGGAAATGTGAAGTTGTTTGACCTCTTCTATGCTCCTTTCACCAAAATAGTGTACTTTTTAGAAAGATATAAACCTTAAAATAGGAGTACAGTATTGAAGACTGCTCCTATATTGCAATAGAATATAATATTGCTTTAAAAATAACCACGTAAAAGAAAAGGAGCTTAAATGTAATAAGTCAAATTTATTAATAAGAAATACTCAAAGAATAATAAAATAATAATAATAATAAATAAATAAACTGATTAAAATACAAAAATATAAGCCAGGAACGAAAAGCAAGAATGTTACCAGCACAATTGTAGTCCTTGTTTGCAATTTGTATCTGGGACCGGCCAGGATGAATGTGGATACTTTGTGTCACAAAAGTTTTCTCTGGCTGTCGGCTTGTCAGTGAGGTCGGCGTGCGTCTCAGACCTCACTCTGAGAACTGCACGTTGCAGGATACGGTGGCAGAATCCAACCCAGCAGTAGGACCTTGGACGCATCGAGGAAAGCTCTCACAAGTTGGGGACCAATCGGGCTCCTATTACTCCGATTTTACTCCTATTTTAAGGTTTATATCTTTCTAAAAAGTACACTATTTTGGTGAATGCTCTATTCTGTCTATTCTTCAATAGACTTAAAGGCACAGACACCATATATGGTTATATTGCACGGAGAAATTTATGTGATCCACTTTTTTCATCTTATCTCTCACTATTAGAGAGAACAGTTCTATATACTGTTTCTCAAATTCCCTGGAGTTGTTATATGTGAAGTATAATATCTGGTGCTTATTCCATTTATTCTGCCTATAGCAGATTTAAAGGCGTATACACCATACACTACTGTTGCATTTTTTTCCAGTCCCTCTTAGAAAATATTGGAGTCCATCTGAGTGAATTTTTATATTATCACGTTTTAAGGTGTATACTTATACATCTCTCAAATACATTTGGATCTATATAGAAGACATAACATCATTCAAAGCCATTTTAGGTGGATCAGCTCCTGGAATATATATATCAACTAAGGTTGTTATATTATCTTTTACTACATATTTAAAAACTGTGTCCAGTTCTCTTGACCTCATCAATGACCTTTGTCAATGATCTTTGTCAACTTTCAGACTTGACTAAAAACATCCTCTAGGGAGCCTGGACCTGCGTGCTCTAGTTAATTCTGGATTATTATTGTTATTAGCATTTATATAGCACCAAAATATTCTGCAGTGCTTTACAATTATAGAAAAAGGATATTTTAAGGCCTTGCTCAAATGAGCTTATAAACTATGAGGATTCGAGATAGGTGTTCCTGGGAAAGACATCTAATGATATATCTCATAAGGTGATCTGACTGGGATTTGAACCTGAGTTTCCCAGTTCTAAGCCTTGGTTACATTGGTGCCTGGAACAGGATTTGAATGCCGACATTTAGATGTCCCACACATTTCCTACACATTGTCCTACATTATGTCTCTCACACTTTCCAATTAAAGAGAGCCTATCACACCACTAATGTATATTGTTCTGCTATATCCGCAAGTCAATGATTTCCAGGTCAGCAAACACCTTTTTGTATGCAAACGTATGAGGGGAATGCGTCTTAAACCCCCTCCCCTTCCCAAATACCATTACATTTGTGATGTTAACTCCATTCTGCATTTGTTTAATTCCAGGATTAATAAAGATGTGTTACTATTAAAACAGTTGTTTTGTGAATTTCCTGTTTTGCCATGTCTTATTTCTTTCAATGTGTGTCAGAAACGTTGTCCATGTCTCATAGATAATTTTCTCCTGCGGCAGTTCTTTAGTGCATGTTCTTAAAGGGACACTCCAGGCACCCAGACCACTTCTGCCCATGGGAGTGGTCTGGGTGCCAACTCCCACTACTCATAACCCTGCAAGTGTAATTATTGCAGTTTTTTATAAACTGCAATAATTACCTTGCAAGGTTAACTCCACCTCTAGTGGCTGTCTACTAGACAGCCACTAGAGGGTCCTTCCTGGATTCTAGCACAGAAAACCTGTGCTAGAGTGTTGCAGGACATCCTCACGTGGTGTGAGGACCTCCAGCATCGCTCAATTCCCCATAGGAAAGCATTGAAAAGCATTTTTAATGCTTTCCTATGGAGAGCTTGTGACGAGACCAATCTCGCCACTGTGCATTGGAGGACCCTGGTTGCCCGCCTGCTGCCTTTAGACTATGGCCCCATGTTGAAACGCTTGATTTTCCCCTGCAAACACACCAGATAGCTATGCCATGGAGCCCATTCGTATAATGAAAGACTATGGGAAAGACTTTGGCTCCATGGCAATTGAACTGTATGTGTGTGATCTGAGCGCCATTCAGTAATAATGTGTGCTCAGATCTGAGCTATCTGGGGATATGTTGAATGTACCTGTTTTATGCAATGGCTGCACAGTTATATATTTTTATGTATTCTATTGTCTTTTGCTGCCATGTGTTCAATGGAGTTTTGCCTCTGTCCTTGTAGATAATTGGATTACTTCCCAATTATCTCCAGGATAGAAGACTCTGTGGAACTGGTTTTGGGCAGAAAAGCCATACTTCATTTTGTCACAAAGGACTACGATCTATCTTTTGAACCACTGGACCAATTTGTATGATTTTGACGTATGTTTGCATTTGGAGTATGCTGATTCTGTAAATGTAAGTTTATGTGAATGTGATGCATACTTTTATGAAAATTATGAATAATGTGGGAAAACATTGTGTAAGGTAATTGTATTACAGGCAGAGGGGAGGATTGTGTGTGGAAGTGTCTGAGTGTATTGTACGTGTTTATTGGTTGTTTTCCAAAACCCTGTGGGTGGTACTAATGTGTAAGAATGTGTATATAAGAAAAATAAACCCACAGCTCTGTCTGTTCCTGCTTGACCCTCAAAACGGAGCCTTCTTGGGGGGATTTATTGTATGCTGTTCCAGTTTGTCTGCTAGGAGTGTAAACCTATTCGTATGGTTCCGGTTCGGCTGTTTACAGCATTCATATGGTTTCCTGTTCGGGTGGATTGGTGTCTACAGTAGCTGCCTGTATATCTGGAAAGGAATGTAGCGGAGATGCAATATTCCCCAGGTTATCTCCGCTTATAATCCAAGTGAGGCTCAGGAACAAGTAAATAGTAAATCCACAGGCAAGGTTTCCAGCAGGTAAAATAACAGCAATATCCCAACAGCAATCCCAATAACTGGACGACACACAGTTTCAGGAGCAGAACTGAAATCTTTTAATCCACAGTGTCCTTTTAAAGCATGCTCCCATGCAAGGGAGGGATTTACAATCATTAGTACAGTAGCCAATCCTGTCCTGGTAACCTCCCACACATCTCCTCCCCTCAGCCAGCATCATAATCCCCTTATCCAGTCTAGCAATTCCCCCCGTTTCTGGATGTACCCCTAAATGTAGGGGTACCCCTTTAAATCCTACATCCCCTGATAGCCCTGATCTGGGTGAACAACATATCCAAAAATCACCCAGATCAGACCAGGGGTCCGGGAAATTTATGGAGGGAATAAAATGACCGACCGCACTGACTGAAATAGCCGAATGCGGTTCCATGCGAATGGTCGGTCCTGGAATAAGGGAACAAACTGCACAAAAGCCTCTAGCTATAGAGGCTAGGGAGGGTTCGCCTGAATCCCCTCGTTCGGTTCTTTCTATCTACCGAACGAGGGGCCGTTCGGTAGTTTGGAACCGAACGGACCGGGCTTGTGGAGGTTTCAGCGGTGTTCGCCTAGTCGAGTGTCCGATTTGAGTTCCAGACACTCGACGGCAAAACACAGCTGTTCGGGAGTTTTAAAATGGCCGCCGCCACGTATTTGTCAAATTGGCCACACCCGAGAACAAAGGATGGCTACTTAACTTGTCAATTACCCGTTCGCAACAATGTTGCAACGGGTAATTGAGGACATACTTAACACAGGGGAGGTCTGATTGTTCGGTAGTTTCATTCCCTTAGTTTATTCGAATGATTCTACCGAACAATCAGAGGAATACAATGCTTTTACACACATATAAAACTAGCAGATCACACGAATGCATTTATTCACAAGACATTTGCAGGACAGCCCAGTGCCATCCGCTACAGGGAATATCTCCTAAATGGCTGTTAACCCCTTTTATACCTGGGGGTACCGTTACGGAGCTCTAATGCCGCGCATGCGCATTAGGTTTCCTCAGCCAGCGGGCGGGATCAGTCTCGCCCACCGGCTGACGTAATCACTGGGAGGAGCAGCAGCGAGCAGTAACCACCGCCGAGGGACATCGGCGGGGTCTCAAGTAAGTGACCTGAAGTGGTTTTCACCCCTTCAGCAACTGGGGATTGGGAGGTGGGAGGGAGAGGGGACCTGCAGTGCCAGGAAAACTGATTTTTTTCCTGGCACTGGAGTTTCCCTTTAAGACTGCAGAATGGTTATCACAGTGTTAAAATGCATTACTTTTTTTTACTGCTTTTAACATGTATAATATGAGCTTTATAGTGACATAAAATAATAAAGTATTTTTTCAGTCAATCCGAGGTAAGGAAAATATAGAATTTAGAGAGATTTATAAAACTAGAAACAAAAGAATTATATATGTTATATAAATGTTTATATGTTACAGAAACGTTTTTTTGTAACACATAAGTTCACAGCAGTACAATACACAATACATATGAAATAGAGAATCACTGGGGACGTGTGGCACATTTTCCCATTTCAAAGACCATTTATTTGATTTTCACTCATTTATTTATTTTCATATATGTTCACTTATCTTATAGTATAATAACAATTTATTATAGTCCCTTGCATTATTACAATATTTGTATGCGCAAGCTTTTCCTACATATTGATACCAAATGGAACGTATAAATCTTTTTGTAATGTAGTGAGTGTAAGATAATTTGGCCACTAAATTGACTGCAAAATTTAGAGACTCTTAAATGATTCCCAAGTGGAACCATAAAATCAGTCTAGATAAATCATGCTGGGCTGGAATATTCGCTATTGTTGAGCATCTCTGTTTTTCTTGGGCTTTTGTACACGAGTCTGCACAGCTGTCAGTGTATTTTTAACTGAACAAGCTTGAATCTAAAAGATTCTACCATGTTCCATACCCGAGTTAGCCTCGAAAATTATGTTAATAAACACATACATTTAAAACTATTATAAGGGATTCCATGAAAAAAAATCATCTCTCTATCTAATCTACTTATACTTACTAAATTCCATTGGCAACAAATAGCTAGGGATGCACAGATGTTGAATTCAGTTGTTGGGTTTAACTCAATGTAACTGTTTTATTAACCTGCAGAATTGTGGCAGATTATGACATTCTAAATTGAGTTGAAGAGAACAGCCATGTTAGTCTGTCAACTATTATATCTTTAATAAATAGAACCTTTAGGCGTTTCGATTTCACTGTTCAGATATATACCGCAAAATCGTCATACCATCTTTGCCAGATGCTTGATATAGCTTTTATTCTATACAAATTAGATGTCCACTGTTCATGAGTATTAGAACCCCAGACAACTTTGCTGTTGACAGCTACAAACAGTGACCTCAAAATAAAATGATGCTGAAAAAACAGGTTTAAAAAAAAAATCAATTTTCCATATAAGTTTACAATAAATATTCAATTAACATTTTATTACACGTGATTCCACAGTCAAAAAAACATGTAGTGGGACTAATAAATATAATTTGCTAAACTTTACTTGAGATATAGCAGTTCATATTTATCAAAGAGTGGTATTGTAAAGATAATGAATAACGTAAGAAATGCTTTTAGAAGAATAAAAGACAAATGAAAAAAAGAATTAGGAATAGGTTTCATGAAGAGGAAGAACGAGATGTTTACTGTTTGATAAAGCTTGTATGGAGGCTTAGAGCAGGTGTATCACTGAGAAGATATGGTGCAAGTGGAGGCAGTGTGGGGTTTTTAGTTTGTGAGATGGTTAGCATTTAATACGCTGTCTGCAAAGCTATCAAAACTGACATGTAAGACTTTTTCGTTTATTACTAGCCTTTTAAGTGAACTTCATGATTTTCTCCTCTAGTGGCCTCCCTAGCCACTAATCTATTCACTCACCTTAATAACCTCATCTGGATTAGCTAATTAGGAGGCTTGATAAGTCTACTCCCGGCACAAAACAGTGCCTTGACATTGAAGTCTATACTCTGATAAAGAATCTCTATTCCTAGTAATATCCTGTATTTTATCTACATTATTTCATTCTGTAGAGAACTTACCTGCAGTGCGTCATCCTGTACTCATCTGCATTTCCTCATACTAAAAGGCACTAACCTGTATTACTTCATCCTGAACTTGTCTGAATTACATCTTACCTAAAGACTTTCCTTATCAGTTTCCAAGAATCCTGATTTGAGGCATATTGCCTTCATTGAAGAATCTTAACTGCTTCAATTGCTGCATCACTGCATGATCTCGTAAACAACCTGCATTATATTATTTTGGAATATACCTGTTTCAACCTCTACAACTCTGCATGATCCTATATTGCCTTATCCTAAAAGGTATTTACCTATAACTAGTTAAATTGCAAAGTATCCTGGAAATCCTTAACTACTTGGTATAACTTCAAGCCTGCTTGTATACAAAAGACTCTTCATTTACTTTCTAAAGATCTTGTTTGTGGCATATTGCCTAAACCCTGTTTTTCTCACAAAGTATCCTGTTTGTGGCAGACTGCCCTTTATTCTTTATTTCAGTAAATTTGTTAGGTCTAATATGACAAAAAAAGTTTTAACCAATAACCCTTGCAATAGTCTCCTCTCTGACCTGCTCAGAAGCATGACACTATCTCATTTGTCTTCTAACCATTTCTTATATTACACCACATAAGTCATATTTACTTAAGTACATGCCTTTAGACAATAAATCTATCTATAGATAAATCATTTTAATATAACTTTAATGTAACCATTACATATTTGTTAAATATTTCCCTTTTGTCATGTGTGACTTTTTCCCATGTTATAAATTCAAAATATGTCACATCAACCAGAACTTATATATGCATATATATATATTATATAAAAGCAGTTCATTTTGTTAAAATAATTATACATATATAGACATATGTTTTACTCTCAGAACATCACATTCATTTTTGTAGGAAAATATAAACTCCATTTAAGTACAAAATGGTGTCCAAAATCACTCCAGGTACAGCTGCTTAGTCCATGACTGATCCACATTCCGTCGGTAAACCCTCTGATTTTCTCCATTTGGCTAATCGGGCTTTGAACCATTCCTAGGCAAAGAGAAACAAAACTATTTGTCAGAATTTTAAGTCCATGTGCTGAAAACAATTTCCAGTACTATAGTTAAAATGGCAAATATAATAATGCAGATTTTTCCTTCAATGTTTTATTGCTGTAAAGATTAGGAGGTTAACTATATCTGTAATTCATTAAAAATTTTATCACAAAAAATAGGTGATTTGGTAAAATTCTTCAACTCTATTTTTGTTTTTTATTTCACTACAATTCAGATGTGACAACACAGTGTGTTCTGTTAATTGAATTTTAATGACACTGCATGAGGCTCCTGCAGGATATTAACAGAGCAGGATATAAGATTCTAAACTAAATAGTCTGCGCAATAAAGAAAGTTTAAACGTTAGATCTCTCTTTACAAGAAATGTGTAGGAAGACTGTGTAGGTCACATGCAGGGGGCTTATAGCAAGAGCTCATAAGGGTAGAGAATTGAGCTGTGAGACTGCAGGGGCAGGATTTAGACACCAAAACAACTCCATTAACCTAAAGTTGTGTGAGGGGCAAATAAGGCCATATAGGAAGTAAAGGGGAAATAAGTCGGTTGAGGTGTGCCGGAACCGACGTTGTGGTAGGCCTGTAATAAAAGAGGGCCCACCCATGAGGTGTAATGAAAGTATAGATAGAGGGAGTGGAGGGTGGGGACATGCGAGTCGCTAAAAAGCGTACGGGAAGGAGGAAGGTGAGTAGGGGGGGTTTAAATAGGTACCATGCCCCTCCCATGCCCCTCCCACAACTGCAGGCCAAGCCTTAACATTTGTGTGAGGGGCAAATAAGGCCGTATAGGAAGTAAAGGGGAAATAAGTCGGTTGAGGTGTGCCGGAACCGACGTTGTGGTAGGCCTGTAATAAAAGAGGCCAAAAAATTGGGTACCTGTCAGAAACGAAAACAAACAACAAAACCTAATTGCTTAGCTGTATGGTAAAAGCTGAGCGAGGAAAAAGTTGCCCAGCACTTTAACCAGGTCTCTTAATTGTGCATGGGGAAGTAAGGTATATTAAATGTGTTGGCCCCCTAGGTTAGAGTAAATGTGGGGTAGAGAAGGTAATCAGTAGACTGCATGAATAGGTGAGACTTCCTAAGATAATGCTGCAAGAAGGAAGTGGTGGCTGTGGAAAAGTATAGAAGACCCAAGAAACTGTGGAAGCAAGAATAGTGGCACAACAACTAGATTACAAAATTAAAATGACTAGTGACAAGTACAGCCTGCCTCTCATTTGTGTTTAAACGGTTGATCCAAAAGAAGGTGAAAAACCCAGACTGAAGCGCTGCCAATTTGCAACAAGCTGGGAAAAAAATTCCTTCTTGACCCCAGAATGGCAGTCAGATTTCCATGGATCAAGCAGTCATTGCCCTACATTGCGGGTTGATGCCCGGTTCATAGAGACAGGCATTTAATAAGTCTGATAGTGAATGAGATACTTGGATGTTGATGTGAAATCTGTAAATTTGAAATTCCTGGAACCTGAAACACCTTGAGTATGCTAATAGTCTAGAATGAGGACATGAAACTGCGTATGAAAGGTAAACCTGTACAACATGTGGAGTTGTGAGCCGGATAGGTAGAGTTGATGCAAGTTAGAGGTGGCAAAAGAAGCAAAACCAAAAATGCAGACAACATAGCTACAGGAACAGCATCGGTAAATTTGAAAAAGGAGCCTCAAAGGGGAAGAAGACCCCCCCAAAAAAAAGAGCCAGACGTGAAAAAAGACAGCCACGCGCTAACCAGGCTGGTAGCCCATGGTCAGACCCCCGAAAGGTGCTGTAAGCCCGGATCGGAACCAGCCAAAGTGGCAGATGCCAGTTACCCCAAACTGCCATCCGACACCGCCCCATAGACGACAGCAGCGAAGACAACCAGGGGCGAAAAGGAGAAGTACGAGCGAACTCGGCGCCCCCCACACCACAGTGTGACCAGTAGGGTGCGGACTGAGAGTGCAGCCGTCTGAAAGGCTGCCAGGAGGGGGGGGGGGAAAGGGACTCGCGAGAATCGCAGCAAAGCAAGGAAGGGCCCAGGACCCGAAAAGGTAGGAGTAGCCAAAGCACCACAGCGCGAAGAGGTACCAGACCAAGCCAGAGAGCCCAGGTGGACAATACCACGCCGATGCCTGGCAGCAGAGACCTGCTAAAAAAAAAAAAGAGACGGCGCATAAGCGACCCAATGCGTGTGTGTGCGCGTATGTGTATGTGAGCTGGCATTCTAGCTAATACCAAAAGGCGAAGCAATTAAAACTAGGTTAAGGGACAGATGAGGCCCTGCTAGATGCCAAGCAGCGTGAGAGGCTCTATCTATGAGTTGGCACGAGGGGATAACGTGGCCACTGGACGTTGTGGCGGGGTGTTGGCCTCTCTGTGACAGGTAACATAAGATAGAATGGGAGTGACAGGTGAGGCCCTCCATATGTCACAATGCGAGGCGACTAACTATGATTTGGGCCGAGGGGTGTAGTACCTCCGAGTAGGAGGATGGGTGTTGGCCTTGCGGGACCACTAACCTAAGGCGAAGAAGCCAGGGGGAATTACCACTAGTGGACACCTAGGACCCTGACAGCCAGCAACAGCTAACTAATAGGGGAGGGATACGAGTGAGAGAGGGGATGAACTGTGATGACAGCGGGGGGGTGGGGGAAGAGGAAAAACGTTGACCGACCGTAACTGGATGGCAGAGTGGGCCTGTCGGAGACCAGGTGGACAGGCTGCATGGAGTACGCATGGAAAACGGAGAATAGAAAGCATATACACGTGTCTAGCCCACGGGCTCATAAGGCCAGAATCACATGCCCGGTAACAAAACATAGCGTTCCTTCCGGCAAATAACATAGTACAAGTATGGTGGTCAGATGTGGCTCAGCAAAGCAGGGAAACGTAAGTTGTAATCCCCCATACTGAGTCGATTGCAAAATCAGAGTGCGGATAACCAGAGACTGAGACGTGCTTTCCCTCTTTTTTAAATTTTTTATTTATTAGCAATTATAAAGTTAAATACAAATATTTATGTATAATGACAACAGAAATTGTGGGAAGAGAAACAAAATCATCCAACCTTGCATAGAACAGACATACCGCGAAAACTATGAAGTACCATGGCAGGTAGCCTCACAGTATAACTTGCCAGCATAACAGCATGCACCATGAGCAGTGACCAGCATGTGGCGCCATAGAGAACAAACAGGAGTCCCATAATCCTCCATGGTGAGGAAATATGAGAAAAAAAAACCAAAAAACAGAAATGCGGTGTATGAGTAGCGTGCAGTAAGATGGTGCACACAATATCCCTGGCACAAATAATAGGCGGCCACCCTGTCCCACCTTGTGAAATACCACGTGCAAAACGAGTACCATTTAATAACGTAACGTTAATGGAAAACTAAACACCCATAAATAATCTGCCAGCCTATTGTAGAACATACCAATCCTCAGAAATTAGTCACAAAAATGACCATACAAAATGTATATACCCCCCTTCCCCCTCTCTCTAACTGCATGCTCCTACCATGAGATTAACTGTGTATATGGAGTGTCTGCCTGCATATGGATTGCCAGATTGACAGCATCCACACGGACCAAAGTAAAACGTGGAAACCCGGACATTAAAAACAGAGGGATGTTCGCAGGAAAACAGGCGAACGTCAGATACCCATGAACACCAACGCGAACCACGCGGGCAACGCGAACCAGGTGAGTAAGGAAAAAACTCCCGAACGGAGAGCCCAACATGTTCGGGAATTGTAACAGGAAGAGGAAACGAAAACCACACACGAAAAGGGGAGAATAGACCCAGACCGTTACGACGCCGTGGGACTGCGACCGTGGCGCGACGGTAGGATAAGTAACTCACGACAGCAGACCCCAGAATGGACCGCAAACGAACGAAAACAGCAGGGGAACAGTAGGCCAGGTAAGAAGCACCACGAGGAACCTGGCAAGGAAGAGATGGCAACCGGACATAGCGACATGCGAGTCGCTAAAAGGCGTACGGGAAGGAGGAAGGTGAGTAGGGGGGGTTTAAATAGGTACCATGCCCCTCCCAAAACTGCAGGCCAAGCCTTAACATTTGTTTTGGTACTTATAGTGTCCCTTTAAATGTGGCTTTGACTAATATTACTTTGTGGATGTTGAATACTTGTGTAAGTAACATATTTAATTTTTTTTTTTTTCTTTCTTACTATGAAATCAATAATGCATTGCAGTAATTGCTGTGGAGGTAAATTTTAAATTTAAGTTGAGTTAACACATTTTAATATTTTAAAAACATTTAGAAATTTCAGTCTCACAGTTAACATTTACTAGAAAATTTGTCAAACGCCTGAGGTAATGTTCCTGTAAAAGAGCAAAGAAAATTGCTTAATATTTTATATTAAAGGGACACTCTTTCCAGACTCCAGCCCCCTTAACAACTACATTCCAAAGATGATGTTATGGAGGTTTAGGTTACTGGGTGCCATCTTACCATTAATGGCTAAACCATTTTTGACCAGTTTAACCCTGACGTTTGTTTCTTCTGTGCCTCACAACACTATATCCTCTTCTGGCCATCATACAAGCAAGGAATCTCTGCCTTGGAGACAAGTGATAGGCACAGAATGTCAGCTGACAGTAAGGTAAACCTTCATGGACTGTGTGATGACCGGAGGCAGACTGAGGGTGGTAGTGATGGAGGCTGTGGACAAACCTTGGGGTTAAACCATTTAAAAACAGCTTGTCTCCTGAAGGTAAGATAACAGGTTCCAGGCATTCCTGCCATCATAACAAATTCACTGAGATTAAATTGTTATGGGGAGGAGAGTAGCTTTAACACACCACATTCTCTTAGCAAAACTTTGATTGTCCCAGTCCCACTTTAGACTCACAAATACTTTAGTGTGAATGTAAAGGTTTTATTTGGACCCAAAACAGCGGTAAAACACTTTTGTAATAGTATCCATACAGAACCTGTATTTTGCATTCTTATATTCTTTTAAATAACATTTGGAATGGTTTTCATTTGTTTTTAGAACAAAAAAACACCAGAGATTTGTAATTATTATCCCTTCATTCCAAATAGCTTTTGTTTTTACACATACATATGTGTTTGTGTTATCACATTACATGTCAAGGTGACATATGGCTACCATTAAACACAGTACATTTCATATCCATGGTATGTCAAACATGTATCATAGGAAGGCATGTGCAGCCCTCTCCTAGCAAAACTATACTTCATAGTTAGAGAGAGCAACACAAAATTGTGAATTGTGGGGAATGTAAAATGAATTTCAAATCTAAGGCTGAAATAGCTAAGATTATGTTTTTCAATTAGGCTATTGTGACCTAATTTGTTGTTTGTGTTTTTTTTGTTTTTTTTTAATACATTTCTATTAATTTTCCAGGGTTACTTTGAAACAGAATAAAAGAATGGCAACAGAAATAACATAACATTGTAAAAGTATAAATATGGTTATAAACATAACATTAGAGGCTAAAGTAAACATTGAGTGTGGAGTTGGCAGAGTGTGGTTGCATGTGCAGTAAAGTGAGTGTAACCTGGCAGCATCACTCATTCCAAGTATTCCGGAAATGTGAGTGAGTACTTTAAGTGCTCCCTGTAGTAACTTGTTATTTCACATATTGCCAAATTGACATTACACTAAAAAATGGTTCTGCTATGGGGCCCAGCTTAGCCTTGGCCCCCCTTGACACGCAGAACTCCAGATTCTGTTGCAATAGCGAACATTGTGACCATGGTAGTTCCGCCACTGTTTTTAGGTAACAAATAAAGAGCACAAAAGCATACATGAAACATACTGTATCATAACATTATTATTTTCCTAATAGCTATTTTACTCTTATATTTAGAGTACTCATTACTAATATTCTGCTGTGTTTCATTCTGCTTTGATCTAAAGTGCATCTTTTATTGGTTGATGACAATGAGGATTTGAGTACATAATTAGATTTGCGTTTCTAGGCATTCTTACCTTACAATTTTTTCCTATGTAATTTATTCGTATTAGCAAGACCCTATATTGATGGATACAAAGAGATGATACGCACAAAAACATGGAGCATCAGAAAACAAATAGTGATGTCGCGAACGGTTTGCCGAACGGTTCGCCACGGACTCATTGAGTAAACTTTGACCCTGTACCTCACAGTCAGCAGACACATTCCAGCCAATCAGCAGCAGACCTTCCCTCCCAGACCCTCCCACCTCGCTCACTAAGAATGCAGCTTCAAAATGGATGCTGTCCAGGAGGTGGGAGGGTCTGGGAGGGAGGGTCTGCTGCTGATTGGCTGGAATGGGTCTGCTGACTGTGAGGTACAGGGTCAAAGTTTACTCAATGAGTCCGCGGCGAACCATTCGGGACATCACTAGTAACAAACAGAAGTCGACTGGTATCTCAGGACATCAAGGGTGGATCAAGGCTATGGGAAATTAAAAAGTTGAGGGGGACAGAGAAGGAAATAATAATTTCCAGAGATATATTAAAAGGCTTAAACCAGAAGTGATGAAGGGATAGAGTATAGCCATTGGAACCTAGCATATTACTAGGGCTAGGCTTCCACGATTATAATCAATCCCTAGATCAGATCAGAACCAGGCAGAGAGCCTCTGTTTTTTTTTTTGTTTTTTTTTTTACTTTTCACCAGCTGTGAGTGGCAGCCAGGAGGAAGATTTATTTTGATAGTTAGTCAGCCATCAGGGAGATTACAGCTTGTGCTGTGGATCCACTCTAGTTCCCCTAAAGGTAGAGACACTGGGTGGATTTAAAAAAAAAAAATTTTTTTTTTCCACTGTGTGTGAGTGTCACAAACTCACTTACCTGCGACTCCCTCGCCACGTCTCCGTCTGCTGTTGCAGCGGTCTCCTCTTGGTGCATGCCGAGGACCCCAGCGTGCACAGCATCGTGTACCTCCAACCGGTGGTCCTGCAACACATGGACGTGGTACCTCGGTTCTCCATGCCGTGACCCGTGGGAGGTCCCAGCTGAAGCCACATGTGATTCTCTCGCTTGGCGCACGCATGCCGAACGTGGCCTCTTAAAGGTACAGTACAGCTGAAGTTATTTAAAGGACTAATGTGAGAGTTGGATACCTCTCCCCTATATAATCTCAGTCTATCTCTACCTCATTGCTCAGTTCTACTGTGCTTACTGTGGTGTCAACTACAGTGTGCCTATCCTGCCTTATCTGATTTATCCGGTATCTGACCCCCTGCCTGTCTCTGAACCCATGCCACCTGAAATGAACCCTGGCTTTCCTCGACTACGAATTTGGTTTTCCCTTTAGTACTTCTCCTTGGCTGATTCCTGCCTCCTAGACGCCTCCCGTCACATAAGTGACAGACGTAACAGTGAGAATGTCTGAGTGTGTGAGATTGTGTCTAAGCCACACTGTCCCTATCCCCCACTATACTGCCCCCACCCCAACAATACTGACACTATCCCCCCACTAAAACCCCAATCCCCCTACAATACTGTTCTTATCTCCCCAGCTAAAAGCCCCTATGCCCCACAATACTGTTCCTATCCTCTCCATCATAGCTCCAGTCCCCCACAATGCTTCCTCTATCTACCACAATAGTGCCCCTATCGGAAGACACTAAAGCCTCATTCCCACAATACTATTCCAATCCCTACCATTAACGCCCCAATCCCCCACAGTACTGCCCTTATTCTCCCACTTTAAAACCCATATCCCCCCACAATACTGCCTCTCTGAGTTCAGTTTTGAGGCACAGTGTGAGCATAGTACTTAGAATGGGGTACCCTACCAAACATTTCAGTCTATGTATAAGTTATCTGTTCTTCTTACCTATTACTTCTGATGTATGCTGATTATAACCTACCAACAGGCTCTGTTCTGCAGTTTTGTTTCTTGTAGCATAATGTATAAAATGTACAATAACTTCATTGATGCCTTGTTAGAACTTAAGTGAATGTGTCTGTGTATGTCATTGTACAACAAAAATGAATAGACGTTATGGACACCGCTGAAATTTCAGCTTGCATGCAAATGAGTTTTAGAATAAGCTAAATATGTTCCATTTATGTGGATTCGCTGTCCCGATTTCTCTCTACTTCCGCTTACCTGGTTAATTAAGGTCTACAAGGAAATAAGGGTTCACTCAAAGACAGCAAATATAGGAAAAACGTCACAAATTATTTGGTAAGTACTAGGTAGTGGCTGAAGATGGGTAACCTAAAATAACCCAATTTGGTAGGATTTCTAACTTATCAAAATAGGTTAGAATAATATTTTAGTTGATCAAAATGCAATACAGTGACAGACAGATGGCTCTTATTTATCTTGTCTGATCTTCTACGTAATGTTCATTTTAGAAGTTTTGTGTTGCTGGATATTTCAGTGAAGTCTTAGAACAAGCAACTTAGTGTATGGAGAGAAACAGAGGATGTTCTACTTTGCTCATTAATATATCAGTTTCGCTAGCTGCTAAATCGGAGGGACAATTGATGCCTTTCAGGAGATGTAGTTATACAAGGTCAGCCAGAGCGAAGCAGGATGAGGGAATACACAGCGGCGTGATAGGAAACTAGACAAAGGCTAAACAAAGCACTGTCAGTACCAACAAGATATTGCCAATGACAAATCATATGCTTACTTTATTTATTTATTTATTTTTTTCCACCATAGCTGGAGGCAAAGACAGTTAAATCACTTGATATGTGAATTTTCCTTTTTAGTGGAGGGACAAACCTAAATAGAACTAAAATAATATTATTGATATTGTGAAATTGTTTAAATATTCTACTAAAATCAGGTATAATTACTCCATGATATTTTTGCTTTTCTATTAGTGATTTACCAAATTGTGTGTAAAATAATAAATTTATATGCATGAATCTCTTTTAGTGTCCGGAACATGATTTCTAGGTGGCCTCTTTTCAGCTTTATTTGATCAAGGTCCATCTTTATGTCCCTCTTACTTCTCTCGTCTTGCAGGACTGTAGGCTGTGCTCAGAGCCAGCGTTACCATAAGGCGGCACAAGCAGCCGCTTAGGGCGCATAAGCCCGGTGATGCAAAGATGTCCGGGTGAATGGCAGGAGATGGGAGCACAGAGTACCCCTCTCCCACTGGTCACTTTATGCAGCCATGCCGAATTTACTAGGCCGTCGAACTCTAGTGCAGCCCCACTAACAGTGTGCAGCCTCAGAGGGGATGGGAGGTGAGAGGAGCGGTCACGGCCTATAACGTTTTAAGCTAAAGGCTGCTGGGATACATGAGGTCATATCCTGGCGGCCGAATGCTGTGGGAGAGAGAATGACAGGTTCAACAGGGCAGAATCACCTAGTGACTGTTGAGCAATGGTAAGAAACAATAAGTGTGAGTGTAATCTATGAGCCAGTGAGTGTGTGTAATAGCCAGTGTGTGCGTATGAGTGTAACGACAATATACCCCAACACGCAGGATTCAGCTAAACAGAAGACAACACAGAGGAGAGATACGTCTACCGGACCTTAGAATGGCCGGACTCGACGTATATGAGAGGAGGCAGAGTCAGGAACGATCCGAAGTCAAGGGCACAGAGAGACAGCGTAAACTAGGACAAGCCGGGGTCTGGTACACAGTAAACAGCAAGCCGACAACCAGAACAGATAAGGATAAAGAGAAAACGTAGTCAGAAACAAAGCCAAAGTCAATACGGAGAAACACAACTGAACACAACAAGCGCTAAAGGGAACTGATACAGAAACCACGATAGGGCAGGGAGTAAAGGGAGAGGTAAGTTTAAATAGCTTCTAAACTAATGTGATTGGCTCCTGTCATATCCACACCCCCAAAAGGTAAGTGTATGGGGAGTGTGGCATGACAGGGGCCAATGGGAGCCTTTTAACAATTTAGGCTCCCACTGTCTCTTTAAGAGCGCGCCCGAGACTCGCGGTGCGCTCTTAGATTCAGGCGGGACACGTGACCGCTTCTCGCGGTCACTGCCCGCCTTTCTAGTGAAGCTGTCGGATGAGCCGCGCGCGGCTCGTGCAGCAGCAGGACCGCGCACCGCGGCCGGCCCCTGGATAAGGTGAGTAACGCTTCAGTACCCCCCCTGAGGACGCGCCCTCCGGGCGGGTAGGACCAGGCCTGGCAGGAAAACGAGAATGGTAAGAACGCACAAGGCGGGGAGCGTGAACAGCATCAGCTGAAATCCAACTGCGCTCCTCAGGCCCATAACCCTTCCAATGCACCAAGTACTGAAGTCGACCCCTAAGGTAACGAGAGTCAAGAACAGCAGAGACTTCGAATTCCTCATGACCCTCCACGGAGACAGGAGGGGGAGGCGGAGAATGCCGGGTATAGCGGTTGCGTACGTAAGGCTTCAACAACGAGGTGTGAAATACATTAGGAATACGCAGATTCCTAGGAAGACCCAAGGCGTATGAAACAGGATTAACCTTATGCAGTATACGATAAGGACCTATGAAGCGGGGAGCCAATTTCATAGAAGGCACCCGCAGGCGAATATTCCGCGTGGAAAGCAAAACCCTGTCCCCCACAACATAAGTAGGAGCCGCCCTGCGATGCTTGTCAGCCTGAGCCTTCTGGCGAGCAGCGGAATCCACCAAAGAATGCTGAACCTGCTCCCAAGTATTACGCAAACCAGCCAAATGCTCATCCAGAACTGGCATGCCCTGTGAGGAGAATGCAGCCGGAAGAACAACGGGATGCTGGCCATAGACAACGTAAAAAGGGCTTTTGCCGGAAGAATCATGAGCCGGGGTCTGGTACACAGTAAACAGCAAGCCGACAACCAGAACAGATAAGGATAAAGAGAAAACGTAGTCAGAAACAAAGCCAAAGTCAATACAGAGAAACACAACAAGCGCTAAAGGGAAATGATACAGAAACCACGATAGGGCAGGGAGTAAAGGGAGAGGTAAGTTTAAATAGCTTCTAAACTAATGTGATTGGCTCCTGTCATATCCACACCCCCAAAAGGTAAGTGTATGGGGAGTGTGGCATGACTGGGGCCAATGGGAGCCTTTTAACAATTTAGGCTCCCACTTTCTCTTTAAGAGCGCGCCCGAGACTCGCGGCGCGCTCTTAGATTCAGGCGGGACACGTGACCGCTTCTTGCGGTCACAGCCCGCCTTTCTAGTGAAGCTGTCGGATGAGCCGCGCGCGGCTCGTGCAGCAGCAGGACCGTGCGCGGCTCAAAGAGAGGACCGCGGCCGGCCCCTGGATAAGGTGAGTAACGCTACAATGAGTCAGCCTGTGAGTGAGTGAGTGTGTGTATGTTAGCCAGGGACTGGCTCACACATACTTACGGACACAAAAACACACAGTTACTGCCTCACATATAAACACTCACTCACAGGCTCATACAAACAAATGCACAAACACAGACTAACTCATACGCACACACTGACTCAGACATATGTGCTAACACACAAACACACAGTGTGTGTGTATGTATCCATGACCCAGTGTGTTTGTATATGCCTATGTATAAGCCAGTGAGTGCATCTATGTAAATATTAGGAAAATTTTGTTATTGAGAGTGAGTATGGGTCAGTGAACAATAGTGTGTGAGGGTTTCCATTGCTATATTTAAAAAATAAATAAATAAATAAAATAAAAATTTTTTTATAATTATATACACAATAGAAGTCTGCTGGCACTCCACCAACATATAGATATAAAGTACTGTTAGCTTGGATGCAAATATCCCACATTGAAATATGTAGCATAAAGGGGAAAAAATTAGGTATTAGGTTAAAAGTGAGTGGTGTATTTATTGGAAAAAAAAATCAATCATTCATAATTTCTGTGTACAAAATAATCGACGTTTCAACACTTTAAGGGTCGTCTCTCTCTCTCTCTCTCTCTCTCTCTCATATACCGGCACTCCAAGGTTTTCTTAAATAAGTCTTCTCTTTATTCCATGAACAGTCAACGTTTCAGCTACTCTATGGAGCTTTCTTGTCCTTAGCGACCAGAGCACCAGGTATCTAACTTTTTTAGTTAGAGTGCAGGAGCTATTTGAATTTATATAACACTACAAAGAGGAGTAAGAAAATCAGAAGGGGTAGAGAGACATAAAAATGGGTAAGAGGCAGAAGGGGGCAAAGGAGATAAGATACATTAAACTAGGGACAGACATTCAGAAGGGAGATAAAAGACATAAAGGGTTAAGATGCCATTAAAGGTGGGATAAATGCTCAAAAGCAAGAAAAGAATGAGAAACGGGATACAATATGCAAAAAAAGGAAAGAGAAACAAAAAGGCGGTAAGATGTGCAAAATAATGGAAAATACAGGCAAAAGGGTGGTTATATTAGACACATAGATATAGTCAAATGTTGGGGATGGCAAAATGCATCTTCATCTGTGTAGACAAAAACTCCTTGCACCATCTCTGTGAAAAAAGACTATTTTATGTATAAGCTTTACTTCGGAATGTTCCTATACATCATTCACGTAATCCATACATTGTTTAAGCAGGGTTCTCCAAACTCGGGCCCACTAGATGTTGCTGAACTACAATTCTATTCCATTAAAAGAATCATGGGAGTTTAAGTACAGCAACATCTGTAGGGTCAGAGTTTGGAGAAATCTGGTGTAAAGATTAAAGCACTCACTTTTGCCTCTTCTTCTGTAAGACCTGCTTCAGCAGCAATTAGCATCAGGGTGGTTTCATCTGGCTGCTTGGACACATTATTAAAATTGTACTCGAGGATGTCCTGCTGTTCCTGCGTAGGGTTTTCATTTTCCTGCATCTCCTTTTGTAGTGAACTCATTGTCTGTGGTAAATATAAATTAGACAAACATTTATCCATCAGTATCCATATAGGTATGTTTGGAAACACATGAAACCTTGCTTCGCACATTTTAGACTGAGCAGAAAAATAGTAATCCATAAGAAAAGATACAAACCTTTAACACCAAAGTCAATTCTTTACTTTCCCTACAAAGTAAAGAAAAAAGTAACAAACATCATCTATTACAGGTAAATAAAGTTGATGTATGTTACTTTTTTTTCTTTACTTCGTACGCCCAAATAGGGCCTCTTCTCATCCCCTTCCACTCCCTAGTTTACAACTCAGACTTTGCAACAGGCACAGAGCCTTAGGCACAAAATGTCTCCTATATCAGGCACTTCCACAGATAAACCATGTGGTGTCAGACTAGGAAATAACAACCCATGGAAATATACAGACACAGGTCCTGCTCACATTTATAACCAGATTTCACTACTCTCAACTGTACAAGTATATCATGAAACTCCCCCATCGCCCAGACGTATTTATGGATCCAACATCCTTTGAAATCTTGTGCATGGACACAGATCCACTACCACACCCACCTTTCTAATCCAAATGGGAACAGACAACAGGGGAAACATGGGTGGGAGTCCCAACTCATCGTGCCCTTTTGGAGGAAAATAGCCTCTATCACCATGAAGTTCACTGACAGGTTACCACTGTTCCGCCCAGCTTCTTTCCTCTTACAGCACACAACGACCCAGTCATCTAGGTACCAGAAATCAATGCTGTTCCATATTTTAAAAACGGCAAAACAAATAATCCCATGTTTTTGGCGGCAAACTTCACCAGCCTTGTCACTATGGTTCTCTAGAATGGAGGAGCTGTGGTTTGCCTCTCAGGGTAGAACTCAAACATGCTGACATCCTGTTGCAGTGGATAGTTGCATCTTGCACTGATGACGACAATGAGAGGTTGTTGCCACTTCCCCTAGAATAACTTACACACACACACACACACACACACATTACCCCCTCTCACCTTCCCCCTAATTTTTTTTTTTACTTTTATTATTTTAAAATCGAGTTGAGGTGTTCCCCCACCTTACAGACCTGACTGTAGGACTCTAAGTTCAAACACACATAGTTGAACCTTGTGATTATTGAATGCTTGTTTTATTTATTTCTGTATAATATTTTATTAGGCATAATACTTACCTGTTTACTACTTTATACTTTTATGACACCTGGGTTTTTTGCCTACAGTATGATTGCAATGCCGTTCCTGTGAGTCCCATTTTGAATTCAACTTTTTAATTTTTCTGATTCAAAAATGTTGATAAATCTCAATTAAAAAGAGATATTCACCTATACTGATGGTCTATTATACTTTAATGCACTGAGTATATATTTTTTTTTTTTATCTATTGTATTAAATAGTATGGTAAATTTTCACAATATGTTTATTAAGATTATGACTTTAGATTATATTTCCGTATAATATTTTTCCCTTTAAGGGTTTTTAAAAGTTAAGACTAATCATTGAATTATTTTTTATGTTTACATAAGTGGTATTTACAGAGCTGCTACAGGGTGTAGTGATCACTCACAAAAGAAAAACATAGTCAATGGACATATTAAATGCTCTGTGTTATCAGCTGAATTTAACTCATTTATCAAGGAATGGATACTAGGAGAAAGTTGTATGTGATTAAATAGAAACACTAAAACAATGACAAAAGCCTAAGTCCTGAAGAACTGTAGTTGAATGTGGATACTGACACCGGACAATGGGGAGCTTTCTATACCTATTTAAACTGCCCTCTCCATTGATGCTATACCCCGTAGTGGTTTTTTATGTCCAACAATGTGTTTGATTACTTAGTGTTTATTCTTGGTATTGACCCTTGGCCTTGATTTTTACTATTCAGACTCCCTTATTCCTGGGAAAATGATCAGATAAGTAGGTTATGTCATAGTGGTCCAGACTAGCATAGCATCGATGAGAGATTCCAAGGATCTCTCTCAGGGCTTGACCCTCGTAGTTCACAAGTTACAAAAATAAAGAAGGTATGCAGGTACACCTAGGTTGGCCATGCATCCCCTGTCCAATAAATAAAAATATGTATCTAGAGAATTGCAAGCTATAAAGTACACCCGGTCTGTGTAATCATAACCTTATAAGGTTAATTCCTATGTCTATATAAAGAGACTCAGATAACGGTCTCAATCTTATTCCTGATTAAATAAAAAGAACTTTATTAGAATGGCTCCACTGAAATATAGGAACTAGGAATATTAGAGTTAGTATCTGAGTATATTGTCTGAGTATTCCTATAGTACAGCTTCCAGTCGATTGTCAAGACAGACAGGAGTTATTAACGTAGGATCGAAGTGCTCCTCCTGAATACTAATGGCTTCTTAAATTATATTAAATCATGTCAGTAAGTTAGGTGACTCTTATAAGACCTAATATATTACAGTGTCCAGTAAATCTATGCTGTTTACAAGTAAGTATTTTGCTCAGATAGTCACAGGTAGCAGGTAATGGTGAGGAAGAGCTAGCATGAAAGTTTTGCAAAGCCTCTCTCCCTGGTAATCTTGCTAGATAGACATAAAAAAAAGAGGGAGAAAAGTGAACTTAAGTAGTTAGTCTCTTTATATTGACATAGGAATTAACCTTAGGTTAATTATGATAACCTTATGATTACATAAACCAGGTGTACTTTATAGCTTGCAATTCTCTAGATACATATTTCTATTTTTTGGTTATATACTTCTTAACTTACTGTCACGAGGCCTGCGAGCCTCGCTTTCTGATTTCTTCCTGCTTATTCTTCAATAAAATAAGATTAAAAAAAACAAAAAACTTACTACTATCACTATCGCCAGGCAGAGGATGCATGACCACCCTAGGTGTACCTGAAAACCTTGGTTCCTGACCTAGGTCCTGTTAACCATTTTGTCTCTTTCTGGAGTCCTGACTTTTAGTTACATGCTTGCATGTATTTTACATTCCTATGTTGGCTATCTGTGCTAAGCCTAGAGACATAGCAAGGGGGATGCGGGAGAGGGGGACAGGTGCCACTAGGCACTGCCGCACTGGGCGGTCTGATGCAGGTATAGACAGACTGGCCTACTGGAACACAGGGATCATAAGGATGTGTAAGGAGTGGCAGAAGCCAGCCGCTCCCCGCAATGTACACAGCTGAAGGCCGCCGGGATACATCATGACATCATATCTTGGCAGCAAACCCTCTGTGCAGGCTAGAAACCTAGTGGTGACTAGTGCAGGTTAGGGGCTGGCTTCATTAGCTCTGGTATGGGAGAACTTGTGTGTGTGTATAGATCACCAGGTGTGTGTCAATAACTGTGTTTTTGCACACTCACTAACTAAACACAAACTTTAAAGCTTACAAAATGTAATAGTTTTTTTTTTTTTTCAAAGCAACTGACTTAGGCAAGGGAACCAAGAGGACTGCCCTCACCTTGAATTAAAGGAAATGAAAATCCAAATAATTTAGGCCAAAATAGCTGATTTGGGAATAGCCTGACTATCATAACCTAAATTTTGCAATTCATATTTTCATACGGAAAAAAATCTTAAGTTAGCGAATAGCACTGCCTGTCTCCTTGCTCTGGTGTCAAACTACAGCCCTATAGTATATCCAACATGGCATGCACTTATTGAGGTAACTACGCAATATGCTCTCACGGTATGTTATAGTAAGTATGGTTTGGGGGGGGGGATGACAAATTTGAAGGACTTGCCTCCAGGCACCTCATGACCATGCTACATGCCTGGTTAAACCCAGCCTTTCTAAGGACCGGTAATACTCCCAATCCTGTCTTTCTGTTATATTACTCAAGTTAGTGTGTTAAGTTATTTCTAACAGACACAAGGTTCGAAATTAATGGTAGAGTAGAGGGATGGAGAATTAATATACATGTAAATGAGCTATGATATGTAGTTTCAGGTTCAGCTGCTGCGAGATTTGTAAGTGAGGTGTGAGAAAATTGGTGCTAAAGAGGTAATGAGAGCATGATAGACGTTGCTGAATTCAGTTGCAGTAATCCACATGATTGATAAAGAAATAATATATAACTAACAGCTTTGGGTGCAGTAGTTGCTTTGTAGGGATATATGCAAACTAATTTTAAACATGAAAGTAACAAGATTTTAAAATCAATTAACACTAAACACAGTAATAAGTGATCTGTAAAGTAAACGCACAGTAAGAATTGTAGTCCAGATAGACAAGTCTGTAGGTGACCCCCATAATAAAGGCTGTACCTACATTAGAAAACCGGCTGTGCACCACTCCCACTTGCCAATCTATCTTACGTCCAGGTGACACCATAGGCTCAACATAGATTTATGAATTTAATGCATGATGCATTTTACTCCAGGAAAAATCTAACAAAGTGCTTAGTAAAAAAAAGTCTAATGAATTGCTGGAAAATGTGGCAAAAAATATTACTTTCACAGACTTCGTTATAGAAGGCTATTACAGAAATACATTGTTTTTAGATTAAGCAGCTCCCTCCCCTGTGTAGACAGTCTGTAAATTGGATCTAGTAGTGCAGTAACTTGGATCATACTGCTTTGGTTACATAAAATATTTTCCACGTGTCCAAGCCAATGGAGTTACCTAGAATGTGCTATACAGAGTAATGACATCATTCAAGATTCACAGATACATCTTTTTATTTTGTTTAACAATGGAACTAGTCTCAAACTTCATTCTTTCTTAATTATGTGTTTTCATAATTATATGTTAGTTGACACCAACCTATAAATTGATGTAACTCGCCTAGTTAGTAGAAAGGCAGGTTTTTACTATTTATTCCAGCTGCAATAATATGGAAAGGCATTTACTACTACTGTTGATCTAGATTAGTGGTTGTAGGAGCATTATATATGCATTTTACTCATCTACACTTCATGTGCTTTCATAGTAATATCATGTAGGGAGACATGTAGGCTGCTGGGTTCTGGAAATTCAAATCCCTGGAAGCCAAAAATGATCATCTATAGAAACAAGATCTGATAGATTGTAATTTTATTTACTGCTGAAATCTGGTTGTCCCAGTCAGTATGTGGATGGACTACCAAGGTGGAAGGGTTTCACGTATATATCTGGAATAAAGACACTGTTTTGAAGCAATTATAGGATAGTGATAGATACATCCTAAATCACAGTGACGTCTTTTTGCACTTTGTAATAGCTCTTATAGTAGATCTGTAGAGATACAGTCTATGTTTCAAAACTGAGACGAACTCAATGTTTTGATCTAACTAGCCAAAGAAAAATCTGAATAACTTCAGAATTTACTTCCATGTGAAGTGGTAGCAAAATCTCTCCATAACAACAACACCATGCATGACAAACATTATGGAGACCTTTTATATTCTTGATTTATATGGTTTAGTGTCCAGTGGATATTACCTATGGGGGATTATATGTTTGGGGAATGTTTTGTTTCTAACCGAAAACCGGAAGTGATGATGATCCGGTGTCGGATTAGTTCGTGCAGCAATGGCCATCAGCTGTATATGGGAAATATAAGGAGATACTGGTAAGCTTAATGCAAACACACTTGAGAAAGGCAGCCAGGAGGTGCCGAAGCATTGGGGGTATTAGGGGCTCGTGTTTCTGCCAGATTAGGCTTGTGGCATTTGTTGTAAATATCATTGTATATTTGATTGCCTTATTTATTGTCACTTTACTTTGTGCTTTGTTTGTTATGCCTATTGCGGTTTAATAAAAGCATTTATGTATATATCTCTTTGGAGTTATTTTAGTGTGGAATCTCTTTTTGTATTATATAGCAAAATCTCTCCAACCTGACTGCTCTTCCAAAATCCCATGACAGAATAATCTAAATTACTGAACAACTTACTCAGCATTCACCATAACACAGAAAAAAGAGAGAACAAGGGCACATTTTATGCTTTGATGTGATGTTAGTTCTACTCTTGCTATTATTAACAGCGTTATCAACTAAAGTAATAATTCAAAGTGAATTCAAAGTTAATTTTAAATGTAAATCTAAATCTGCATATTTCATTCAACTCTGTACAACTGATATTTTCTCAAATACTGTATGTTTCTAAAGAAAAATAAAGACCTCTAAATACTCATTTGGAGAAGATATTAAAAGCAAGTTTAAAGAGGGAAAATTTTGTATGAAATAATTTGGGAAGGAGAAAAATGGACACAAAGTACCGGTAGATGAACAGCGATTGAACAAATCACGCAGGAGAAAAGCAACTAATAAGATTTTGAATTCTGACAGTCAAAGGCTGAGATCCATGTACAGGGTTTTTACATAAAAGTCATTATACAAGTCAAGGCTCCCTTCATTGTCCAATAGGAGAGAGAAGATAGTAAGACTTCCTGTTGAGATATAGGCAGTTAAAGCAAGAATATAACTAATTGCTAGAACAGACACGGCAATCATGAGGAAATGACTTAATAAAACAAGCATGGTATTAGATGCATCATCCTCAGCCCTCACTGTTTGTTCCACTGGAATTTAATGCTATGTCTAAAGTGCTCCGTCATATTATATATTGCTTTTTTAAAGGACAAGGAAATAGAGCTTTCTTGTAATATCCTATATGTATGCATAGCCTGGCATGTAATTATGTCACATTTTGATGCTACTTCTAACCCCATCTCTCCATAGCTTTATCTCATCCTAAACCTAAATACCCTGGTCCTAGCAAACGCTAACCCTAACTAATCCCAAATCTTGATAACATTAACCCTACCTAATACTAACCCTAATAACACTCTCTGAGTTGATTGGCTTAGAGGGTGAGTGGCCTTCTGATGACATACTTTAGCTGACATGTTGTTACTGTGATTGGCTCCCACGGGGAACCTGAGGAGTAATTATCAATATTGCTGGGATACCTTATAGTGAAGTAGTCCAGCAATACACACCAATTGCAGAGTCTGCCTTCAGCCCAGCAACATAGACTGACTGGCATCAGACGTCATGCTCTGCAACACTATTGTTGGATGTCTTATGCTCGTGGTATATACTATGAGCTGTCACTACCATGATTTTTTTTTTTTTTTGATGGTAGTTGAAATCTGCCTGCTTTGTCATGGAGCCACAATGGTGGGATGCCTGTGGCAGCCTGGCGGGAGGGAGAGGGAGAAGCTACCACCAGACTGCCTTATTGTAAAGACTCCTGAGAAAGTTAGGTCAGCGTTAGATTCAGAGTCAATGGTTTTGTGTACCAACTCCACATCCCTGGTAATCACACTGAATGGACTAATGAACAGTACCCAGGAGCACAGCAAACTCTCAGACTGATTTATTCCCTTGTATGAACCAAAAGGAATCTGCCTAAATGTAAGGTCAAAGTCATCACAATGAACATTGGTTGAAGTGAAAAATAGGCCTTTTTATTAAAAATTTCAACCAAGCCCAGTGCTTGAGAAAAAAAAAATGTAAAGCCTATTGTTCTTCAACCCCAACAGGTATTCACTTGCTGAACAAAATGCATTGGGTGGTTTACTGGCGTGTCCCTTTGCTTTTTTGTGGTAGAGCATTGTGCTAGGTTTAAATTTTCAAGAAAGTAGTTTTTGTTACTTCAATGCATAAGTTTTGTTCGTGAGGACAATCAGCGTTTCCTGTTCAATAAGCCAGCTGCTTATTATGTTTTTGTCAAGTGAATCTAAGGTGGTAAATATTTATCTATGACATCATCCTAGGAAGAGGTATCAAATGATATTACCAAATGCAAGAATAAGGTTCTGATTTGTTTTCGTTTCACATTAAAACAAGTTTATATGCTGAGAGTAATTAACCAGTACTTAAGCATTGACATAATTCCAAGCAAAAAACGTCATCCCATTAATTCCTGAAGAAACCTGCACTCAGAAGTCAGAACTTGACTTAGTTTGCACACTTCTATATTAACCGGGAGCAGTGCTGAAAACGTACTGCACAAAAGCCCAGAGAGGGAAAACAGAGATTGTAGGGAATGTTAAAATGGCTTTATCACTTTGAAGTATTTTAGAAAGATAAAGGGGGAATTTGATCAAAGGGGGGTGGAGGGAGAGATTTAGCAAAGTGCAGCATTCTGAAAAGTTGGGCAAAAAATTTAAAAAAGGAAGAGTCAACAGTTAAATGTACATGCCAAAACCCATTTCCAAATTTTTGTAAAGTATTGTTGCAAGTACTAAAAGGTGGGACAATCACCATGGAAACCAGTGTAACTTGAAGGCAAATTCCATTGGTGACTCCTCTTTGCACCACTTTCCATAACACGTTTTCTTATTTTCTTTAAACAAAATCTCATATTGACTGCATTGGCATTTAATTGAAATGCCAACTCAATCAAAAAATGCCATAAGATAAATGTAGTGTGTATATATAATCACTCAAAAATCTTGCACTCAAGGACTTCAACTTAATAGTGCCTGGTGCAAAGTTAGAAGATTATCCATTCTGTAAACAAACGGGACTCCAAGGACTTAGTAATCAAATACAGTAAATTGTTTAATGTAGTCAACGTTTCAGATAGGTTACACTAACTTTATTCAGGACAATATATATATATATATATATATATATATATATATATATATATATATATATAAAATCAAAAACAGAAAAGTAACCCCAACACTATCCAAAACCTATGTCTGTCTGATAATAATTGCAGTGCAAAGCCAGGACATATACCTATTTGCAGCTTCTGTATTTAGTTTGCACGCAGTAAGACTTAATGTGAAACACTATAATAAATCTGTCCTGTGGTTGTAAGCATGTGAAACTAAAATTATCACATTATGACACTGCGATAAAAAGAGTACTGTCACATGAAAGCAATCTGTTGTTTTTTTAATAGAACTATTACAGTGTGCTAGCAGACATTATCACTTGTGTTGAAGGAACACTCTGGGCACTGATATAACTTAACCCCTTAAGGACCAAACTTCTGGAATTAAAGGGAATCATGACATGTCACACATGTCATGTGTCCTTAAGGGGTTAAAGGGACACTCCAATGAGCAGAACCACAGCAGCTTAATGTTCTGGTTTTCACAGTATGTATTCGGACACAGAACGCTCGACCTAGAGATGCATTGGAATAATGTCCTAATCTCTATGAGGAGATCCTGAATGGTGCATGCACAGTAGGCCCAAATGCTTCTCAATGGAGGTGCATTGGATTGGCTGATATCATCTTTACTGAGCCAGGGGTGCAGCAACGACCATAGTAAGGGCTGTGTGGCATGGGATTAAAAGTGTGTTAAAAAGTATTCATTTAAAAATGTAAAAAAAAAATGTTATTGAATATCTGTGGCTCTGAATCTAAATAGCCTAGTTATATTTGTACATATATATGATACCAATTTAACCCCTTAAGGACACAACTTCAGAAATAAAAGGGAATCATGATGGAATATTTCCATCATGTGGCCTTCAGGGGTTAACCCCTTAAGGACCAAACTTCTGGAATAAAAGGGAATCATGACATGTCACACATGTCATGTGTCCTTAAGGGGTAAAGGAAGTTGTTTTGTGAAAGGAGGGGGTGTGGCTAAACATACTTGTTACACTGCACAAAGCTGCAAAGTCTTTATTTATCATTATTTATTTTTTAAAAAGATTAATGAGATTTGAATGTGAAGAATAACACAATATGAATATGAGGCCCAATCAAGTAATGTTGGTGCCTAGAGTATGACTGAATTGTGCTTTTAATAGATTTTTTTTTTTTAATTCAGAGAATTACAAAGGCAAAAGATTTGTATTGTATAAACATATACTGTATACCTGTAAGATCAATGAAAAGCTGAGCTATACTGAGACTGAAAGGCACACGCACTTTGAAACATAGATACACACACCTTGACACACAGATACATACATACACACACCCACACAGATACACACTGTGTGTCAAGGTGTGTGTATCAGTGTCAATGTGTGTATCTGTGTGCCACTATCTACCAGTAGGTGTATCTGTGTGTCAGATTCATACACACTGGCACATACAAACAAAGATACACATACCTTGATACACAGACACATACAAACGCAGATATACACACTTTGACACACAGATACACACACGGTGTGTGTATCTGTGTGCCACTAGGTGCCAGTGTGTGTGTATCTGTAGTTCAGATATACAACTGGCACATACAAGCACAGGTCATATACCATGACACACAAAAAAAAACTGTGAAATTGTAATTTATTTTTTTTTCCGTGGGGCGGGGTGAGGGGGTTCATGATGTTGATACGCTGTCAAAGGGATCCACAGGAAAAATTAATTGGGAACCCCTGGTCTATACAATGCATCAATAAAGAATAGTCCAGTCCTAGCCTGAAGCACTGCTTTACCCTAGACACCGCACCCTTTCTGTGTGGGTGCATGAAAAGGATTAGGAGGTATAGTCGTCCGACAGCTAGTACTCCAGAATCTGCTCTGTATGGTTCAGTGATAGACAGTCCGGGCACGGCAGTTGACCATCACATTATGCACAGCCAGCCTTGTATGTTTGTCACAAAGTAGCACTGTGTGAACATAAACTACTCATTAAATTAACAACACTCCAGATGGCAGCAAACAATACTGACTTATAACATAACTCCATAAAGCTCACATTTTAATCTACCAATACATATATACACAAGTATGTAGAGGTAAAATATACGTCACCTTCATATCCTGCACAAATAGTGATCATTGGAGACAGTTGTAATTAACATTTCATCTACCTATCTACCTGAGAATTTTAGGATATTCAAGTTGATGCACAAGTTTCAATCAAATGAATAAAGAGTTACTCCAAACATAACTGCTACAGCCCGCTAGCTAATGACACCCCAATGATGTTGCATAGCGTCTTCTAAAAGCGAAACGCTGCACATACAGTCTCCGTACTCCATGACAACTTCAAATCACTAAAGCAGATAGATAAAATAATATATCAGACAAAAAAATATATTTTTTGTGGGCCGTTCACCTGTTCTGATTCACTGCACCCTTTTTAAAATCTAATGAACAGAGTGTTGGTGAATTGGAAACCACTTTGTAAATTGTGACTAAAATAGCCGTGCTGTAAGTATGACTGGGCTACACAATATTTTCAAATTATTTTTTTCTGTCAAAATTTCCCAGTTTTCAGTTCACTACAGTTTGTAGGGTTATTCACTAGACCGAGGGTAGGCAACCTTCGGCACTCCAGAGGTTCTGGACCACATCTCCCCTGATGCTTTTTCAGCATTATGGCAGTAGGAGCATTATGGTAGATGTAGTCCACATCATCTGCTGTGCCAAAGGTTGCCTATCCCTGCACTAGACTCCAAACTGAAATTAAATGGCAAAATCAAAGCTAAAGTAACCCAGCTGTGACTAGCATAGATGGAGAAATGGATGCCTACGTTTTCTAAACTGGATATCAATTAGCTTCAATTTTGCTTTATACATAAGCCTCACATGGTCCTTCGATAAATTATGAATGATTAGAAATTCTTCTCAGAATTGCAGATTTCAGACCAGACGAACAAATTTGGACAATTATCCTGGTAGTTCATTAACATAGCTGTTTTGATTTAAAATGCTCTATTCACTAGTAAATTCATAACAATTCACAGTTTAGTAAGTAATTCTGTCAGCATAGGAAAGCAGCAGAACTTTTTTTCCAGTTTAGTATATAATCCTTTTTTTTTGTTTGTTTGTTTTTAATCTAAAATGAAGAACGGAGGTTGTTCAACTTCAAGCATCAAAATTCTCAAATGTTTCCATTAGAATCAACCTTTTCTGGGCCCCACTATTTAATCAAGCACAGCAAAGCAGACAATATGTACTTACATCAATAGACGTTTTGGTCGCTTGAAAAAGAGCCCACACCCGCAGCCAGCACGTCTTGTTTTAATAAAAAATGCAGTCTGCTAAAAACACTGCTAGACGTGTTGCTGTGGTGTGAGAAGACGCCTACTTGGTTATCTCGTATTGTTGTGTTACAAACTAACAAACATAAGTACCTGAAAAACCTGCAGCACGAGCTCGGCCAAATGAGAGTGTAGCGAAGCAGAGAGTACCACTTGTCAATCTAGTGATCAGGCACAGGTCTTCTCGTACGACTGTAAGTTTCTATGGAGCTATTCTTCTGTCACTGGCCTGACTTTCCATATGCTGCTCAATGGGCGTTTCATATTTCACACACAGCACACGCCTGCGAAGCTTGGCAGAAGGTTATGTAAGCTTTGAAGGAACTGCTAAAAATCCTTTCTCACATAGGTGACAGATTGTTTTCCGACAGGCTGTTTAGTGACATGTGGACAATTTGTGAGTACATCCAAAGCGTGCATTTATTTATTTATTTTATATTTACTAAAGAGACACTGCAGGCACGTTATCCTTTAGCAAACATGAATTGTGAAACAATGAGAATAGGTACTCCGTGTTTGGATGGCATCCTAGTTAATAAATACATGTCGGTAAAGAAAAAAAATGTTTCTCATTTCAGGTCATTTTACCAGTACCGCTATTAAGTAATGTATGTTCCATTGTTTTGTCATATAGGCTGTATTATCATCAGCATTTCAAAATCAACTCTTTACAATTATATAATGGGGATGTCAATAACAAATTATTGACATACACAATATAACCAGAGACAAGAGCTAAAGAGGCCCTGTCAAACAAGTTAGAATCTATAAGGAATAGGTAAAGACAGACACGATACATAACAGTATGTCAGAGGGGAGGAGGGATTGATGAATAAGATCCCTGTGTCAAAATCAGTTAGTAAAAGTGGTGTGTGGAAGAATCAAAGAGTGGAAAGAGAGAGAGTGAGCTGGACTATGGAAGAGAGGGAAATGTCGAGGGCAAATGTAATGAGAAAAGTGTTTTTAGTGACTTCTTAAAAGACTGGATGCTTATTGGCCAGGGCTGTGTTTGACTTGTGCTGGGTCTGCCCCTGATCTGCCTCCTTGACAGTCTCAGCCAATCCTACGGGGAAGCATTGTGATTGGCTCAGACTACGACTTCTGATGATGTCAGCAGACAACAGGCAGGTCAGGGGCAGAGGCAGCAGTTGCAGACTTGAATACAAGTAAGGTTTTGCTATATTTAGGGAGGCAAAGGGGTTAGGGGGCAAGATGGTGGTTTAAACACTATAGGGTCAGGAATACATGTTTGTGTAAACAAACACAATGTCTGAACACTAGTACAGACTACAGGGTGCCACAAACACTAAAACATGTAATAATATGGTATAGAATAATCCCATAAATGAAGAGTACTCCGTGGAGATATAAAATCCACTTTATTGGAACAGTAATACCCAAAAGTGCAACGTGCACAATATGGATAAGATAACAATAAAAAATAAAAATAAATGTAAATAAATGTACAACCAAATTGACCAAGAACCCCTAAGGATAGCAGCTATAATCATACAAGAAAAAATAGTAAAGTGCCAAGTGCTGAAGTACAAAAGTGCAAATGTCAATAATTCAAAAACAGCATAAAGTGCACAAATACTATGAGATGAAATGCTTGTAGAAAAAAGACTGCTATACCAAAAACTGCAGGGATCTTGGAGATGCTCAACGCGTTTCGTCGATGTCGACTTCCTCAGGAGCTTGCATGTTTGTGTTCCTGACCCTATAGTGTTCCATTAATAACTTTTTACGCACAGCAGTCGACCTGCAATAGAGAGTAATTCCTCTTTTAATAATCAACTAGGGAGCTCAGTTTAGAGTAAGGATTAGCTCAACTGGCCAAGATTCATGGGAGTTACAGTCCACTCTATCTTGATGGCAGGTATCCCTATTGTTAAAACCCCCTTATTTCTTTTTGAGGGGGGTTATTTAGTGTGTATGGGTTTTGAAGAATATCCATTTCTGCCTCATTAACATATTGTCCCTTTAGCAGCAATGTAAATTGTTAGCATAAGACTCACTTAAGATATTTGCCTTGATGTAGTGGGTGAGCTTACACTTTCATGGCTACTGCACAGGTACTAAACACCTCTGTTACTTAAATTTGTATAGGGGTTTGGGATACTGTGCTGGTAACAATTTTGTTTGTTTCATACAGCAAGACCTCAGCTTGTAAATCCCCTAAATTACCAACTTTACAAGAAGTCCTAATGTTGGTAGAAGAAAATGTGTTTTATGAAATACTGACTAGACAACACTTAAGGTATGAATAGGATGATCTCAGAATGTTTTTTTTTAATCACATAAAGGCTGAATACTATACATTATATCACCACCCCTTCAGACTTCCCAGTGCAGATCATTGATAAGTCTTTGTAAGGCATGTGCTTTGGGCAGTAACCCGCCTGGAGTTTAGCTCCACTGAATGGGTCATATGGGCTGTAGTGGGGGCTTATAGACTGTAGTGGGGGAATAGCGGCTGCAGTGAGGAGATAGAGGCACTAGTGGGGTTTAGGGGCAGAAGGGGGACTAGGGGCTGTAGTGTGTTGATAGGGACAGTAGTATGGTTTAGGGGCAGTAGGGGGAAGGTGCTGTAGTGGGGGTTAGAGACAGCAGTTGGGTCTAGGGATTGTGTCAGGAAATAGGGGATGTAGTGGGGGTAAGGGACTGTAGTGAGGCTTAGGGATAGTAGTAGGGTAGAGAGGCAGTAGTGAGGGTTCAGGAGCTGTAGTTGGGAATAGGAGTTATTTAGGGGTATGGGCTCTAGTGAGGTTTAGGGGAAGTAGGTAGGGATAGGGGCCAGTTGTGTATTCTGGTTTTGTGCTGCCCTAGGCATTACAAAACTCAGGCACCCCCCACCTCTTCTAAATTTCACTTTAAAAACCAACACGCTCTTTGCCTGACAGACACGCCTTCACTGATGCATACAGTGACATACACTTACTGACAGATAAAGTCATTGTCACACACGCTGTTTAACCAACACACACTTTCACAAACACACTCACTGACAGACACTCACATTCACCGACAGACACACACATCCACCGACAGACACACTGACACATGCATTCACTGGCAGATACACATGCACACTCACTAACAAGACACATACACACTGACACGCACACTCACTCAGTATTAAACACACACACTGTGGCACACATATACTCACTGACAGACACACACTGACAAATACACACACACTCACTGACAGACACATACGCACTCAGTATCAGACACACACATTCGCTAACACACATGCACATTGACTAACAAATACACACTCTCAGTGACAGACAAGCATACACACACTGACAGACACACACTGACATACATTCACTAACAGACACACACTCTCACTAACAGACACACAAACATACTCACTAACAGACACACACTCTCTGTAACAGACACACTAGCACACTCACCAACAGACACACACTAACACACTCACTAACAGACATACACACTCTCACTGTCACACACTATTTGACAGACACACATGCGCACTCTTTGACAGACACACACACTCTCACTAACAGACACACACAAAACACACTCACCAGACACACACACACACACATAGATACACTAACACACTCACCAACAGATACACTAACACACTCACCAGACACACACACACTAACACATTCACCAACAGATACACATACACACACACACTAACACACTCACCAACAGACACAGATACACTAACACACTCACCAACAGACACACACAGTAACACACTCACTGACACAGACACACATACACTAAGAATTATTTTTTTTGAAATGTTAAAATAAATTAAATTTCAATCCACCCAGCCTCCATATCTTTGCTGGAGTGGATTCTCCATTTCCCTGTGGCTGGCTGCAGCTCGGCGGGTGGACGCAGAGTGGAGGCAGGCAGCGAGGGAGTTCTGAGCTCCCTGCTTAGCTCCCTTGCGCACCTCTCAGTAATGCCAGAGCCGGAGTGACGTCATATTCGGGATCCGGCATCATTGTGGTGCGCGCGAGGGAGCGAGCATGGAGAGTTCATCGGACAGTGATCCCTTGCCGCCCACATCAGGTAATGCCAGCCTCTGGGGGGGGCCTGAGGTGGGCAGCAGGCCAGCTCCTGGGCCCCCCAGGACAAGAGGCTGGCAAGGTGTTTGTGGGTGGTGAGTTTTTTTGCCGCTCCCCTGAAAGTGCTGCCCAAGGCAAATGCCTTGTCAGCCTCACGGTAAATACACCGCTGCTAGGGGCTGTAGTGGGGGTTAGATGCAGTAGTTAGGTGTTAGGAGCTGTAGAGGAGGTTAGGGATAGTAGTGGGTGGTTAGAGGCTGAAGCGGGGATTAAAGACAGTATTGGGTGGGTTAGGAATTGTAGTGGGGGGGTTTAAGGCTTTGGAACTATAGTGGGGGGCTTTGGAGCTGCAGGAGGGTCTGAGAAGAAACTATACAAAAAAACAAAACAAAACATGTTTAATGTAAAGGAACACAATAGTCAGCTAAACAACTTTCGCTTAATGAAGCAGTTTTGGTGTATAGATCATGCTTCTCAGGTTTCACTGCTCAATTCTCTGCCATTTAGATGTTAAATCACTTTGTTTCTGTTTATGCAGCCCTTGTCACACCTCATCTGACACTGATTGTGTCTGCACAAAAACAAAACTGGTTTCACTTTCAATGAAATGTAATTTACCTTAAACAATTGTATCTCTGTTTCTGTAAATGTAACTTTAATCACATACAGGAGGCTCTTGCTGGGTCTAGCAAGCTATTAACATAGCAGGGGATAAGACAATCAAAATTAAACAGAACTTGCAATAAAGGTAGGATAAACTTTAGATGACTCTTTACAGGAAGTGTTTAGGAAGGCTATGCAAGTCACATGCAGGGAGGTGTGGCTAGGGTTCATAAATAAAGTGATTTAACTCAATTGAGCAGTGAGACTGCAGGGACGTGATCTATACACCAAAACTGCTTCATTAAGCTAAAGTTGTTTTGGTGACTATAGTGTCCCTTTAAAAAAGAAAACTGAAATAAAGTTTCTTTCCTCTTCCCTGAGGATTACATTATGTCAAAGTGGACCTGTGGAAAATGCAACTTGGCTGGTGCTGGTAAATGTATCAGAGCGTTGCCGCTAAGGGTCAGATAGTTGCTGATAAGTTGGCAAAGCCAATGCCTGGCATTTTTGCGATTTTTGCTTTTTCAAATCTAAGGCTTTTGCAGATGGATTAAAATGAAACCAGGTAAAGGAACACTATAGGGTCAGGAACACAAACATGTATTCCTGACCCTATAGTGTTAAAATTACCATCTAGAACCCCCATCCCCCTCCTTGCCTCCCTAAATATAATAAAATCTTACCTGTATTCAAGTCTGAAGCTGCTGGCTCTGCCCCTGAACTGCCTCTGTTTGCTGACATTATCAGAAGTGGTGGTCTGAGCCAATCACAATGCTTCTCCATAGGATTGGCTGAGACTGACAAGGAGGCATATCAGGGGCAGAGCCAGCACAATTTAAACACAGTCCTGGCTAATCAGCATCTCCTCATAGAGATGAATTGAATCATTGCATCTCTTTGAGGAAAGTTCAGTGTCTGCATGCAGAGGGTGGAGACACCGAATGGCAGTGCTGATTACTCTGCAGTACTGCCCAAGGAAGCAGCTTTAGCAGCCATCTAAGGATTGGTCAGTGGAGTTATCACTAGGCTGTAATGTAAACACTGCAAAGCATTTTAACCCATTTGCGGTGGTGGGGTTATGCTGTGCATTCTTTTCTCTTGGGTCATTGGAAGCCAAATCATTACTTGTTGTATGTTCACCCTCATTTGTATTAATATTTTGAAGGTTGACCCCCTCGAATGGGTGGGGTTTTGGGACACTTGTTTGTTTATTTGGTGGTGGAACCTGTGGATCCCTTATGAGGTATATAGGGTACAGTAGTTGTGAATCAGAGGTTTGTGTTAGTTTGAACATTTTCAGGAATGCTGTTATCTGTTTAGTAGGGTTCCTTGTCATCCATGCTGGGGGAAATGATGTTGGGAGAGTTAAATCAGTTTGAGTTGTGTGGTCTGAAATTGTCCCTCAATCAGCTTGCAGTGAATTTGCAGTCCATTTTAAGATTAGCGTATCTGTATCTAGCTTTGTTGAGCACTGACAGGTATTATTTGATGGATATAAAGTTGGACATGATTAATGCCAGCTTCCAGGTATTGTGGAAAGTCTGGTGGCGGAAGGGGGTGCAGGGTCTCCGTAGTTTGAATAGTGTATCTCTCATGTTGGAGAGAGTTCCTGGTAAGAACAACATATGTTGGATGTGATCATGTTGCCTCTGGTGGTGTCTGGAGGACATGTCCTGCATAAAAGCCTAAGGAGCTAACAGGGATAGAGTTCAAGGATTTTGGTCACCAGTCTACTTGGTGTTAGGACAGACTTAATAGTTATGTTAAGTTAATGTTTTGGTTATGGAACTCAATTGCCCTTAAACCAATAAATATGTATGTTATTTAAGTGAGTGATTCAAGTGGGTGATCCCTGGTTTAGCTGTTTTGATGCTTTTATTTCTGGTCTTCAGACCATGGTGGAATAGACCTGTGGTTTTAGTGAATGGGAACAAGTACATGATATGGGTCCTCTGAGTGTAACTGTAGGTTAGAGGCCATACTTTGATTATTGGAGGATGCATTTTGGCAGGTCTAGCTTATCTGATGGCCTGGCTATACATGGCAGATTGGTTTGTTTATGTTTTTATGAAATGTGATTGTATATGTTATGTGAAATTTACAGGGAGTGCAGAATTATTAGGCAAATGAGTATTTTGACCACATCATCCTCTTTATGCATGTTGTCTTACTCCAAGCTGTATAGGCTCGAAAGCCTACTACCAATTAAGCATATTAGGTGATGTGCATCTCTGTAATGAGAAGGGGTGTGGTCTAATGACATCAACACCCTATATCAGGTGTGCATAATTATTAGGCAACTTCCTTTCCTTTGGCAAAATGGGTCAAAAGAAGGACTTGACAGGCTCAGAAAAGTCAAAAATAGTGAGATATCTTGCAGAGGGATGCAGCACTCTTAAAATTGCAAAGCTTCTGAAGCGTGATCATCGAACAATCAAGCGTTTCATTCAAAATAGTCAACAGGGTCGCAAGAAGCGTGTGGAAAAACCAAGGCGCAAAATAACTGCCCATGAACTGAGAAAAGTCAAGCGTGCAGCTGCCACGATGCCACTTGCCACCAGTTTGGCCATATTTCAGAGCTGCAACATCACTGGAGTGCCCAAAAGCACAAGGTGTGCAATACTCAGAGACATGGCCAAGGTAAGAAAGGCTGAAAGACGACCACCACTGAACAAGACACACAAGCTGAAACGTCAAGACTGGGCCAAGAAATATCTCAAGACTGATTTTTCTAAGGTTTTATGGACTGATGAAATGAGAGTGAGTCTTGATGGGCCAGATGGATGGGCCCGTGGCTGGATTGGTAAAGGGCAGAGAGCTCCAGTCCGACTCAGACGCCAGCAAGGTGGAGGTGGAGTACTGGTTTGGGCTGGTATCATCAAAGATGAGCTTGTGGGGCCTTTTCGGGTTGAGGATGGAGTCAAGCTCAACTCCCAGTCCTACTGCCAGTTCCTGGAAGACACCTTCTTCAAGCAGTGGTACAGGAAGAAGTCTGCATCCTTCAAGAAAAACATGATTTTCATGTAGGACAATGCTCCATCACACGCGTCCAAGTACTCCACAGCGTGGCTGGCAAGAAAGGGTATAAAAGAAGAAAATCTAATGACATGGCCTCCTTGTTCACCTGATCTGAACCCCATTGAGAACCTCTGGTCCATCATCAAATGTGAGATTTACAAGGAGGGAAAACAGTACACCTCTCTGAACAGTGTCTGGAGGCTGTGGTTGCTGCTGCACGCAATGTTGATGGTGAACAGATCAAAACACTGACAGAATCCATGGATGGCAGGCTTTTGAGTGTCCTTGCAAAGAAAGGTGGCTATATTGGTCACCGATTTGTTTTTGTTTTGTTTTTGAATGTCAGAAATGTATATTTGTGAATGTTGAGATGTTATATTGGTTTCACTGGTAATAATAAATAATTGAAATGGGTATATATTTGTTTTTTGTTAAGTTGCCTAATAATTATGCACAGTAATAGTCACCTGCACACACAGATATCCCCCTAACATAGCTAAAACTAAAAACAAACTAAAAACTACTTCCAAAAATATTCAGCTTTGATATTAATGAGTTTTTTGGGTTCATTGAGAACATGGTTGTTGTTCAATAATAAAATTAATCCTCAAAAATACAACTTGCCTAATAATTCTGCACTCCCTGTATCTAGTGGCATGTTCTTTATTGAAGCAATATAGAACAAATAAATAAAAGCCACAGCCTTTCCCACGACTTTTTGTCCTTGTTGATTAGTCTATCACTTATTACTTAATGGCTGCATATGATGCACAAGAATTGATGAATGGGATGTACCTATGTTACTGTTACACATGATGTCTCAGTCCTCCTTATGGTTGTTTCTTTACTGTTTTTGTGATGCTTTCAATAAATAGTGACTGTTGTTTTTTTTTTTTTTAAAGGATTCACCCTTGTTAGTAAAACCGGCATTAAAACACAACACAGCTGCATTGCATATCCTTGGCAGTCTAAGCACAAAACCTGACAGCCATCAACTGTACCCTGTTCTTATCACCATAACAAGTATGTCTTGCTCTTTCTACAACAGACACACCTTCTGCAAGAGTTGAAATTCACAATGAACCAATTGTTTTCCACCTATACAGTCTAAATCCCCCATATACAGTCATAGGTAAGACAATATGCCAATGACTTAATTAGGTTGATTTATTATAATTAGTTGCAGTTTAAAGTAATATCCAAGGAGTGGCATCAACAACTGAGTCATAATGAAGGGTGTGTTATTTTTCTAAATGGCATAACTTTATATGACAAATATTAAGATTACTACATAATTGCATGAAGGGAAAGTTCGTTTCATGTAACTTTTATTTTGTTAATTACATACATCAAATGGCTGCTAATAATCTTAACAAGAAAAAAAATCACAAAGCTGATTTGTTTCACGCCTTTTTGTAATTAAAAAAAAGTGTCAGAACTCTTGTAATAAAGCTATTTTGGTGCATTTTATTTTCTATTTACACCCATACAGTTATTTGTCTGCTGCAAATAATTCCAGTGATATTTAATGTGCACTTTGTACATGAGAAAAGGGCGCATGCAAACTAAGAATACCTTTCTAAATGCAATGCCAAAACTTATATACATATCCCACTGTTGTGTTATGTAGATACATTTCAATATAAGCGACTTTATATTTGATTTCCCATTTGTTATATTATCTTGTTTCTCTGATTGACAGGTGTAGTTGAGCTCCTGTACTCTGACTGAGTAGCTCCGCCATGGCAACTTCCTCACTGCTACCAGGGGACTCTGGAGTGCTTCAGACCCAGTTGGGAAACTAGACTGGGGTCTCTGAGAAATTCTTTCATTAGACCAGACAGGTATCGTCTCCCAAACAACTGCCTTTTCAAAGGCACGTGTAGCTGTTTCTTAAAACATCCCCGGGATCAGGGACCAACAGGTCCAAAAACTCTGTTACTGGAATCCCCTCACAAGCCAGGCAGGACACACAGTTCCAAATTAAACTAACAAACAATATTTTAGTTACACTCAGAACTAGCCCCTATCCGCATTACATTAAACTTATGGCGACACACTCAATCCAATACGTATAACAAAGTGACATGGAGATTCATACAGACACTCATAATAAATAATGCAATATTTACAAAGGGTCTGGAAGACAAAGACTAACAAGAAATACACCCCCCCTGCATGCATAAACCATAATATTCAAATCTATCTGAATATGCAAATTAACAAGCCTTGTCATTTAGATTGCATATAATTGTTGAAACCAACAGGTGGCATTGCACAGGTACACTGCTAGACAGGGAACAACACAAGGCATTCCCCCAAAAACATTACAATGCATACTCTTTCAAAACACAGATCCCCAGTATCTTAACAGAGCTCTGCAGTTCTGAGAGTCTCTTAGCAGGTGGAGAAAATGTGGAACCAGATGGAAAAGAAGTCCTAATGGCAATCGTTTACCTGTCTCTGCAAAACAGCACCCCCTACTAGGCCAGGGCACATAGTTGTTAGGAAGGAGGCTGACCTGCAGCCATCTCCAAGTACCAGTTAATGGAGGCTTCCTTTGCAACAGGGTTATTCACTAATGTGTGAATTCAAAGTGAATTTCTGTTTTTTAGGCCGAAATAGCCAAATTGGAAAAATTCAACAAGTCATCTATGTTTTTCTGTTTGGCTATTTTTTTATATCAATTTTAAATGCACATTAACTTTTCTAAAGTTCAAGGTTTAGTGAACGCCTCTCTAAATGTGTTGTTGATTTGGAATCTTAGCATCTATAAACCAATATTATAGCATAAAAGTAATCTCTCTACCTACTGTCTGTGAGGTTACAGCAATTCAGCTTACACTTTGATAGGCAAAATAAAATTAGCAGTTAATGTGTCAACAATTATAAAGAGAAAACATTTAACACATAAAATATATATATATATTTTTTGAATTCAAGGTTTTTATTGTTTTCAAGTTATAAAAAGGGGTTATAGGGGTACAGAAAGGAAGAAGGGTTGGGGGGGGGAGGGTAACAGGGTCTTAGGACCAGTCGTCCATATTATCATTGTTATGACAGAATATCATTCTTTGACGTGGAATTACATGACAGTCATATTGTACATTATGAGCAATAAACAGAACAAGGTTGAGCTTGCAGTTAACGTTTTACAGCGTGTGTACCAAGCGGTACCGCCTTCCTGGTCTTGTTTTCATAGAGATTCTTTACCTTAATTTTTACATATAATTCGGGGTAGGGTACAGAAAGGGGAACTTGGGTATAAGTTTGGGTTCACAGAGTTCATATTTCTTGTTGACATTGTCTGTAGCTGTTAAGGTGCTTGAACTACCGTGTTTCTCCGAAAATAAGATCGGGTCTTATATTAATTTTAGTCACAAAAAACACACTAGGGCTTATTTTCAGGGTAGGGCTTATTTATTTACGGTACCGGTATGTACATTGAACCCTCCCTTTAATTAATCCACCCCCCCCTTTAATAAATCCACCCCCTCTAATTAATCCAGTCCACCCTTTAATTAATTCACCCCCCTTTAATTAATTCACCCCTCTAATTAATCCAGCCCACGCTTTAATTAATTCACCACCCCTTTAATTAATTCACCCCCCTCTAATTAATCCAGTCCACCCTTTAATTAATTCACCACCCCTTTAATTAATTCACCCCCTCTAATTAATCCAGCCCACCCTTTAATTAATTCACCCCCTTTAATTAATTCACCCCCCTCTAATTAATCCAGCCCACCCTTTAATTAATTCACCACCCCTTTAATTCACCCCCTTCTAATTAATCCAGCCCACCCTTTAATTAATTCACCCCCTTTAATTAATTCACCCCCTCTAATTAATCTAGCCCACCCTTTAATTAATTCACCACCCCTTTAATTAATTCACCCCCTCTAATTAATCCAGCCCACCCTTTAATTAATTCACCACCCCTTTAATTAATTCACCCCCTCTAACTAATCCAGCCCACCCTTCAATTAATTCACCACCCCTTTAATTAATTCACCCCCTCTAATTAATCCAGTCCACCCTTTAATTAATTCACCCCCCTCTAATTAATCCAGCCCACCCTTTAATTAATTCACCACCACTTTAATTAATTCACCCCCTCTAATTAATCCAGTCCCCTTTAATTAATTCACCCTCCTTTAATTAATTCACCCTCCTTTAATTAATTCACCCCCTCTAGTTAATCCAGCCCACCCTTTAATTAATTCACCCCCCTCTAATTAATCCAGCCCACCCTTTAATTAATTCACCACCCCTTTAATTAATTCACCCCCCTCTAATTAATCCAGCCCACCCTTTAATTAATTCACCCCCTTTAATTAATTCACCCCCCTCTAATTAATCCAGCCCACCCTTTAATTAATTCATCCCCCCTTTAATTAATTCATCCCCCCTTTAATTAATTCACCCCCCGCCCCCTTTAATTAATTCAGTCCCAGACATAAAATATCTAGCGGTACTCACATTTCAAAGATTCCTTGCCGAGTCCGACCACTGGGAGCCTCACCGCCTGGAAATGGATCCTTCCGCTGAAGATCCGTGAAGGCAGACTGACGGCGCTGCGAAATGTCGTCATCACGTTGCGCGATGCCGCGGCCCGCAACGCTCCTCCTACAGTAGAAGAAGGAAGTCTCGCCGCAAAGGTACAATGCCTAGGTCTTATTTTCGGGGTAGGGCTTATATTGCAGCCCACCCCGAAAATCCGACTAGGGCTTATTTTCGGGGTAGGGTTTATTTTCGGGGAAACATGGTATTATGTAGTGGTGTTCCTTGTTTTACGTTAGTTCTGGTTGCTGCAGCTGTTTATAATTGTTATTGTTTGACTCTGTGTCTAGTGGGAGGGGGGTTCCAGGATGTAACTCCTGGGGGGGGGGTGAACTATATTACATCGTGTAACAGTTTACAGTGTCTTCACTTACGTTACGGTTGGTTTGTGTTCCGTGTTATTGTGTTTGTGGTGCGTTTATTTTCCTAGATAGTAGATGGTATGTGTTTGTGAGTCTCCATCCGGGGTGTGTTCAGGAGTGGGGGGGGGGTGGTCAGGTCATGGGGCTGGTGTTTGAGTTCTGTTGGTGGACCCATAGATGTGTTGTGTCCCCTGTCCAGGCTTGAGTATACCTGAAGGTTGAGTTTTCCGGGGTTGGGTGGTGATAAGTCTGGGTGGGCTATTACCCTGTCTATGGTATTTGTGTATGCCCTGAAATGGGCTGCTTTTGTAAGGTGGGATGTGTTGGACGGTGTGTTTTTGTATAGGTCGAGTACGTCCTGCTGTGACTGGTGGTCTGCCTCTTTCAGTTCTATGGTGTGTGGCCGGTTTGTTTTGTTCCTGAGGCATTGTTCGTGTCCGGGGCGTTGTGGGGTTGCGTCCTATTTATTAGTTACACTTTTTGCCGTCTCTGTGATGGATGTGCTCTTGGGTCTGCTTGACGTTATGGTCTGGTCTGGGGTGTGTTTGCTCGGGTTCGAGTCTCGCTTTGTGTTGTTGGGTTGTTTGATGTGTGGTGGTGTGGGTGTTGTCGTTTGGCGTTGTTGCCATGGGTGGTGGAGGTGTCTTACGTTAGGGGTGTGGAGGGGGTGCGTATTTGGTGGCTCTATTGGTTGGATGAGAGGGCTGGGTTTTACCTCTGTGTTGTTGCTCCTTGGGTGCTCCCTCCCACCTGGTCTGTCCCGCTTGATGGGGCGTTTGGTAGGGTTGGGAATTCGAAGATCCATGGCTCCCATATTTTGTCGAAATGTTTGGTGGTGTCGTGTACTAAGGCTGTCAGTTTATCCATTTGCATGGCTTCGTTGATTTTATGTTTTATGATTGTGATGGACAGGATGTCTGGGCTCCCCCATTTCTCTGCGATCGCTCGCCTGGTGGCTAGTGCTAGCTTGGCCAGTAGTTTGTTTTGTGCCCTTGGGGTGTTTTTGAGGGGTCTGGATAGGAGCCACAGCCAGGGGTCCAGCGGGATTGTGGTGTGTAGTGCCTGTGTGGCTAGTCGCGCTATATGTTGCCAAAGTGTGGTTAACCGGGGACACTCCCACCACATGTGAGTGTATGTTCCTCTGTTCCCACACCCCTTCCAGCACAGATCATTGTCTGATTGTTTCATTTGTTTCAGGCGTAGTGGAGTGACGTACCATCTGAGGAGGGTTTTGTACACTTGCTCTTTGTGGTTAACGCAAATCGATACCATTGCTGTAGCTTCCCATATGTCCACCCAGTCACTCTGGTCCTCCATGGGGCCCAGGTCTCTCTCCCAGGCGGCCGTATAGGACATAGAACCTTCCCGTGATTTTCTACTTAGTAGGGAGTATAATATTGATATTTGTCCCCTGCATAGTGGGTGTGTGTTACACGCTTTTTCTAGCGGTGTGAGGGGGGTATTGCTCGTTTTCTGTAGGGCTGGTTTGTCTATGTAGCTGCGAATCTGTAGGTATCGAAAGAAGTCGTGGGTTATGAAAGGGGTCTGTTGAGGAAGTTCCGCAAAGGGTATGATCCTTTGGTTTTTGTAGAATTGATGAATGCGGGTCAGATCATTGTCTTCATAACAGGTGAAGTCCTTCGGGGACATACCTGGCGTGAATTTAGTGTTCCGGAGGATGGGCATTAGTGCGGAGGGATGGGAAATGAGATCATGTTTTTTGGTGATTTTATCCCAGATGTTGATCGTGGTGAGGATAGCTGGGGAGGTGACGGGAGTCGGTGGCCTGGCGTCTTTTGGGAGCCAGATGAAGAGGGAGGGGAAATCTGAGCCGAATATATTGTGTTCTAGGTCGACCCATCTCTTAAGGCCGGGGGCGGCGTGGAGTTGGATTGTCTGTGCTATTTGTGCAGCGTGGAAGTATTTGGTGAGGTTGGGAAGTCCCTGTCCGCCCTGTCTATTTGGTATGTACAGTGTTCGTCGGGCGATACGTGCTCTATTTCCGGACCATATAAACTTGTCTCTTTTGGTCTGTAGTTTTTTTAAAATCAGAGGCTAGTATTGGGATTGGAAGGGTTTGGAAGAGGTATAGGAACCTCGGGAGGAGGTTCATTTTTATTGAGGTCGTTCGGCCGATCCATGAAATCGACATGTCTTTCCATTTTGCTAGGTCTTGTGTGGCTGTTGCCAGTAGGGGTGTGTAATTTAAGCTGTAGGTTTGCGTTAGGTCCGCTGGGAGAGTGATACCTAGGTATTTAATGGCTGTGGTCTGGTACGTGAACGGGTGCCTTGTTTGGAGGGTTTGGAGGGTAGTTTGATCTACTTGGATCGGGAGGGCCTCGGTTTTTCCTAGGTTGAGTTTGTATCCCGAGATGTGTGCGTATTTTGTTAACTCTGTGGACAGAGGTGGTAGGGAGTTCAGCGGGTCTGCGATTGTCAAAAGTACATCATCTGCATACGCCGCAATCTTATAGGTTTCGTCCCTGATTCGAACTCCGTGGATCTCGTTGTGGTTTTGCAGGACTTGGATTAGTGGTTCGAGGGAGATGGCGAATAGGATGGGGGAGAGTGGGCAACCCTGTCGCGTGCCATTCTTAATTTGGAAAGAGGGGGCTGTTGTCGAGTGTAGGAGAGGAGTGGCCGTGGGGGAGGAGTAGAGGGTTCTCAGTGCGTCCAGGAAGGGTGATGGAAAGCCGAATTTCTGTAGGGTTGTGAATAGAAAGGGCCATAGCAGTCTATCAAATGCCTTTTCGGCATCTAGGGATATTATCAGGGTTGGAATGCGTCTGCGGTTGGCGTACCAGATTAGGTCGAAGGTGCGTCTTGTGTTATCGCTGGCTTGTCTGTTTGGGATAAAACCTACTTGGTCTGGGTGGATAAGTCGGGGAAGGAGGGGGTTGAGTCTTTCTGCCATCACCTTCGTGAATAGTTTGACGTCTATGTTTAGTAGGGATATTGGTCTGTAATGTCCGGGATCTTGCAGGGTTTCGGTAGGAGGCATATGTTCGCCTGCAGCATGTCCGGGGACAGGGGGTCCCCCTTTAGAAGAGAGTTGTAGAGTTTGCTGAGTTGCGGGAGCAGGGTCGACGCAAAGGTTTTGTAATATAGCCCCGAGAATCCGTCTGGGCCCGGGCATTTATTTGGTTTTAGTGTTTTGAGTGCTTTTGCTATTTCATCTGTTGTAATTTCTTCGGACAGTCGGCTAGCTCCGTCGGGTGTTAGTGAGGGTAGGGTGATAGAGTCGAGGTATTCGTTGATTTTGGTGGTTAGTTGTGTGGGGTCACGTCTGTGTTGGGGGCTATGATCGTAGAGCTCCGAGAAGTATTCTTGGAATACCTTTGCTATTTGGTCTGGTGATTCCTGCAGCTTTCCCTCTCTCGAATGGATTTTTGTGATTTTTTTTTTATGTGCAGCTCTACGGTTGAGTTTACGGGCAAGTAAGGTGTCCGCTTTGTTGGACTTCTCGTAAAAGAGCTGGCGGGTCCATTGGAGGGCCTTGACTGCGTCCGCGGACATGAAGTCTTTTATGGCTGCCTGATGTTGGTGTATTTTAGTGTTTAAGTCTGGTGTGGGTTGTTTTTTGAAGGCGATTTCCAGTAAGCGGAGTTCTTTTAGGTTTTTTTCGAATTGTGCTAGGCGTTGTTTCTTGTGGTGGGTGGCCTGGCTTATTAATGTGCCTCTAATTACTGCCTTGTGCGCCGCCCATAGTATCCCCTGTGAGGTGACTGAGTGTTGGTTCAGTGTGAAATAGTCGGTGATGGCCTGAGAGGTGTAATCTCTGATCGCTGGGTTATGCAATAGGGTGGGGTTCAGGCGCCAGTGCCATCGGCGGGTCATGGCCGGTGGGTCGAGGGTAAGTGAGATTTCAGTGTGGTCCGACAGCGTGATTGATCCTATTGTTGTGGATTTGATCATTGGTAATACAGATGGGGAGGTCAGGAATAAGTCTATGCGTGAGTGGGATTGGTGTGGGTGGGAGTAGAATGTGTAGTCCCGAGAGGCCGGGTGTTGCGCCCTCCATGTGTCCACAAGGTGTGTGCGCATGAGGATGGGGTGGCGTTGTAGTCTCCTCTTATTACCAGGTGGTATGAGGAGAACAGTGCTAGATGCGCCTGTAGTGCCAGCCAAAAGGAGGTTGAAGGGATGTTTGGAGCGTAAATCGAGGTAAAGGCGTATTTTTGGGTGCCTATTTTCCCTGCCACCGTTACATAGCGCCCTTGTGGGTCTGCCTCGGTTTTGTCCACTGTAAGGGGACATGCTTTATGCATTAGTATCGCTACTCCATTTTGTTTGCCTGTCGGTGAGTTAGCAAGGAAGTTCCTGTTGAAATTTCTATTTTGTAGGGGGAAAGGTCTGTTGTGTTGGAAGTGGGTTTCTTGTAAGAAAATAATTTGCGCGTGGGTTCTGTTTGCCCATCGCATGGTTTGGTGGCGCTTGAGAGGGTTGTTGAGGCCCTTGCAATTGATGAATATACATGTCAGCGGGGGTGCCATGGATCTCCTCCCAGTTTGTCCCTTTCCGGGGTGTTTTGCCCCTGGGTGGTGCAAAGGGAGAACAGGTGGGTGGGGTGGGGTGGGGGTGGGGGGTCGGCTGGGGTAGATGAGGTAAGGGAAAGGTAGTGTAGTGTTGGAGTGTGGTGTGGTGTCAAGTGCTGGTGGGTTCGTTAAGTGTGTCAGTTGTACCTGGTCTTACAGGGATATAGCCAGGAAAGTCGGAGGTGGAGTTTTGCCCCGCTCTTCTGCGGGGGCAAAGAGCAGTCGGGTGTGAGGAGAGGAGAAAGGGGTGTAAGGTTATGGGGTCGGGAAGGCCGGTGTGTCCCGTGCCTCCCCCCGAGCCTGTGTGTCTACGGTGAGCTTATATGTTGTGTGTTGCGTTGAATATGTATCCGCACGTGTTATTGAGGGCATTGTCACATGTCACTGGTTAAGCATAAAAATTTTTTAGCATACACATATATATATTTATTTATCTTGGCATATTAATATTTAGAACAAAATAATTGAAAAAAATTACAGGACCACTCCGGGAATAACTTTAAAGGACCATTCCGGGCACCATAACAACATAACAACTCCTCACAGCATTACAATAAAGTTGTTATACTGTGAGGAGCTCCTGGGCACTGTCTTTACATGTTAAACCATTCTAAACAGTTCCAGAATTCCTGAAGACTGTGCCCAACCGATCTGCCTCTAAAAGATGGGACCTTTTTTGGTCCAATTTTCAATCAGGAAGCCTCGGAGCAGGCGCCGCTGATAGTCTAAGAAAACCAGCTTATGCTCTCAGCGGTGATTTCACTCAGAAAGTTTCAGACCAAGAAAGGAAGTAGAGAGGCAGAGTTATTGGACGCCATCTTCCAGTGTTTTGGATTATATTGTTCATTAACGGTTTTTGTGGCTATGATGCTTGGAGTATTCCTTTAGCCTCTGCAGCATCTACAAGACTAATTATGGATTCACTTTTCTAAAACAAAACAAATTGTTGTTTAAGAGAGATTAAATCAGATTTTATTAAAGACACGGAGGCTCATAATATGCTGCACTATTTCTTAAATTCCCTCAGCAGCAAAGCAAGATAACATTAACATAGTTGAAAAAACAATGGAAAATGAAAAAATAACATCATGTACATACATCATATGCATAACAACACATCATCCAATGAAATACAGGCACAATCCTATATAAAGCAGGAACCATATCTCTACTTCCTCTTTCTTTGCTGCTCCCTCAGCTAAGTATATTTTTACTACTGTATTCCTGTGGTGGCTCAGGATATTAAAAATAAGGAAAGGGCATTTTAAATTGGACAAATCAGATGCATCCTATAAAAGATATAAGGAAGCCAATAATGTGTGCAAAAAGGTGATTAGATTCGCTAAACTTCAAAGTGAAAAAATTATAGCCAAAGAGTGCAAAACCAACCCCAAAGCATTATTTAAGTACATAAATTCTAAAAAAAAAAAAAATAAACGTGAAAATGTATGTACACTAAAAACTGGAATGAGGTGTTAGTTAATAAAGACCAGGAAGGGGGGGGGCATGTCATGGCTGGAGACCAGAGCGGTCGCATGCACTAGCAGCTCCGTTCCCAATTAACCTCGGATGAGTAATTAAGCCCCCCAAAAAACCAAACAAACAACAACCAACCTTGCAGAGATGTCGCAACCCAAGGGGAAAAGGACCACTGACAGGTCGGAGAAACTTTTTCGCCTCCAGAGCCGGCCAGCAAAAGACTCCACAGACACAAGAGCAGGCCCAAGATGGCGACGACGACAATGTGGAACATGCGGAGCAGATGGCGGACCAAACACCCGCCCTAACACAGGGTACACTGAAACCACTACTGGAGGAAATGTCCAATAAAATACTCAGTAAACTAGATACTGCAATGAAGGACATCCACAAAGATTTACACGAGCTGGGCACAAGAACCTCGCAAATGAAAGACAAAATGGCAGAATATGAAATAGCCCATAACACCATGGCAGATACTATAGACGGCCTTATCACCAGAATTGAAGAGCAGGACATGAAGCTTGCGGACATGGAGGACAGGGCCTGCAGGAATAACCTGCGCGTACGAGGTATAACGGAAACCGTGAGCACACAAGACCTTATGGCCCATGTTACAGGGCTCCTAAAATGTATCTTACCTGACTGGCCCCAGGAGACGCTCCTGATCGACAGGATACACCGCACAGTAAAACCGAGCTTCCTACTGCCTGAAACACCAAGGGATGTGCTGCTGTGCATGCATTACTTTCACGCTAAGGACGCAGCACTCAATGCTAACAGAACGAAGAAAAACCTACCGGAGACATACAAGATCATATCGATATACGCAGACATTTCTACCACCACGCTGAAACACCGGAGAGAGTTTAAAGATATCACACAATCAATGAGAGACAACCATTTCCCATACCGCTGGGGATATCCGACAAAGCTCCTCATAACCAGGAAAGGGAAAACTACACTAGTGAAATCACCGGAGGAAGGTTACAGACTTCTCAAAACCTGGGATATCACCTTGCCAGACAGCTCACCCGAAGGAAGGAACGCCACCAGACTCTCCCCGGACTGTAAAAAAGCAAAGAAATGCTATAACTGACTACCCACTCGACACTCACAAAATGGAGACGCTCTCTGAATGGAAAAGCTCAAGCTGGGAGATGGCCAAGATTGGGTAAAGTAACAAAAAAAAAAAATTTAAAAAATCAATAGTGCCGAAGGACATGGACAAACAAGGGACTAATAACCAGGCACTCTTAAAATAAGGGACAACTGTATTAAGAACTACTAAGGGAAGAGGCCTGGGAATTGGAACCCACTGTCTAAAACTGTATTAATAAGGGGAATAGCTGGGAGCCATTACTATGAGTACAGGTTGATTACGGTACAAGATACAGACAGATTGGCAGAAAAACCGAGACACGAAAGATAAACCTAGGCCCTCCTAGCAAACCAAACACACAGAGACACTCTGCAAAACCATACAAATGCACGTAAACACTGACTAATAAAACAACTCACAGCCTGCATAAGACTCTACACGATCGCAGCGACTTAAATTAGGTTACGGGATGGAGACGGTACAGGACGTGAAGCTCAGCTTCAACCCCAGGGCATGAAGATGCAGTGCCTAGCCATACTTATGGCAATGTTAACCTATGTTATAGTTGTTAAGTTTTATTAATTATTTCATTACTGGGTTCATTTAAACAATGCTTACTATGTTCATGGCAACATCGACCACCAGACAGCAGAGACCACACCGGGACATCCAACACCGAGAATCCTCACACTAGATAACTCGGACTCTCACACGGTCATAATATTGGTAGACACAGCACACAGGAAAGCGAAGCTCCAAGCCCAGGAGACACCATCACTAGGCTTGAAAGGCTGGGGGGGAGTGATGACTTCTGACTTCTATACTCATAAGCAAACACGTTAACTTCATACCGCACGCCCATGACGAAGACAAGAATGGTAGATATTTCATAGTAACAGGAACAATAAACGACATGTTATACACGTTAGTAAGCATATATGCACCTAACACCAACCAAACTTAGGGAATGGAAAAAAGAACTATATGACTTTAACTCCCAAAACCAAGTGCAACCAACAGCAGAAATTAAACAACAAATAGTTACCATATCCAGACTGATACACCAACAGGCCCTAGAGCAAACACAGGCATGCATGGCGAAACAAAAAATAACTCATTACATGCAGGGCAATAAAGCAAGCAAACTACTAGCGATCCACCTCAAAAAGAAACAAGCGAATCAAAAAATAGCTTACCTAATAGACGGTAAGGGAAGGAAGATCACTAAACCCAAAGACATAAGCGATGAATTCGCCAAATACTACCATAGCCTATACAACTTGAAAGAGGATAGTAACACTGCCCACCCCAAGCCTACCTAGCACAGATCAATTTGCCAGAACTCACGACACAGCAGAAAGCAGACCTGATTAAACCCATAGACTCACAAGAGATCATAGATGTCATTAAAACGTTACCTACCGGCAAATCACCTGGACCGGACGGTCTAACAAACCAGTACTACAGAACGTTCAGCTCGACCCTAGCACCATATTTAGCCACGACCTTCAACTATGCAACCTCCACAAAATTGCTCCCGAGAGAAATGCTGCTAGCCCACATAGTCACATTACCGAAACCCAACAAACCGACCACGGTTCCACAAAACTTCAGACCCATATCATTACTAAATACTGATGCAAAGATTTTTGCAAGACTATATGCAATGAGATTAGGGCAAATCATATCACATATCATACACAACAATCAGGTGGGATTTGTGAAAGGAAGACATGGGTCCGACAGCACAAGGAAAGTATTAAACCTACTATACAAACTTCAGACACACGGACCGGGAGGCCTCTTCGTATCCTAGGACGCGGAGAAGGCCTTTGATAGGTTGTACTGGGGTTTTTGCAAGGCAACATTAACAAAATTTGGGATTCCAAAGGACTTTCGTAGCAGTAGTAGAAACACTATACAGCGCACCTAAGGCACAGGTCCTAAACTCAGGCTTCTTATCGGAACCTTTCCAACTAACAAACGGCACCCGCCAGTGCTGCCCCTTGTCACCACTGCTTTACATCGTGGCCTTAGCTAGCAAAAGCAGAGTCAATACAAATATACATGGCATACAGATACTGAATACAGAGCAGGGCTGTTTGCTGATGACGTGATTCTGACACTCACACAACCACTCACCTCACTACCCAACCTCCTTACCGAAATCAACACATATGGGGAACACTCTTAATACAAACTCAACCTCACTAAAACGCAAGCTATAGGGAATAACACTGACACAACTAAAAGACTGTTTTCAGTTTGACTGGAGAGAGGATTACATCACATTCCTGGGACTGAAGATCCCTAAACACCCTGCGCAATTATTGGAGCTAAACTATGGCAGGTTATTACGAGAGGTAAGGGAAACATTGAAAAGCTGGGAGAACAAATACCTGTCCTGGATAGGAAGAATGCTGGCCATAAAGATGATGCTACTACCCAAGTTCCAATACTTATTACGCACATTACAGATATTCCTCCCGAACACCTACCTTAATAAATTACAAAGGATAATCACACAATTTGTATGGGTGAACAAGAAAACTAGACTAGCTACAAAACTCCTGTGCAAACCAATGAAACATGGGGGTCTTGGACTCCCGAATGTCCACATGTACTACAGAGCCGCCAATATGTCAGTAGCCCTACAAACACACAAAACACAAACAGCAGGGGAAAGACCACAATGGGAGGAGATATAATCTGCTGAGGAATGCCACAGAGGCATAAAACACATGTTTTGGGTTCCACACAAGTTAAGACCAAAACCTCCAAAAATACTCCCGACAACAGCACTATTGTTGGATGTCTGGGACTCCACAACACGACAACTGGGACACATTAACCACTGGGCACTGCAGACACCGTTACAGAGCCTATTCATAGCAAACCCCACACTGAACATTTGCCCGTGGACACAAAATTGTTGCACAAAAGTAGACCAACTATTCCGTGAGGGTAAAAAAGGACAGTATTCTGATTTGCGACAGAAATACAACCTACCTAAAAGCACACTGTTCTCCTACCTCCAAATGAAATCTCTGTTAGAGAACAACATAAATAAAACTTCCTCCCAACCCCTACAGCAGTTGTATAAAATATGCGAAACAGGGACCATACCAAAAAAACTGCCATCCATACTATACGCAACTCTAAATGATAGTCCACCCAACGATACACTAGATAAATTTAGAGAGCACTGGCAAAGGGATTTATGGCACACAAAGGAAGGTCAAGGTGTTCTTTACATGTAGAGTTAATGAGGAAAATCCAATATAGATGGTAAATGATACCGACCAGGTTAGCGAATATCTATCCAAACACATCGAAAATATGCTGGAGGTGTGGGGAAGATGAAGGCAGTATGTACCACATTTGGTGGACATGCCCAAAGATAAAGGGATATTGGGAGCTGGTGGAGGGGCTTATCAACGGTTCCTTACACACAAAAATCACACTGCAGCCGGAGAATGGGCTGCTTTTCAGGATTCCAGATACTCTCAACAAAGCACAAAAGACACTCTTGTTTCACATACTGATAGCTGCAAACACACTGATTAGCACGGGCATGGAAGCAAACCACTTGCCCTAAGCAAAACCGGCTTCTATCTCGGTTCTCCTTGAACTTACTGTATGAAACGAAGCTTACGACAAACTATACATCCCCAGGCCATATCTTAGAGGCCAGACACAACTGGGAAATGTTTACAATAGGGAGGGAACAAACGGATCCTGCATCTTAACACAAAAGAATAAAATGTATAAGAGCAAGGCCATACTAAAGGGGAACATGACTGACATTACAGATGTGGTACCATAACCGCTAAGAAGGCTCTGCATAGCCAACAGTGTTGAGGTTCTGCTTGTATACAGCATGTTGATGTGAACACTAGATGTTGAGACACCAGTGGTTGAAATTTGCCCTACTGTAAGCTGTTTAAGATAACATGTTACGTAATATGTGAATCGTACAAGGTTTTCACGAACCTAAACGCATTTCCCCCCCCCTTCTTTCTTTCTGTATCCCTGTTTTATGTTTTTTGAGAAAGAGAAAAAAAATTAATAAAGCACAAATTGGAAAAAAATAAAGACCAGGAAAAGGCAGCAATTTTAACCCCTTAAGGACACATGACATGTGTGACATGTCATGATTCCCTTTTATTCCAGAAGTTTGGTCCTTAAGGGGTTAAACAAGTATTTCTCCTTTGTATATATTAAGGAAGAACCCATGGCAATAGATAGATAGAAACATTGTAATTGGTTAACATTAAGACAAGGTACTGCAGCAACTAGGCATGTGCATGGGGAAAATTTTCGGTTCCACATTCCGAAATTCGGGACTTCCGCAATTCGGCATTTCAGAAATTCCCACGGTATTAGGGAGTTATCTACCAAAAGGCTAAAAGACCTAAATTGGTCTTTCAGGGTGGGGGCCCTAAATTAGAATAAAGGGGGGGACCTAATGTCCTCCCCTCTGGCCCCCACCCCTGAGCGGTGGGTAGGGGCCCTAAATTCTAATAAGGGGGGGATCTAATGTCCTCCCCCCTGGCCCCACACCTGAGCGGCGGGTTGAGGCTCTAAAAAAAAAAATTAAAAAAATAACCCCCCCTCCCCCAGGTCATTTTACACAGCGTGGAAAAGTTCTTTGGAATTTTCCCACGCTGTGTAATTTGACTCATAACACTCTGATTGGTTAAGTAACCAATCAGAGTGTTATGAGTCAAATTACACAGCGTGGGAAAATTCCAAAGAACTTTCCCACGCTGTGTAAAATGACACAGAGCACTCTGATTGGTTGGCTTAAACCCACCAATCAGAGTGTTCTGAGCCTAATTGCAGGGCAGGGCAAGGCTTTATAAGCCTTCCCCCTCCCTGCAGAGGTCAGTCTGCACGGAGCCCTCCATGGGTAAATATGGATTATTATTTTTTTAGCTATTTTTTTTTTTTTAAAGTGCGTCAGTCATTATTTTTAGGATGAGGGGGGTAGGTAGGGTTTAGTTTTTTTGGGTGAGGGGGGTGACTAGGGACGGGGGGTTATTTTTTTATTTAGGGCTCCCACCCGCCGCTCAGGGGTGGGGGCCAGGGGGAGGACATTAGTTCCCCCCTTAATAGTATTTAGGGCACCCACCACTCAGGGGTGGGGGCCAGGGGGGAGGACAATAGGTCCCCCCTTTATTTTACCTTAGGGCCCCCTCCCGCCGCTCAGTGGTGGGGGCTGGGGGGAGGACAATAGGTCCCCCCCATCATTTTACATTAGGGCCCCCACCTGCCGCACAGGGGTGGGGGCCAGGGGGGAGGACATTAGGTCCCCCCCTTATTCTAATTTAGGGCCCTCACCCACCGCTCAGGGGTGGGGGCCAGGGGGGAGGACAATAGGTCCCCCCTTTATTTTACCTTAGGGCCCCCTCCCGCCGCTCAGTGGTGGGGGCCGGGGGGGGGCAATAGGTTTAGTTTAAAAGCCCCCACTCGCGCGTCGTAGGGGCATAATTTACTAATCCTGAGTAATGTTTACTTAGTATTAGTAAATTTGGCTGAAAGACCAATTTAGGTCTTTCAGCCTTTTAGTAGATAGCTCCCTAATACCGTGGCTGGCCAAGTAACTTACATTTTACATGAATGTTTGTTACGTGATTGTTGTAAGTGTTGCAAATGCTTACAGATGAATCCTGGCTATGTTTGTATACTTTTTATTTAAAATTGTATACATTGTAACATTCTTCATTCTTCCACTGGGTAAGTATATTAGGTCTTAGGCAATACTGTAATTCGGCACTTCGGCAACTTCGGAACTTCGGCAACTTCAGCACTTCGACACTTCGGAAATTCGTTAATTTCGGGACTTCGGCAATTCGGCAATCCATCTATTCGGACATTCGGAAGTACCCGAATGTCCGAATTTCCCGAAATTCGTCTGAATTCGTCTGAATTCACAATCGGACCAAAACAAATTGCACATGTCTAGCAGCAACTAAAGAAACTTAATATAAACAAAGCTCCAGGGCTTGAAGGTATTCATCCACGAGTACTTAAGGAACTAAGTGTAGAAATATGTGAACCTCTGTTTTTAATCTTTTAAGATTCTTTTCTTTCAGGAAGTGGTCCGGAGAATTGGAGGAAGGCAGATCTGATTCCTATATTTAAAAAGGGTTCAAAATCCTTGCCTGAAAATTATAGACCTGTGAGCTTAACTTCCGTGGCTGGAAAAGTATTTGAAAGGTTAAAGGATAATATTCAAGAATTCCTTGAGAAGAACATGGTTATCAGCAAAAATCAGCATGGTTTTATGAAGCACACGTCATGTCAAACTAACCTGATTACATTCTACGAAGAAGTAAGTAGAAGTATAGATCTGGGTGTTGCAGTGGATGTGATCTATTTGGATTTTACAAAGGCATTTGATCAAGTTCCACACAATAGATTAGTGTTCAAACTAAAAGAAATGATGAAAATTCTTGTTCTTGGGTAGAACATTGGCTTAATAATAGAGTACAAAGAGTTGTCATTAATGGTACATTTTCAAGCTGGACAGAGGTGGTAAGTGGTGTATACCCTTAAAGGAAGTAAATTAGGGATAACAACACACGGAAATGACATGGGAATTGTTATAGACAACAAACTATGCAACAGTGGCTAAGGCCAGTAAGGTGTTGTCATGCATGAAATAGGGCATTCATTTTCAGAGAAAATCATTTTGCATCTTTATAAATCGCTGGTAAGACCACATATTGAATATGCTGTGCAATTATAGGCACCTGTACTGAAGAAGGATATTATAGCACTAGAAAAAGTGCAGAGGCGGGCTACAAAATTAATAAAGGGAATGAAACATATCAGCTATGAAGAAAGCTTAACAAATTTAAAATTCTTTAGTTTAGCAAAACGTCGCCTGAGAGGGGATATGATAACATTATACAAAGATATTCAAGGCCAATACAAACCATTGCGTTGAAATCTATTCCCAAACCGGACTTTACATAGGACACATGGTCATGCGTTTAAACTGGAAGAAAGAAGATTTCGTCTAAAGCAAAGAAAAGTTTTTTTTACTGTAAGAACAATAAGGATGTGGAATTCTCCGCCTCAAGAAGTGGTTTTATCATAGTCCATACAGATGTTCAAACAGCAACTAGATGCATACTTGTAAAAACAAAATATTCAAGGATATAAATTTTCAATGTAGGATTATAGCTTCTTGATCCAAGGATAAATCTGACTGCCATTCTGGGGTCAAGAAGGAATTGTTTTCCTAGTTTGTTGCAAAATTGGCAGTGCTTCAAACTGGGTTTTTTGCCTTCTTTTGGATCAACAGCAAAAAACAAATGTGAGGAAGGCTGAACTTGATGGATGCATGTCTCTTTTCAGCTATGTAACTATGTACCCCACCCCCCCTTTTGTGGAGGGGGTCCTCCGAACCCTTACTGGACCCTTTGATGTTTTTTTTTTTGCTTCTAGGCATTGTTTACTTATATTTATTATATATTTCAGACATTGTATTGTTGCTTATAATTATACATATTTCTGACATTGTATTGGAATGTAGGTTTAGCATTGTGGGTGTTGCCTTCCCTCCTTCTCACTGTAGTGGGGTTTCCTCTCCCAAGGGGCCTCCCCCTCACCGGGCGCTCACCCTCCTTCAGACACGGACTCCAGCTGACTCGGGGGCTGCGCACATCCGCACGTATGCGAGCGGCAACCTACGGGTGCCATCTTTTCAGAGCCTAATTCAGCTCACGGCGGCCATCTTTTTGGTTCCGCCGCCCACTTGAGGCCGCTATTTTCACGGAGCCTTACACTGCCCGCGGCCATCTTGTTGGTGTCCCTGTGGGTTGGGGTGGCCATTTTTTCTGCTCGGTTTACGCATGTTTTGCGCGGGAACCGCCCTTACACCTCCCCTCTGGGCTGCTGCCTGGGTGCCATTTCCCTTTGCTTGTTTTGGCACCCGGACGGCTCCTTGCTCCTCTGATTAACTGCAAGTTTAATTTGGTGTTTTTCCTACAGTTGCTAGTCATTTTTTCCTTTAGGGTCTTTGGGCTACTTAACCCTGGGCCCTGTCTCTGCTCACTATTTTGCCCTTGCACATCAAGGATTTCCTACTAAAGTATACCTTGCAGCATCAGGGTTTCTTCCAACTTTATACCCTTTGAGTTGCCTGTGAAGGTGCTTTATTTGTCAAGTTTCAATACCATGACAAGTGCTACCACGCCTTCACCTAAGGTGGATCAGGAGGCTACTGGGGCTCCTGCAAGGATCTCCTCATCCGCCTCAGACAAGGAAGTCAGATTGTTGGGCTCAGACGAGTTCCAAACAATTCTGGACTCCTTTATGTCCAAATCTATGACCAAGGCTTTGGTTTCAGCTATGGGCTTTATGTCCAGTTCCCTGTCCACCAATATTTCCCAAGCATTCTTGCATGCGCAGCGTTCTGTCCCTGCAACAGATCCACCCGCTGTGGCTACTGCTTTGAACATACCCAGCCGGAAGGCCCTGTCAAAATCCAAACACTCCTCCAAACATATTGTGATGGATAGTATTACACCTGTCTCAGATGACGAACAACTAGCACAACTGCGCAAAAGAGCCACTAGCCATGCACAACCGGCTACGATGTGGAAAAAGGCTAAGGCCCACACTGATGTGTCTGAGCCTCAGATCAGCGATTCTGAGGAGGAGTTAATCGAGTCCTGTCTAGATGGGAGGTTTGACATTGATTCAGAGGATGCAGGGGATGACATCCCAGCTCCCTCACATGCCCCTTCTACTGAAGGCACCTACAAATTGAGACACCTTGTTCAGCCGAATGGTCCCCGGCCGAACATGGGCACAATATATGGCTTTGCGGGTCCTCAAGCCCCTAGAAAAAGCAACGCAAAATAAGCTGCGGGCTGAATGCCCACGCCTGACTGTTCCCAATAAGGTGTGTCAAACGCCGGTTATGGAACCCAAAATTGTCCAGTTCTTGGGGAAAACAGGGTGGAAATCCAAAAAGGGGCTGGATTATTCACTACGCAATTGCCAGGAAAAAATCCTGGACATCCTGGACTGGCCACTAAGATATTTGAGGCAGTTGAGGATGCATTGTTGTCACGACACACTCCTTAGTTGATATGCCTTCGTGCAGTGCCCACACTCACCACTACCACTGTTTGGCACTGTTCCTAATTTCTTTTCATTAGCACTACACCTGGTCCTTGTTTAGCACCTTTTATAGTTTGGTTTCTCCCCTCACTCCTTGTCAGATCATTGTTTCTTGTTCCGTGGTTCTTGTTTCCAGTTTCCTGATTCCTGTGATTCTGACTCTCTCTCCTTGATCCTGTTTCCTGCGTTTCCTGGTCCTGTATTCTCGTGTCTTCTTGGTCCTACGTTCCCGTGTCCTCCTGGTCCTGCGTTCCTGTGCCTTCCGATCCGGTGTTCTGGTTCAGTGTTCCTGTCATCTGCCTTATTACCAGTGATCCTGACCCTGCAGCCTTGTTCGTTTGTCCTGCTTCGGACTTTGCTTCCTGGTGACATTATATTTGTTTTGTGGCTCTGGATCTGTGTCCTACCGATTTCTAGTGGTAGCTGCACAATCCTGCCCAAGTATATTCCTTATACCAAAGGACTGTTTAAGTATACTCTGCCTGCACCATTATGGTAATCCTGATTTATTGTAAATATTGTTCTGTGGAATTGTGTATGTATGTATGCATACATTTATGTGAGTGTGTGTGTGTGTGTGTGTGTGTGTATGTATATTTTTATTTTATTTTTTTAATTAATTTTTTTTCCGTTATTTTTTTGTCCTTTGGTTCTCTTTAATATATCTCTCTTGATTTACTCTATTCATTGTGTCTTTGCATTTATTCTTTGCTATATTGGCTCCCACATTTAAAGGGATAGTGCTGTCTCAGGACAGCACTCCTTCCTGTCATGACAATTGTATAACAACCTGCAACTGGATTTGTTATCTGTCAGGAGATGGGATTCAGAGATTGGTATGCCTAATAGGCAACACAAACACGGCGATTGCTACGGAACGCCGAAAAATACATTCTTTACAAAATTTAGCCTAAACTGATTAATTTGGCCATAAATGAACCAGGGGGACAAGCCCAAGGATTCCTCTTTGGAGATTTTTTGGAAAAGATCTGGGGGCATACGTACAGAACTTTACTGCGCTATATAAGGCGCAATGAAACATGTGCAGGGTCTTCCACCCCAAGGTTTTTCACTGGAGCTGGAAGAGCCAGGAGCCGTCTGCCCAGCCTTCCCCCGAGAGATTCGTCCAGTATGAGCCAAGGTTCTTATCCAGGTAGATCATCCATGCCTGAGTACAAGCCCAACCAACCATTCTTCCCGCATCGGAGCAGACTATGGTCCGCGAGAGGACCACGGGGAATGCCTTCCGGACGACACGCTTACAGTAAGCTTGCTCAATCTCCATTCTTCCCTATGGTCTGTGGGGGGACGACTCACACATTTTTTCTATGTATGGGCTCTAATAACCCAGGATACGTGGGTGCTCCAAGCTGTACGGGGATATGCTATAGAGTTTGTGTATCTGCCTCTCCAATTGTTCCCACCCAAAGGGATTATTTTTTCAGGTACCACCATTTCAAAATGGAGGGGCTCCACTGTCGTCGCAACCTACTTCACCCGTCAGATTGGATGTCCAAATTGGACCTAAAGGATGCATACCTCACGGTGCCGATATCTGTAAGCAACCGCAACTTCCTGCAATTCATTTGGGAAGGAAAGAAATGGAGATTCACATGCCTCCCATTCGGACTCTCTTCAGCCCCGTGGTGCTTTACCAAAATCCTGAAGCAGGTAGTCGCTTTTCTGAGCAGTTGAGGCATACGTCTCACCATTTACCTCAATGACATTCTTCTAATGTTGTCTTCCCAAAGCACATTGCATTTGCACCTGGCCTGGACCATGACCCTCCTCCAAAATCTGGGATTCCTAATCAACGAGGAGAAATCCATTCTCTCGCCCACGCAACACATAGAATTTCTAGGCCTGCTGATTCAACAACACAGACTCTACAACTACCCATGTCCAAAGTGAAGTCTATCAAAAGAAAATCTCTCTCTTGCTGCACACCCCGCAGATCTCTCTCAAACAGCTGGCTCGTATGGTCGGCCTTCTAGCAGCTTCTATCCAAGCAATTTTTCAAGGACCGCTCCACTACAGGGCACTACAACGCCTTCAAGCGGTCTACAGGTACAGGTTCTTCCTACGAAGAGGCTGTAATCTTAGATATGGAAGCAAAAGAGGAACTCAAATGGTGGCTCTGCCACATGGAGGAATGGAACGGATGCGCCATCTTTGGCATGGCTCCAGATGTGATTGTAGAATCTGACGCAAGTCTACATGGCTGGGGCGCACGCTGCAAAGATATCTCCAGGGGTGGAAGCTGGTCCCAGGAACAGAAAAGCTACCACATAAATTGTCTGGAACTCCTGGCCAAGCTCTCAATGTTCTATTTTGTTGAGGATGGACAATGTATCGGAGGTTCGGTACATCAACCGTCTAGCCTCCAGGATCCTAGCGAACATGCCCTGCGATTTTTTTACATTATTGACTACACCTCGAAATTTCAGTAACAGCGGAATACATTCCCGGCCTCTCCAACAAGACAGCCGATTGGAACTCTCTTCACCTCTTCAAGGCTATTGAGGGTATTGAAGGTACTGCGGTCGGACGACAGACATACATATTTCGACTCCTGCACGGCATCCGTCTCTCTAGACCCCCCAGACCTCTTTACTCTGTGGGATGTACATTGTGGGATGTTAATGCTGTCTTATACTTTCTTGAGACTGTGCATAATTGTCACATATTCATCCGCATATAAAAATGTGATGAATGACATTTACTGTTCTGACAGGAAAAGTTATGCCGAGCAGCAATCCAATCCACAGGAGGGTTTGTGCTGAGTGACAATTATGCAAATGGGAACCTGGTAACTGCCTTTGGGTTCAAAGGTCGATTACAGCCTATCAGATATAGAGGAGGGGTATTTAGGCCCAGTTCTCATCCTGCTCAGTGCCCTGTCGTGGTTTCCCTAGTAGTTGTCCGAGAGCACGTTCCTGATTCAAGTGTCTTCTGGTTTTTTACTTTGGCTTTGATTTTGACTTCCCTGTATTCTGGTATCCCTGACTTCTGGCTTTTCCTTATCGTTGTGTCTCTTCCTGTATCCCCTGAACTCGGCAAGTATCCTGACTACTCTTTGGTACGTTAAGTCCAGCCATTCTAAGGCACGGTAATACGTTACCTATTAGTCATTTGTGTGACACAATTCTACGTGCTGGATCAACTAGTAATCCTGACATTATGACATGGCCATAGATACTGTAGAATTGTGTCAGTACATAGCTGCTTGCGAGAGAAAGCTAGTGGAGAATGACCACTGTATGGATCAGTTTGCCCAGGCTTTCAGTACGCTCCTTACTCGAACAGCGCATCTGCAACCTGCGTCTTCTCCAACGGTGTCACCTCCGCCTAATGTACCTCCTGTAGTACATAAGGTACCTACAATCTCCCTATCTCCTCCCTTGCATTTCGATGGTAATATTCAAGAATGCCGGGGATTCATTAACCAAATTGAGTATCATTTTGAAGCCTCACCGCGATCTTTTCCCACTAACAGAGCTAAAATTGGTTACCTGATGAACCAACTTAAAGGTAAAGCTGTAGCTTGGGCCAATCCGTTATGGGAGAGTAGTAAGAGCATTGCACAAAATTACCATGAATTTAAACTTACGTTTGAACCATTAGGCAGGGAGGATGACGCCTCCACTGCCCTAATGCATATTAGCCAAGGGAACCGGTCTATCTTGGAGTATGCCAAAGAATTTCGCACCTTGGCTTCCAAGGTAGACTGGACTAACAGCGGATTAATCTCAACATTTAAGAAGGGATTATCTGAGACTATGTTGGATGAGATTGCTGCCAAAGAACTACCTAAAAAACTCAATGAGTTTATTATGTTTATTATGCTTATTGATAATAGACTCAGAACCAGAAATGAAACCAGACGTATGGCTTTGCCATTAGCACCTCATTTCTCCAGACCAGTTTTTCACGATCTCTCTATACAGTCCGAACCTATGCAGTTGGGGGTCATTAGACTGTCAGAGGCAGAAAGACAACATAGGAGAAGAGAGAGTCTATGCATATACTGTGGTAAAAAAGGACAAATGAGGAGTACTTGTCCCATACGTCCGGAAAACTACCACACCTAAGAACCTTAAGGGGACAGGTCTTAGGTGTAATGGATACGTCCTCTGGGAATAACAAATAGATTTCTCCTTGATATTACGATCATAGTTGACAAAAAGAACTTTTCATGCAAGGTCCTGATGGACTCAGGTGCAGCAGGAAATGTCATTGATGTTCATTTTGTTAAAAAGAATGCTATACCTATCAAGGAGAGAATATCACCTCTGGCCGTTGAGGCTCTTGACGGGAGATCACTCTCTCAACCCTTAATTACCCATGAAACCATGCACATTAACATGTCTATTGGTGCCTTACATAAGGAAGATATAATATTCCAAGTTATTGCATCTCCTTCTTGCCCTATCATATTCGGCTTTCCTGGGCTTAGTAAGCATAACCCTCATATCGACTGGGCTAATGGGGAAATATTGTAATGGGCAAAGGATTGTAATGGGAAGTGTATGTTACACCTCACCAAGAGAGTGGGTAACATTAAATTACCCATTACTACACCTCAAACCCCCGAAGTTCCCATACAATACCGGGAGGTTAAGGAAGTATTTAGTAAGAGTCAGTCCAATATCTTACCTTCTCACAGGTCATATGACTGCTCCAAAAATCTGTTACCCGGCGCTATGCCACCTAAAGGGACATATATGCCTTATCGCCACAGAAGAGTAAAATAATGGAAGAATATATCAAAGACTCACTAAACAAGGGCCATATACGGATATCATCCTCCCCTGCTGGTGCAGGCTTCTTTTTTGTAGAAAAGAAAGATGGAGAATTACATCCATGCATTGACTACAGAGCATTAAATAAGATTACTGTTAAGAATGCCTATCCTATTCCTCTCATTTCTGAATTGTTTGATAGACTTCATAGGGTGCTAAGATCTTTACCAAACTGGATCTCAGGAGTGCATACAATTTGGTAAGAATCAAGGAAAATCATGAGTGGGAAAACGGCATTTAACACTAGATGCGGGCACTATGAGTACCTTATTATGCCTTTTGGGCTATGCAATGCATCGGCCGTGTTCCAGGATTTTATTAATGATGTACTCAGGGATTATATCTATTAATTTGTCCTGGTTTATTTGGATGATATCCTTATTTATTCCCCTGACCTTCAAACCCACCACAAACAGGTCAAACAAGTATTGCAGACTTTACTGGAAAACAAACTTTATTGTAAATTGGAAAAATGCTCATTTGATGAGACTGAAGTACAGTTTTTGGGGTATACCATTTATGCCTCTGGTTTTCAGATGGACCCTAAGAAACTAGTGGCTGTTATACAGTGGCCAGTGCCTAGCGGACTAAAAGCCATCCAAAGATTTATTGGGTTTGCAAACTATTACAGAAAATTTATCAAGAGGTTTTCTTCTGTAATAGCCCCCATCACCAATATGACACGTAAGGGGGCTAGTAGTAGGGTATGGTCTAAGGAAGCTAGAGAGGCTTTTCAACTTCTTAAACAAAGGTTTGCTTCTGCCGACATACTGAGACACCCTAATACCAGCAAACCCTTCATATTGAAAGTTGATGCCTCCGAAACTGGGGTAGGGGCGGTTTTTTCTCAAAGGGAGAGTCAGGACACCTCTTTGCATCCTTGTGGTTACTTTTCCAGAAAGTTGTCCCCCGCTGAGCGCAGTTTATGATATTGGCAACAGAGAATTGTTGGCCATTATCCTAGCACTTAAAGAATTGCAACATATTTTGGAAGGTTCCAAGGATCCCCTTTTGATCATTACGGACCATAAGAATGTGGCTTATATAGGGGATGTTAAACGTCTATCTTCTAGACAGGCTAGATGGTCTTTGTTTCTGTCTTGCTTTAACTTCCTTATAACTTACAGACCTGGTCCCAAAAATGCGAAGGCTGATGCCTTGTCTAGACAGTTTGATACTGAGTCTTTACAGGAACACGAGACATCCCCTATCGTGCCTCCTGAATGTATCATCGCTTCCTGTCCCTTGCTTGGTGCTATAATGGAGGCTCAGTCTCAGGTACCATGCAATAAACCACTGGACAAATTGTTTGTTCCTTTAGGTGAAAGAAGAAATGTGCTGAGGGTGTTCCACTACAATGTGACTGCTGGACACCCAGGTATCAATAAATCCATATCTGCGATCCTGAGATCATTTTGGTGGGAATCCCTTAAAAACGACGTGAAGGACTATGTACAGGCTTGTTCAGTTTGTGCTGTTTCTAAGGTCTCTCATAAGCTTCCTTGTGGTTTGTTGCAACCACTTCCTGTACCTAGTGTTCCATGGTCCCACTTGTCAATGGACTTCATCGTTGAACTTCCGAGTTCTACTGGCTATACCACCATTTTTATGGTGTTTGACCGTTTCTCCAAGATGGCTCATTTTATTCCACTTAAAAAATTGCCATCCTCTCAAGACCTGGTTCTTATCTTTATACATGAGATTGTCCGACTACATGGCATTCCTCACAATATTATGTCTGATAGGGGCTCTCAGTTTGTGTCTCAGTTTTGGAGGGCGTTCAGTAAACGGTTGGGCATTGAATTGTCTTTTTCTTCTGCTTACCATCCCCAAACTACTGGCATGGCTGAGAGGGCTAACCAGTCATTAGAGTTATATCTGCGTTGTTTTGTAAATAGCACTCAAGATAATTGGTCCGAATTACTACCCTGGGCCGAGTTTGCTAGGAACAATGCTACCCATGACTCTTCTGGTCACAGCCCATTCTTTGTTAATAACGGTTGTCATCCTACTGTCCTGCCGGCTGTTTTCTCCGAGACAACTATCCCTGCTTTGGATGATCGCCTTTCTTCTCTCCGTGATACTTGTACCAAAGTTAATTCCGCTCTCAAAACTGCAGCTGATCGCTTCAAGTTCTATGCGGATAAACGGCGGGGTGCCAACCCCTTTTACTAAGTGGGTGACAGGGTATGGTTATAATCGCGCAACATCAAATTGAAAGTACCTAGTATGAAGTCTGTACCCAGATCTCTGGCCCTCCCGGCCTCATTACGTATTCCTAATACCTTTCATGTGTCACTACTCAAACTTCTTGTTTGCAATAAATATACTGTCTCAAGTGTCCCTCCTCCTTCCTTAGTTGTTTCTGGACAGGAAGATTATGAGGTCTCTTCCATAATTGATTCCAGGTTTTCTCGGGGCACTTTACAGTACTTGGTGGATTGGAAAGGTTATGGACCAGCCGATCGTTCTTGGGTTCTGGCATCTGATATACATGCTGGCCGCAAGATTCGCTATTTTCACACCAAGTTTCCTCTCAAGCCTGGTCCTGCCCGCCTGGTGGGCATTCTTCAGGTGGGGGGTAATGTGACGTATTCATCCGCATAAAAAAATGTGATGAATGACATTTACTGTTCTGACAGGAAAAGTTGTGCTGAGCGGCAATCAAATCCACAGGAGGGTTTGTGCTGAGGAGCAATTATGCAAATGAGAACCTGGTAACTGCCTTTGGGGTCAAAGGTCGATTACAGCCTATCAGATATAGAGGAGGGGTATTTAGGCCCAGTTCTCATCTTGCTCAGTGCCTTGTCGTGGTTTCCCTAGTGGTTGTCAGAGAGCGCGTTCCTGATTTAAGTTTCTTCTGGTTTTTGACTTTGGCTTTGATTTTGACTTCCCTGTATCTGGCATCCCTGACTTCTGGCTTTCCCTTATCGTTGTGTCTCTTTCTGTATCCCCTGACCTCGGCAAGTATCCTGACTACTCTTTGGTACGTTAAGTCCAGCCATACTAAGGCCCGGTAATACGTTGCCTATTAGTCATCTATGTGACACAATTCTACGTGCTGGATCAACTAGTAATCCTGACAATAATGAATTATTGGTTCTTTTTTGCTAATTCTCATGAAAAAGGGTTTCAGATGTGAGAGTGTTGGCTATCGATGACCGCTCATTCACTCCTGCAGGTGTCCTTTTCGATATTTCTCATAGGACTAAGACATCTTCTCGTTCAACTGCCTACCCGTCATTTCCTGTAAGACCAAATCTATGCCCTGTTCGATGTTTGCAGGAATATGAAGCGAGAACCACGGCTCTTCACCACCCAGATAGCATCAATTGTTTATCTCTTTTCGCAAACCACACCTACCAGTGTCATCCTCCACTTGGAGGAAAAAATGGGTCATGGCTGAGAGGGCTAACCAGTCAGAGTTATATCTGCGTTGTTTTGTAAATAGCACTCAAGATAATTGGTCCAAATTACTACCCTGGGCCGAGTTTGCTAGGAACAATGCTACCCATGACTCTTCTGGTCACAGCCCATTCTTTGTTAATAACGGTTGTCATCCTACTGTCCTGCCGGCTGTTTTCTCCGAGACAACTATCCCTGCTTTGGATGATCGCCTTTCTTCTCTCCGTGATACTTGTACCAAAGTTAATTCCGCTCTCAAAACTGCAGCTGATCGCTTCAAGTACTATGCGGATAAACGGCGGGTGCCAACCCCTTTTACTAAGTGGGTGACAGGGTATGGTTATAATTGCGCAACATCAAATTAGCGGGTATTGATGTTTCCCTGTTTTCCCCGCACTCTGTTCGGTGGGCTATGGCCTCTAAACCCTCATCTGCTGGTTGTAGATTGGAAGACATTCTGAAAGCAGTGGACTGGTCTTCGGAATGTACTTTCAGGGATTTCTATTTTAAACCCATCAGCCATTTTTCAGAAGAAGTTATTGACCAGCTTTGAACACGCATAATATAAGCCTCTGTGTCTTTAATATTCGTAAAATCTGGGTATTTTATTAAAGGCACGGAGGCAAGTATTAACCCTTCCATTGAACTCTCTCTACTGGGATACGGTAAGTGGATTGTTTGTTTCCATGACTATGATGTGTTTCATTATGGGTAAGGGATTACGTTTGACACGTAGTGCATGGTTTATAATATTTATGTTGCTTACTAACCTGATTACCGATTTCATATACTTACCTATTAACTACTATAATTGTGGGTGATGATGATTGCGCATACTTGGTACTCCCAGTTATTACCATATTGTTTCTTTTCTTTTAGCCTAACTTGCTTCATGGACAACTTCCCTGAAAGTTCAAAACTTCTATATATGATTCTACAGTTCGTTGCAGTTTGTCCTGCTATTTGGCTTATATTGTTCCGAAAAGTTTAAATCGATTTAGCTTCGGGATCAACAGAAAGAGGAAGTGGAGAGATAGGTCCTGCCTTATATAGGATTGTGCCTGTATTTCATTGGATGATGTGTTATGCATATGATGTATGTACAGGATGTTATTTTTTCATTTTCCATAGTTTTTTCAACTATGTTAAAACGGAACCCGTTTTCCTGGCACTGCAGAATCCTGCAGTGCCCCTCTCCCTCCCATGATGCTGAATGGGTTAAAACCCCTTCAGTGACTTACCTGAATCCACCGCCGATGTCCCTCGGCACTGGGTCAGGCTCCGCCCACACTGCTCCCCCACCGTCAGCCGGCGGGGGAGAACTAATGCGCATGCGCAGCAATGTGGGCGCGCGCTTAAGACCTCCCCATAGGAAAGCATTGAATAACATTCAATGCTTTCCTATGGGGATTCTGGCGATACTGGAAGTCCTCATGCATAGCGTGAGGACTTCCAGCATCGTTTAAAACACTTTTCGTGTTTTAAGAAGCCAGAAGCCCCTCTAGTGGCTGTCTAATAGACAGCCCCTAGAGGAGGACTTAACTCTGCAAGGTAATTATTGCAGTTTATAAAACTGCAATATATACACTTGCAGGGTTAAGGGTGATGCTGCAGACCACAGCATAAGTGGTCTGGGTGCCTGGAGTGTCCCTTTAATGTTATCTTGCTTTGCTGCTGAGGAGATTAAAGAAGTGCAGTATAATATACTCGCCTCTGTGTCTTCAATAAAATCATGATATTAGTAAAATCTGGGTATTATAAGAACATCAAATGGCATTATGTAAAATAAAGAATCTATGTAGACAATGTTATAGAAGAAATACTTTATTCAGTTATATATTTACCTATATTTATTAGAAACAAAGAATTAATACTTAGTGCAAACATATTCTGCAGTGCTGTACAATTTTCCTGCAGGTATATAACAGCAAACGAGACAAACTGTTACAAACTATGACATATGTTAACAGAAACAAGCAAGGTTATTTACCAACGTGAGAATTTTAAGTGAATTCAAAGTAAATTTCTACTTTAAGGCCAGAGTAGCCCAACTGAAAGCACAGCTGACTGAAATTTTTCCAGTTCAGCTATTTTGAATTTAAATTTTAAATTCAGAGTAATTATTATTATTAATATAGCACCAACTTACTTTCTAGCGCTTTACAATATTATAAAGGGGTAGTATTTAACAGCAAATGAGACAAACTGTTACAAGTATTGTTAGGAACAATTGGTCTCACTGTAATGAATAACCCTGAAGATGTTAATAAGGACCCCCCCATCTTTTAACCCTAAATATAGTGAAATCTTACCTTTATTCCAGTCTGTGCTTCTGGCTCTGCCCCTGATCTGCCTGCTTGGCTGACATCATCAGAAGTGGTGATCTAAACCAATCACAATGCTTTCACATAGGAAAGCATTGGATTGGTGGATATTGTCAAGGGTGCATATCAGGGGGAGAGCCAGCACAAGCCAATCACAGCCCTGGCCAATCAGCATGTCCTCATAGAAATGCATTGAATCAATGCATCTCTATGAGGAAAGTTCAGCATTGCCATGAAGAGGGTGGAGACACTGAATGTCAGTGCTGCTCATTGTGCAGAACTGCCCCAGGAAGCAAGATGCATCCCTAGGCTGTAATGTAAACACTGCATGTCCTCAGAAAAGCAGTATTTACGGTAAAAAGCTTGAAGGGAATAATTCTGCTCACCAAAACAAATACAATAAGCTGTCGTTCTGGTGATTATAGTGTCCATTTAATATATAAGGGGAATACTCAGGTTATGTTGGAACATTGTATAAGTGAGAATTTTGTCTAGATTAAAAAAGAACCTTACTGTATGTGTTTTCATGTTTTTTTCAGTACAACAAGAATTAATCAGTGTTATAAGGCTGTATAGTGTGCCCTTTCCCAAACATGTCAGTCACTGTTTCATCACGGGGTTAATCAGGCTTTTCCATATTTAAAGGATGGGTATGTTTCATGAAGGAGTCTAAGGGTGTGTCAGGAATGTGCATTAAAAACACACAGGGAGAGCTCTTGGTAGTTTAAGAGTAATATTAACAATGTCATTTGTGGCTACCACAACAGGTCTGCTACCAATTAAGGGGATGCAATGTATAGCACAAGAAATACAGTGTAAACAACAAAAATGGCTTAACTGTGCTTTTCACATCTTTCATAGTAGTATATTTGGCTTAGCACAACTTGAAACCATGCGGCCCCACAGTATGTATAATGCATGATCTGCAATAGAAAATTCAGTTATCCCAAACCCGACACTATATTTATCTATGTTTTATACATAACAGAGGACAGCACTTTTTGTATTGCAGTTCTTCAACGTGGTGAATAATCTGTGTCTAGATAATGGCAGCCATTTACCTGTTGCCATATCACCAATATTTGATGAAACACATACTCTTTTTTTTGCCAACAAATGCTTTCATCATGCCTCTGGAGACACCTGAGATACATCGCTTTAATGACATTGAAAATGCATTAGTGTTGAAGGAACACTGCAGACATCTTAATGAAGTTGTGATGGTGCCTGGAGGATTCCTTCGGTTTAGCATTATCAATGCCGACAAGCAGGGGTAGTCTCAGTATACCCTGTTTTTTGTTAAAGGGAAACTATAGTGCCAGCAAAACAAACTTGTTTTTCTGGCACTATAACCACCCCTGTGGTGCAGAAGTGGTTAAAAACCTTCACTCCTTCCTTGCCAACATCAGCTGGTTGGGGAGACCTAATGCACATACGCAGCAATGGCCACACTTACATTAGGATTTTCCCATAGAAAAGCATTATAGAAAGTCGATTAACAGCCCGGAAGTCCCTCTAGTGGTAGACGTGGAGTTAACCCTGCAAGGTAATTATTGTAGTTTCTTAAAAACTGCAATAATTACCTTTGCAAGATTAAAGGACCTGAAACACTGCACCCAGACCACTTCAATGAGCTGAAGTGGTCTGGGTGACTTTAATGTCACTTTAAATCACTTGCAGAAAAAAAAATCATAGAATGGAGCCCACAGACCCTGTGGCAAAACCACTACACTAAGCTGTAACGATTAGGGTGCATTGAGTGCCCCTTTAAATATGTTTCTGAGCTACAGCAATGGTGTGACCTCACCATTACTTTATATGTGATGTTTAAAGCAATGTGTGTTTTTTTTCAGTTTTGATTAAAAATTGCCAATTTGTTTTTACATTATGATTCCTATCCCTTTTGGCTCCATGTCCATGTACGTCATGAAGAATTACACTACTAAGCAAAAAGTCATTTGAGAAGTTTGAGGTGTCTCTTATTCCATCGGTTTCTTTATTTACCCCTTAAAGTATTACTATTGGGTCAGAAACACAAACATGTATTCCTGACCCTATAGTGTTAACACCACCATCTAGCCCCCCTGGGTCCCTCATGCCTCCATAAATATAGCAAAACTCTTACTGTATTCAAGCCTGAAGTTGTAACTCTGCATGCTGTTAGACTCAAAAAAAACAAGCTGTCTGCTGACATCATCAGAAGTGGTAACCTGATCCAATGACAGTGCTTCCCCATAGGATTGGCTGAGACTGACAAAGAGGCAGATCAGGGGCAGAGCATGATTCAAACACAGCCCTGGCCAATCAGCATCTCCTCATAGAAATGAATTGAATCAATGAATCTCTATGAGGAAAGTTCAGTGTCTGAATGCAGAGGGAGGAGATACTGAATATTTGGATGCATTTAAAGCAGCCATGACCCAGGAAGGATCTCTAACAGCTATCTGAGGAGTGGCCAGTGAAGTTATCACTAGGCTGTAATGTAAACACTGCATTTTATGTGAAAAGACATTGCTTACAGCAAAATGCCTGAAGTCAATGATTCTACTCACCAGAACAAATTCAATAAGCTGTAGTTGTTCTGGTAACTATAGTGTCCCTTTAACTGTATTTTAATATATGGGGAGTTTATTCACTAATGACTGAATGGTAGTGAATATAAAAACTGACACAAATAGCCATGCTGTGCATATAGTTGCTTGTAGATTTTCTTTTTCCAAATCAGCATGTTTTTCCTGAATTATGCAATGTGTTTTTTTATTCTATATTTAGTAAATAAACCAGTTAGTATGTCAGAAGAATGAGCATAGTTAGGGCTTGACAAGCTTACATTTCAGAAATGATATTGAATGAGAGCAGATTACAATGTAATGAAATCAAATAATATTCTAATTTGATTCTATTTGTAGATTTTTTGCAGTGTTGGCAGTTTGAATGTATAAACTGGCACTCCCTCTACAATGTGATTCTGTTCAAATCACACACTTCTCTCTCTCTTTTTTTTTGATTTCCTTTAGGAGGGCGTGGGGGTTCTAAGGTTTGTCAACTTTTCAACTTCTTGTGGCGCAGTGAACCAACACGAGGTATGCATCAACATAAATATATACCAGATGACAAATCTTTTCTACTCTATAGCAAATAATTAAATTGTTATTAAATAAAGTAAAATAAAATGTTAAAGTAATTGTCACTTATATTTTAGGATTCTGTGTAGATTGAGATAAAAAGAGAGGGGTTCAAAAATATGTAACCCCATAAGGACACAGATTCAGAAACTTGTCTTACGCTTAAGGACACAAGCCATTTTTGCATTTTTTGCTGTTTGTGTTCAAACGCAACTTTACTTTAGGGCCCCCACCCACCACTCAGCGGTGGTGGCCAAGGGGAGGACAATAGGTCCCCCCCCCTTATTTTACTTTAGGGTCCCCACCCGCCGTTCGGGGGGGGCAATAGGTCCCCCCTTCAGGTTAGGAGGGGGAGGGAGGACGTGTTTTTTTTTGTTTGTAGGGGCATAATTTACTAATACTAAGTAATGTTTACTTAGTATTAGTAAATTTGTCTGAAAGACCAATTAGTACTGTGGGAATTAGGGAGTTATCTACCTATTCATTGCTGTAATTACATGACAGGCTAAGTAATTTACATTTTATATGAATGTGTGTTACATTCAACACTTACATGTTGTAAGTGTTGCAAATGCTTACAGCTGAATCCTGGCTATGTTTGTATACTTTTTATTTAAAATTGTATACAGTGTAACATTCTTCTTCTTCCACTTGGTAAGTATATTAGTACTTAGGCAATACTGTGCTCCGGAACTTCGGCACGTCTACACTTCAGAATTCTGTAATTTCGGGACCTCGGCAATTCAGCACTTTGTCTATTCGGACATTCGGAAGTACCCGAATGTCCAAATTGCCCAAAATTCATCCGAATTCATATTCTAATTAGCATTTTCGTAGATGGATTTGTCTCATTTTAGGGTATTATAGCAGTGTTCAAATAACCCCACAGAAGGCTTTCATTTGATAAAGCAGACACCCCAGGGTATCTTATATGGTGTGTATTGTGCCTTAACCTGTCACCATTTTTTCACCAATTTATGTCAATGTTTGTGGTGAGGGGGGAAAAATTGCATTTTTACATATTTGTTGCATTTTGATTTCAAAAGAACGAAGCAAAAAAATATCCTGGGGTAGGATGACTAAATGTCTCCCTTTACCTACCAGGAGTTGTATGCCCAGTCTTCATATTGCAGGGATGTGTCCCTGTGCAGCAGAGAGTTAGATGTGGCCTGAATGTATGTAGCAATAGAGCATAGTTACTCTGTGCATTTTTAAACAATACTCTCAGGTTATAGCAGACTGTGAATGTTCTTGGTACAGAGGAAAATGAACAGCCAGCCAAAAGGTATAGTACTGGTAGGACGAAGGCACCCTCAATAACATGACATAATAGGAAAACTCACATTTCTAGAAACAGTAAAAATCACTTGTGTTCTTTTAAATTTGTATTAAAGATTTAGTTGATAATATCACTATCCAGTTTAGTTAAGGCACAGACTGGGCACGGATTGCAAATAACGAGGAGACATAGAAACATTGCTTAATTTCCCCTTTCTCTATATGCATTCTCTCTGCTGGCTGCCCAGTGCAAGGGAACAAGCCTATGGTAATGACTGACAGAATGCTAAGATGGCACCTAGTTGCAAGATCAAGAGGTATAGGTGTATACATTTATTTTACACCACTCACAATAACATATTTAGTAAATATAGGGGAAAAGCAAACATAATATTAAAAATCCTGGGAGGTGTATGTTCGTAATAATCACTAGTGCTAATCTGAATGTGATGGATGATTTACAAGTACTGGCAACATGTACTGTCTACCCTCTATCATCTCTATGGTGCTCAAGAAAAAAAAGTGTGCTATCTTCTGGTCTTTCATATTTTCCCCCTCTCTCTCTCTCTCTCTCTCTCTCTCTCTCTCTCTCTCTCTATGCAGCCATTTTGTGTCTTTGAGATATAATGTTTTGTTTCATTAATTCAGTACCTTCGTATTTAAGCAAACTATTGATTGAGAGTACTTAATAACTTGTTTCATGTATGTGCTGCTGATACAACTCAACAAAACATCAACATATGGGTTATAGGCCCAGAGTAAAAGCTAAAAGGATGGCCATGTTTACTGGATCTGTGAACATTATAGGAGTTGCTGTGTGTTCTCACATATTCAATTAATCCCTTAAGGACACATGACATGTGTGACATGTCATGATTCCCTTTTATTCCAGACGTTTGGTCCTTAAGGGGTTAACCTGGTATGGAAGTTCAGATTGCAGAATGAGCTTGTGAGACAAGAGCTGCAATCTCTACGTATGTGAGTAAGTTATGGGAAGGCTTAGAGGTATTGTCTAAATATAAGACTTTATAAAGAAAACTGTTCAATATGAAGTCTGAGGGAGGAGATCTAGAGAAACTTCTGAATCAAATGTCAGAGTTACTTGATCACTTAGCTTCTTTTCAAAAGAAATTTGATGACAAAGACAAAGTGATTATGATGTTATCAAGTCTTCCAGAAAACTACAATTCATTAAAGGGACACTATACATTGGGTACCTAAACATTGAATTGGTCAATATAGCTTTAGGATACATGTTTGTATTCCTAACGCTACACACTGATCAGCCACAAAATGGAAGCCACCTACATAATATCGTACTGCCAAAACAGATCTGATGTGTTGAGGCATGGACTCTACAAGACTTTTAAGTCCTGCAGGTTAAGAGGTGGGGCCTCAGATTTGTTGTTCCAGCACATCCCACAAATGCGTAATCTGATTGAGATCTGGGGAATTTGAAGGCCAATGGAAACACCTTGAACTCTTTGTCATGTTCCTGAACAATTCTTACAGTGTAGCAGGGTGCATCATCCTGCTGAAAGAAGCCACTGCCACCAGGGAACACCACTGCCATGAAGGGGTGTAAGTGGTTTGCAACAATCTATAGAAAGGTGGTACATGAGAGTACCACCAACAATGCCAGGACCCAAGGTTTCCCAGAAGAATATTGCCCAGAACATTCACGGTCTCTGCTAGCCTGCCTTTTTTCCATAGTGCATCCTGATGTCATCTCTACCCCATCTCTACCCCAGGTAAACAGCGCACATGCACCCGGCCATCCACCTGATATAAAAGAAAATTTGATTCATCAGACCAGGCAACCCTTTGCATTGCTCCATGGTCCAGTTCAGACGCTCAAGTCCCCAATGAAAGCGCTTTCAGTGGTGGACTGGAGTCATCATGGGCACTCTGACAGGTCTGTGGGTACACTGTGTGTTCTAACACCTTTCTATCATGGCCAGCATTAAGTTTTTCAGCAATTCGAGCTACAGTAGTTCTTCTGTGTGATCGGATCAGATATGCTAGCCTTCGCTCCCCATGTGCATCAATGAGCATTGGTTGCCCATGACCCTGACAATGGCGCACTGCTTGTCTAGCCACCATTATTTGGGCCTTATCAAAGTCACTCAGTTTTCACTTGCCCATTTTTACTGCTTCCAACACATGAAATTCAGTACACCAATTAATCTCATGTTATCTGCCTTTTAGGGAGGGGGCAGGGAGTGCCCTCGAATTCTGTGTCTCCAGGCACCTGACATGTAAAGCTGGCCCTGGATAGAACTGTTGTAGGTAAACGTTTGTATCGATCTACAACTTGCAGACCTAAGATTGCATCTGTAGTCAGAATATTGTGCAGAAACATGAGCTCTCACAGTCAAAGACCCTGTATTGCCCTCAATAGAGTAGTGGGATATCTCTAAGGATCTGTTTATTTTAAACTAAATTTATCAGCTGTTAATAGATTTTTAATATTTAGTTTTATGTGTGTTCCCTGCTCTGACCTCTACATGATGCTACAGTGTTAATAAAACTCTTTTACGTTTTATCAGTTTGAAAATTGTTATTGTATTGTGGGTGGATTTAGCCTGTGCACTTTGACATTTCTATACTAAATTGTTTTGTCTTGTTAATTTTATAGTTATTATTCCAGGTTTCAAATAAGCATTGTGGTATTTCAAAATCATAAAAAAATTTTTTTTTAAATATAGAGTTTAAAACGTTCGGTATTTTCTAGAGTCTGACTTTGTAATATGATACTATAGCCAGCCATTGTTTGGTTAATTATTTGTTTATTTAGTTATCTCAATAGCAGATCCCCAGTCCATGGTCAATTTAAGTATGAAATAAAATTAAGGTTTAAAAATAGCTTTAAAATTATATTATTTTATATATGTTTGCATGCATGAACATCTGCAAAAGAATTGGCCAGTGTTAAATGCAGAATGTACAAGGGATATATACGGTTTCTTTAGGTGTTTATAGTGTTTGTGTACATAAAAGTGTTATCTTATGATTATAGCTTCGGTGTGTATCTATAAAAACCACCACTATCCCAAATCACTATGCACATTTAAATAACTCTAGGCGTTTTGGTATCACTCCAATGGCCATTTAAGTGTGAGCTCACCTGCCACGTCAAGGCAAACCTGAGTCCTACACTAACAATTTAACTTGCTGTGTTCGAATGAGACAGAGTGGGTAATTTTTCTAAGACCCTACACACTTATTAACCCTTAATATGATACAGATGGGCTGGGCAGCATCACTGTAACATGGCTTTGTGATTTTACACAGCAATGTGAAATATTACACAGCCATCTCATTAGAGTTTACCTTTTAGCTGAAAACAGCAAGGTGAATTGTTAGTGTTGGACTCATCTAAGAGGTTTAATATATAATAAAAAAATTACGTGGATTTTATTTTTATTTTCCATTTAATTTTATTTATTTCCACAGTTTTTTTATTTTCATGGTGCATTGTGTGTTTTTGGGCATAACACTAATGTGGGCAACAGACATTAAGAAACTATTAAATAAATACAACTGGATTTCTAGCACTTTTGGTAATGTTAGTAGGCAGCTAGGACAACCCAAGCCAGAGTCTCTTCTGTCTGGTAGTAGGTAAGATGCAAGATAAGAGAAAAGGGTGTTGCAGCGCCTTGTGAATGTCTTCTGGTCCATATAGTGCTCAGTGCATGTAAAAGATAAAAGGACAGGAGACACAATTTAGTGTAGTAAGTACTAATATTTGGTGAGGAGAATATTGAAATGCACTTACAATTTTTAGAGCTTCTGATCAGCTCCAAATAATAGCACTTGGGCGATATGAGTGGTTTTTAAACACTTTTGAGAAAGCCTTTGATTTGGCAAAATGTGTCAAGTGTATTTTTAAATGTATTTTTATATTTTATGTAATAAAAAGAGTATACTTTGTATCTACTTTGGACCCCTAAAAGATTTTATCCAAGAGGACTCCAGAAATATCCTTGGTGGCGATTATACCACCTACACCAAGCATGTCAAACTCGCGGCCCACAATGAACATCTTTGCGGCCGCGAGTTTGAGACATGCTTACTAAGACAGAGTAGACACCTGCTCTCCTTACATTGCAGGTGCCTCTGCTAAAAATTTACCCGGCTAGGGAGGAGAGGTCCCTGGCAGCAGCCAGTCTTCCTGCTCCTCACTGCACCCTCATGCGCGAGGGTTTAGTGATACAGGGTGCCAGAATATGATGTCATTCCGGCATCCGGCATCACTACAGAGGACACGTGCAAGGGAGCAGTGAGGAGCAGGAAGACTGAGCTCCCAAGAGAAGATCCCCACTAGACCCCAGAGAGAGGCCCCACATCATCTCCCAAAGGAAAGGAACAATAAAGAAAATTATGTTAGCGTGTGTGCAAGAATGTGGAAATGTGTGTGTGTGTGTGTGTGTGTGTGTGTCTGTCAGTGAGTGTGTGTGGGTGTGTGAGAGGGCCGGAATTGGCAGGCGGAACCAGTGTGCAGGGATTCCTGTTTTTGTTGTCAGTGAGTTTGTGTCTGTCAGTGTGTGTGTCTGTCAGTGTGTGTGTGTCAAGGTTAATACTCCCCAACACGCAAATCAGAGAACAATAAAGGCAAGCACAGGCAGACGTATTACTGGACCTTAAAGTGGCCGGACTTAACGTAGGAATAAGAGATAAGAATAGTCAGACACGCCAAGGTCAGGGATAAAGAGGTACGGGTAAGCAAATAGACAGAGCCAAAAGTTCAGGGAGCCAGAAACAAGAATAACCAAATAACAAGCCAAAGTCGGAAACCAAATAAAGACAACTAATCAGAACGCACTCTTGGGCTATAATAAACCACGACAGGGCAAGGAATTGATGTCAGAATGAGGTTAATATATGGCAAGGTGTATTCTGATAGGCAGGGACAGAAATGAGGCAGGATATAAATAGATAGTAGCAATAGGTTACTATCACTTTAAATGCTGTCACATCACCCCTGTCTGCTACCGCGTGCGCACATCCTCGGACGTCCTCCCAGACGCTTGCCACGCCAGCCAGGGATCCGCACCGCATGGCAGGAGAGGACAGACGGCAGTGTGTCTGTCAGTGAGCATGTGTTTGTCAGTGAGTGTGTGTCTGTCTGTCAGTGAGTGTGTGTGTGACTGTCAGAGAGTGAGTGTGTGTGTCTGTCAGAGAGTGAGTGTGTGTGTCTGTCTGTCAGAGAGTGTGTGTGTCTGTCCGTCAGAGAGTGAGCGTGTGTGTCTGTCAGTATGTGTATGTCTGTCTGTGTGTGCCTGTGAGTGAGTGTGTGTGTCTGTCAGTGAGTGAGTGTATGTGTCTGCCAGTGAGTGTGTGTCTGTCAGTGTGTGTTGGTCAGTGTTCCGATGGCCGCGGCTGGACAGTGGAGGACCTGGAGGGGCACATTGCAAAGTGACGTCAACGTGCTCCACCTTCACAGATTTTCAAGGATTAGCGGGAGGATCCGCTTTGGCACAGGGTGCAGACAGCGCCATTTGGGGTATACCAGAGGCTGGACCCCAGAGTCGCATACTGGCAGCGGCAATGTGAGTGGCTAATATTGTTTTTTTTTAAACAAGGCCCGGGGTTTAGTAGAGGGGGGGTGCTGGAATTTAGTAGAGGGGGTGGGACTGGAATTCTAGTAGAGGGGGGTGCTGGGATTTAGTAGAGGGGGGACTGGGAATTAGTATGGGGGGACTGGGAATTAGAACAGAGGGGGACTGGGGTTTAGTAGAAGGGGTGCAGTAGAAGGAGTGCTGGGTTTTAGTAGAGGGGGATGCTGTTTCTTTTTTCATACTGTACTTTTCAAAACAAACCTACGTTTCTATGAAAATGTTATGTTTATTTCTTTTGCGGCCCACATAAACTTAAACCCTGCTTATGTGGCCCGTGCTAGCCTTTGAGTTTGACATGCTTGACCTACACTATTTGGATTGAGCAAAACCATTTTTTGCTATCCTTTTGTGAGTACCTCACTTTTTTACTTTCTTTTAAGACAATTTTTTTTTTTATCAGTGAGCACTGGCTGTTTTTTATATTTCTTTTATACCACATCTGCATCGGTGAGCTACTACTACCCACGCCGGGACTCCCACACAGTGAATCCGGAAAAAATTGTTGCTGCGCCAGTATATCCACAAGTGGGGATCAAATCGCCCAAGTGCTACTATTTAGAGCTGATCAAAAGCTCCAAAAATCTATAAGTGCATTTCAACATTCTCCTCACCAAATATTAGTACTTACTACACTATATTGTCTCCTGCTCTTTTATCTTTTATATGCACTAAGCACCTGTCACATATTCATCCGCTTATAGAAATGTGGTTAATGACATTTACTGTCCACACAGGAAAAGTTGTGCAGAGCAGCAACCTAATCCACAGAAGGGTTAATGCTGAGCAGCAATTACAGGGAGTGCAGAATTATTAGGCAAATGAGTATTTTGACCACATCATCCTCTTTATGCATGTTGTCTTACTCCAAGCTGTATAGGCTCGAAAGCCTACTACCAATTAAGCATATTAGGTGATGTGGATCTCTGTAATGAGAAGGGGTGTGGTCTAATGACATCAACACCCTATATCAGGTGTGCATAATTATTAGGCAATTTCCTTTCCTTTGGCAAAATGGGTCAAAAGAAGGACTTGACAGGCTCAGAAAAGTCAAAATAGTGAGATATCTTGCAGAGGGATGCAGCACTCTTAAAATTGCAAAGCTTCTGAAGCGTGATCATCGAACAATCAAGCGTTTCATTCAAAATAGTCAACAGGGTCGCAAGAAGCGTGTGGAAAAACCAAGGCGCAAAATAGCTGTCCATGAACTGAGAAAAGTCAAGCGTGCAGCTGCCACGATGCCACTTGCACCAGTTTGGCCATATTTCAGAGCTGCAACATCACTGAAGTGCCCAAAAGCACAAGGTGTGCAATACTCAGAGACATGGCCAAGGTAAGAAAGGCTGAAAGACAACCACCACTGAACAAGAACACACAAGCTGAAACGTCAAGACAGGGCCAAGAAATATCTCAAGACTGATTTTTCTAAGGTTTTATGGACTGATGAAATGAGAGTGAGTCTTGATGGGCCAGATGGATGGGCCCGTGGCTGGATTGGTAAAGGGCAGAGAGCTCCAGTCCGACTCAGACGCCAGCAAGGTGGAGGTGGAGTACTGGTTTGGGCTGGTATCATCAAAAGATGAGCTTGTTAGCCTTTTCGGGTTGAGGATGGAGTCAAGCTCAACTCCCAGTCCTACTGCCAGTTCCTGGAAGACACCTTCTTCAAGCAGTGGTACAGGAAGAAGTCTGCATCCTTCAAGAAAAACATGATTTTCATGCAGGACAATGCTCCATCACACGCGTCCAAGTACTCCACAGCGTGGCTGGCAAGAAAGGGTATAAAAGAAGAAAATCAATGACATGGCCTCCTTGTTCACCTGATCTGAACCAGTAGAGAACCTGTAGATTGCATCATCAAATGTAGAGATTTACAAGGGGAGGAAAACAGTACTACCTCTCTGAACAGTGTCCCAGGGAGGCTGTGAGGATTTGCTGCTACGCATGTTGATGGTAGGAGCAGATCAAAACACTGACAGAATCCATGGATGGCAGGCTTTTTGAGAGTGTCCTTACAAAAAGAAAGGTGGCTATATTGGTCACTGATTTGTTTTTTGTTTTGTTTTTGAATGTCAATGTATATTAAACTAAGCAACTTAAATTAAGCAAAAACGAAGCCTAAAAATACTTCCAAAAATATTCAGCTTTGATATTAATGAGTTTTTTGGGTTCATTGAGAACATGGTTGTTGTTGTTCAATAATAAAATTAATCCTCAAAAATACAACTTGCCTAATAATTCTGCACTCCCTGTACAGTGTAATGTGTGGATGTGTTGTTACATACAGTGTAATGTGTGGATGTGTTGTTACATACAGTGTAATGTGTGGATGTGTTGTTACATACAGTGTAATGTGTGGATGTGTTGTTACATACAGTGTAATGTGTGGGTGAGTTGTTACATACAGTGTAATGTGTGGATTAGTTGTTACATACAGTGTAGCGTGTTGATGAGTTGTTACATACAGTGTAGCATGTTGATGAGTTGTTACATATAGTGTAACGAGCGGATTCATTTTTTAATACAATGTAACGAGCTGATGATTGTGTTCTTGGATGCAGTGAAATGTGCTGACCGTGATCCTAGACACAGTGTAATAATACACTGCTTCTGATAATCCCAATCACAATGGAATGTGCTGCAATGCTTTCCATACAGCATGGGATGTGCTGCAATGCTTTCCATACACCATGGGATGTGCTGCAATGCTTTCCATACACCATGGGATGTGCTGCAATGCTTTCCATACACCATGGGATGTGCTGCAATGCTTTCCATACACCATGGGATGTGCTGCAATGCTTTCCATACACCATGGGATGTGCTGCAATGCTTTCCATACACCGTGGGATGTGCTGCAATGCTTTCCATACATCGTGGGATGTGCTGCAATGCTTTCCATACACCATGGGATGTGCTGCAATGCTTTCCATACTCCATGGGATGTGCTGCAATGCTTTCCATACACCGTAGGATGTGTTGCAATGCTTTCCATACACCATGGGATGTGCTGCAATGCTTTCCATACACCATGGGATGTGCTGCAATGCTTTCCATACTCCATGGGATGTGCTGCAATGCTTTCCATAGTCCATGGGATGTGCTGCAATGCTTTCCATACACCATGGGATGTGCTGCTTTACAAAATGTGTTGATACAAAGTTTATGTACACAGTGCAATGTGCTGCTCTATCCTTAACTCGTAATAAATAAATATTTATATATATATAAAGCATGACGCCCGCCCTTAACTTGTCCATTCTCTCCCCAGCCCTGCTCAGCGCCGCAGATTCACATCATACGAGTAATGTCTTTGTTTGGAGAGGGGGAGGGGAATGGGTTGGACTGTGGTGAAGGGACAATATGTTTAAGTCTTATGGTGGATGAACTGGTGGAGGCATGAACATTAGGTTTACTAAAGTAATTGAGGTTTTGGTGTAGAAATTAAAAGGTATAAGGGACCAAGTGGCAGTAATTACGTCCTATCCATCTTTCTGTGCTATACCCATTACTAGTGTCTTCCTCCGTATTAATCCTGTCTGTTCTCCTCACACAGTCTTACCTCCCTGTTTTATGGTGAGCCAAGTGACAAGGAAAAGTCCCCTTGTGAAGTGAGCCCTTCAGAACTGAGAAGTAAAGATGGGGTGAGTAAACAGAAACATGGTAGGCTGTGTTTAGTAGTGCCTGTCCTGGGGCTAGAACTGTTTGTATGTTGACGAGTAAACAATGGAGAGGGTTTTTTTTGCTTTTGTTTTGTTTTTTGTTGGGTCTAGGGTTATTGGTAAGCTGTGTAAAGAAACCGTGTAAGGTTGGGTAGTCATTTTACATCAGAGAGAAGATCCATGAGTGAGTTGTGTTGGTTGTTCTTGGTATACAGGAGAGGGATCTTTGTTAGTTGGGTATTCTTGGTATACAGGAGAGGGATCTTTGTTGGTTGGGTATTCTTGGTATACAGGAGAGGGATCTTTGTTGGTTGGGTAATCTTGGTATACAGGAGAGGGATCTTTGTTGGTTGGGTATTTTTGATATACAGAAGCGGAAACTTTGTTGGTTAGGTATTCTTGGTATAACCGAGAGGGAACTTTAAACACAAACAAATACTCAAAGAGTTTAAGGTGTCTAGGTGCTTCAGGACACTTATAGGGTGTGTATAGATATAGGTGTTCTCAGTCACCTTACAATAGAACAACAACTCTGGTAATTATGACACTACCACAAATGTATACAACACTCAGTGTAACACTTATAGTGAGAAACATATATATACTTCCCAGTAGTCACTTTCTGTAGTTACAACTTTGCATCTCCCATAGAATCTATCAGAAATAAATGTAACCACACATAGTGAAATCTGTATAACAACAGTATAATGGAAATAAAATATAACATTTCACTCACAAATATAGTGGTGTGCCAGGCTCTATAAAATCAGTATAAGGGTGCCAGTGGTTGGCTACGGAGATATCTCAGATGGAGATCCACAGCAATTCCAGAAAAAGCATTTATTGATATAAAGCAATAGTCAGGACATATGTAAGCAGTGTCCTAAGGAAAAACGTACACTACCGCAATATGCAATAAGTCCTGAATATAAATAATATATGTCCTGATTTTATTGTTTTATATCAATAAATGCTTTTTCTGGAATGCTTGGTTGGATATTCTTAGTATAACAGAGAGAGAATTTTGTTGGTTGGGTATTCTTGGTATACAGGAAAGGTAACTCTGTTGGTTGGGTATTTTAGGTATACAGAAGCGGGAACTTTGTTGGTTGGGTATTCTTGGTATAATGGAGACGGAAATGTGTTGGTTGGATATTCCTAGTATAACAGAGAGGGAACTTTGTTGGTTGGGTATTCTTGGTATAATGGAGAGGGAACATTGTTGGTTGGGTATTCCTGGTATACAGAACCGGGAACTGTGTTGGTTGGATATGCCTGGTATACAGAACCAGGAACTTTGTTGGTTGGGTATTCTTGGTATAATGGAGAGGGGACTTTGTTGGTTGGATATTCCTGGTATACAGAACCGGGAACTTTGTTGGTTGGGTATTCTTGGTATAACAGAGAGGGAACTTTATTGGTTGGGTATTCTTGGTATACTGGAGAGAACATTTTGTTGGTGGGGTATTCGTGGAAGACCGGGAAGGGAACTCTTAGGTTGGTATTCATGGTATACCAGAAAGGGAGAAGTGTTTTTGAGTTGTTTTGATGTACCAAAGAGGCAGCTTTTTCAGTTAAAAAATCTTGGTATACCTGGAAAGGAGGCAAGCCAGTTTGGTGCTCTTGATATACATGAGTGAGCTATGCCAAGTTGGTTATCTTGATATGGCAATTGGAAAATCAGCGTAGCGGTCTTGCTGTGGTGAACTGACTTTCTCTACCATACAGTATAGAAAATAAGGAATGCTACTTAATTGGATGATGTTAGCACACCAGGAAATATATTTGAGATTGAGTTGAACTAAGTGGTCTCGGTACTCCTGAGAATAAACTAGACAAAGATTTAGTGTTTTATGTTTTAGGCAGGATATCAAAGAAGAAACATTGGATGGATGGTTTTGGTAAACATATCTACTACACAACAAAACTAATAAACAAGCATTTAAAACCTCTTCCTTTCTTTTTGCTTACAGGGATTCTGCTCCTGGCTGAGTTCACTCTACCAGATAAAGTGAGAACCTCCCTTGGGGTCAGGGCTTGGGAGCACATGGTTTGAAATAGGTCCAGGTTGAGATCTACGCATAGTGAGATGAGAAGGCCACATTAATGTTTTAATTGTTTTCAACACAAGGGAGCATTATTGAGGTAGAATTGTAAGGTTTGTTAGTCTCTAATGTGTAATATTATTGTAACGAGTGTGGAAATTTTTAGATATTCTAGAAAAGGGCATGGTATTATTGTTAAAGGGGGATGTCAGGAGATCTTTGGGTTGGTTTAGGACAGTGAAGTGAAGGGGCAGTTTTGCTAATGTGTGTGATTCACGTTAATGGCAAGATGAAGGACTTTATTTTTAGGAATAAAGTAATTCAGTGGGCTCATATGAAGGGGTTAATTATCTGAGGAGAGGTGAAGTTAGGATGCATTATTTTGGGATATGGTTATGTGGAAGAGTTCTATTGTTTAAGGGGTTTCAGATGATACAATGTTATTGTTGGGCCAGACGAGGTGAGGAGGGTATGTTATTGGTATGGGTGACATATGGGACATGTCTGAAAGAGTATGGTCAGTAGGTATCATGTGAGAAGCTGTAGCATTGGGAAGGCTGCTGTAAGGACATGCTATTTATTTTAAGGGCTTTGGACAGGCAGTCTCAGGCAGGCTAGCTATATCAGTAAGGGGAATGTGGTGACGGGATGTCATTATAGCCAGGGGTGAGGTTGTGGGGTCTCAGATGAAGATGCATTACTTTGGCCAGTGCTGTAGAGAATGGGATTTTATTGTGTGAAATAGTTGAGGTTAGGAGATCACCGTTGAAGGTGCATTGTTTTAGGTTAATGCTATGGGGTCACAGTTTGCAAGCTTTATTGAGGGAGGGCTGTGATAAGCCAATGTTATTGGAGTAAGGTGTGAGGTTAGGAGGTCTTAGTTAAAGGAGCATTATTTAGGGGCCTAGATGATGATAGGTGTGGAAGCATGAAGGAGAAGATTCAGACTGCAACACTCTTTCCATTCACAGGGATGAGGAGATCCAAAGCAAATGTGGTGCAGATGCAATCACATACCTGTCCTATCAGCGCCACCTCCTTGTGTTGTTGCTGCTGGCTTGTGTTCTGTCTGTGGCCATCATTCTGCCAATCAACTTTTCTGGAGATCTGCTGGGTGAGTATGACTCTTAAGGCTCTGTCAGAAACCTTTGATATTTTTTGTATACATACATTAATGATTTAATATAGTACCTATGTTCAATGAAAGTGCAAAGGTCAAGCTAAAAGCTCTTTCCTGACAGAAATGGTAACTGCCCATATATCCATCCTGCCCAAACCTGGTTCAACACACCACATTCACAAACATTTGGCCTAGTAGACTAAACCCATTGCTTCTATGTTTGATTACTTCTAACGGAGTGGGGTTTTGGTAATAGCTGCCAAGCCTAAGACAATACTAGGAAGGTGACCTCACATATTACAGTTGCAGGAGGTCTATAAGTTTGACAGGTGGCTAGATTATCCCTTGATTTTAAGGATTAAAGTCACCAATTTATTGCACAGCCTATACAATAGAAAACTTCCACTTTTGTGGAAATACCTTCACAAATAGTCATAGGCGCACCTCCTAGTTTGGAAGAATAGCAGCTGTTAAAAGAAAACTTTAAGCACTAAAACGTATTGTAATGCTTATAGTGCCAGGTGTATCCCGGTACCACCAGTGTAAGTTGTTAAACAATTTAAGAATGAATTGACAACTTACCTGGGGTCTGCTATGCTTCCTCTGGACTCCTCTCTGTGTTATCCTTTTCTTGACAAATGGAATATGTTAGAGACACTATAGTTACCAAAACAACTTTACTTAATGATGCCGTTTTGGTGTATAGATCATACCCTGCAGTCTCACTGCTCAATTCTCTGCCATTTAGGAGTAAAATAACGTTGTTTATGCAGCCCTTGCATGTCATTTACATAGCTTTCCTAAACGCTTCCTGTAAATAGAGATCTAATGTGTGCACTTCCTTTATTGCAAATTCTGTTGTATTCAGAATTTCTTATCTTCTTCTCTGTTAATAACTTGCAAGAGCCTGCAGGAGCCTCCTGTATGTAATTAAAGTTCAATTTACAGAGCAGAAGATAAAAACTGTTTTTTTTTATGCAGTTGATTTCATTTAGGCTGTGTCAGTCACAACCAGGGGAGGTGTGACGGGGGCTGCATAAACAAAAGTGATTGAAATCTCATTTTGTGCAATTTAGGAGCTAAGAGGCATGATCTATACACTAAACCTGTTTTAGTTGTTTTGGTGACTGCAGTCTCCCTTTAATTACAAAACCAAGTCAGAGACACAAATAAATACCAGTGCCACAGTTAATTTTAATCACTGCCATTTTCACTGGATTAGTAAGAGAGAGCATACTTAGTTTGGTTTTGATTGTATGTTGTTCTTTTCTTTTAACTTTCTTCAAAAAATTTCATGTAAAACATTTCAATCAATAAGTCTTAATCCTGCTAACGTAAATGTGATGTTTGTGAGTGCCTTACTTATTATTTTTCTTCAACTCATGACAATAAAGGAACCCATTACTGCCATGTTGCCCATAAGACCACATATGCAGTCACCCACATTACTGCCATGTTGCCCACATATTCAGATACCCACATCTTTTGTTACACTTATACATTATAACCTCAAAGCGCTCCAACCAAATCACAAGCTGTCACTTTGTCTCTGTGTCTGCAGGTCACAGTCCGGCTCAGTTTGGTCGTGCCACCATTGTTAACGTTCCCACACAGTGAGTATGAGTGTATTTGACCCCGGATAACCTACGGCTGGATAACTTGCTCCTGTAACTTGCTCCTGTAACTTGCTTTATGTAATCCTCAGGGACCGGTTTTTGTGGGTGCACAGTGTGTTTGCGTTTCTGTACTTTGTGTTCACTGCTCTGAGTATGCGGCATCATTCGGCCTCTTTACACTACAAGGAGGATGACAAGGTAAGAGTCCAGCAACAATTGATCCCTTCTGTGGCATCCTCATGCATTCCACTTAAAAATAAATATTTTGTACCAATTGGTCACATACAAAAAGTAAATCCTGTTGAACAATGGGCCAACACAACTTATTATGCTATGAGTCATAGTGTGGCACAGAAAACACTAAGCTATCAGGGTGCAATCTGTGGACATATGGTTACATGTTTTGGTTTATTTTGCAGGTGGCAAGAACGCTGATGGTCAGTCATATTCCCCAGGAGATCTCGGATACTTCTCTTCTCATTAAACATTTCCAGTGAGTTCTTTCTTTTGTATTAATTTAAAAATGTCGTAAAATAGTTCACAATGTAAGATAGGAAGAACAGGGAACAACCCTTACCAGAGGCCTGACTAAGCAGCGCATTTAGTGGCTGCACCAATTCTTCTGAGTGAATGGAACAAATTCTCTCCCCGCAGAAGTAGGGTGATTTTACCTTAAAGGACCACTCTAGGCACCCAGACCACTTCAGCTTAATGAAGTGGTCTGGGTGCCAGGTCCTTCTAGGGTTAACCTATTTTTTAATAAACATAGCAGTTTCAGAGAAACTGCTATGTTTATGAATGGGTTAAGCCTTCCCCCTAATCCTCTAGTGGCTGTCTCATTGACAGCCACTAGAGGCGCTTGCGTGCTTCTCACTGTGATTTTCCAGCGCTGGGCGGGGAGCTCTCCTCCTCCGATCCTCCTCCGTTCCTCCTCCTGGGCTGAATGCGCACGCGCGGCAAGATTTTCACAGTGAGAGCACGCAAGCGTCCATAGGAAAGCATTGTAAATGCTTTCCTATGCGACGGGCTGAATGCGCGCGCAGCTCTTGCCGCGCGTGCGCATTCAGCCCAGGAGGAGGAACGGAGGAGGATCAGAGGAGGAGAGCTCCCCGCCCAGCGCTGGAAAAAGGTAAGTTTAAACCCCTTTCCCCTTTCCAGAGCCGGGCGGGAGGGGGTCCCTGAGGGTGGGGGCACCCTCAGGGCACTATAGTGCCAGGAAAACGAGTATGTTTTCCTGGCACTATAGTGGTCCTTTAAGCAAAACTGCCTCTTGTTTGACAGCTGGAAGTGATTGTAACTAAACCAATGTTTGTGTCACAGTGAGGCATACCCCAGCTGCACGGTGACTGATGTCCAGTTCTGCTTTGATGTCAGGAGGCTGATAAAATTGGACTCAGAGAGGTGAGCGACACAAAGTTGGCATATGTGGGGTTATTGGTGGGCACATACTCAAGGGATTATATACCGTTTGCCCCATCAACTCAGAATGAAATTTTAGTTAACAAAATTATACCGTCAACATTCTTCCTGAGCTAAATACTGCAAATGATTAAATATATCTGGATACATATGTACACAAGTAACTATATTATGACATATGATTTTCATGAAACCTTACTAATGATATGTTTTATTGTATGCTACACTTTTTAAAACTCCTTTCTCTAGCCTCATTGATTTAACTGAAAGAAATTAAAAAAACATATTTTAAAAATCAGGGACAGTAAGCAAGGTAAAGGCTTCCGGTATCAAAATGTCCTGTATAATATACCGCCTTCATACACACCTATACACTGTGTGCCGATAGCAGCCTGTATAATATACCGCCTTCATACACACCTATACACTGTGTGCCGATAGCAGCCTGTATAATATACCGCCTTCATACACACCTATACACTGTGTGCCGATAGCAGCCTGTGTAATATACTGCCTTCATACACACCTATACACTGTGTGCAGATAGCAGCCTGTATAATATACTGCCTTCATACACACCTAAACACCGTGTGCCGATAGCAGACTGTATAATATACTGCCTTCATACACACCTATACACCGTGTGCCGATAGCAGCCTGTATAATATACCGCCTTCATACACACCTATACACTGTGTGCCGATAGCAGCCTGTATAATATACCGCCTTCATACACACCTATACACTGTGTGCCGATAGCAGCCTGTATAATATACCGCCTTCATGCACACCTATACACTGTGTGCCGATAGCAGCCTGTATAATACACTGCCTTCATGCACACCTATACACTGTGTGCCGATAGCAGCCGGTATAATACACTGCCTTCATGCACACCTATACACTGTGTGCCGATAGCAGCCTGTATAATATACTGCCTTCATGCACACCTATACACTGTGTGCCGATAGCAGCCTGTATAATATACTGCCTTCATGCACACCTATACACTGTGTGCCGATAGCAGACTGTATAATATACTGCCTTCATACACACCTATACACTGTGTGCCGATAGCAGCCTGTATAATATACTGCCTTCATACACACCTATACACTGTGTGCCGATAGCAGACTGTATAATATACTGCCTTCATATACACCTATACACTGTGTGCCGATAGCAGCCTGTATAATATACTGCCTTCATACACACCTATACACTGTGTGCCGATAGCAGCCTGTATAATATACTGCCTTCATACACTACTAAACACCGTGTGCCGATAGCAGCCTGTATAATATACTGCCTTCATACACCCCTATGCACTGTGTGCTGATAGCACCCAGCATAATCCATTCCCGGAGATATGTTGCCTCAATTGAGGGACAATAGGGCAGAAAAGAGGGATAAGTGTATTTAGTCTCAACATTTCGACTGTCCCTACTAAATATGGACATTTGGGTGGCATGCTAGAGCTTAATAGGTTTGTGCATTCTGAGTCAGCTAAATTCAGGCCAATTGTCTATTCGGCCAAATTTTGTAAATGCGAAGCACCATATGTACGTTATACCCCAGGAGCAAATTGCTAGCACAGTGTGCGAATACTCGCTATTCAGAGTCCTGCCAGTGCCACCAAAAAAAGATAATTGATGGGGGGAAAAAGATAATGTTTAGGGAACAGTCACTAAATGTTGATTTTATTCATAGAAGAGACCAAAAATATTATATTTATATATTTAGCAAGTAAATAGAATATATAAATACAGATTTTTTTAGTATTTTTGTATTATTATTATTATTATTATTATTTTATTCATTTATTTTACTTCAACGCCTCCTCTTCTCTATTGGTTACTTTTTCCCACTTGATCGCTGAACTCAATGGTAAAATTATATTTTTATAGCAAATCTTTCAGTCTGCATTGCAGTTCACAGATTGGCCCATTTTCATGCCCTTTTTAGTTTGGCTAAATGTTTTCTGTAAATAGTTTTCATGAACGATGTTGAGCCAAGTCGAACTGTTACAGGAAAGAGTGTGTCGAACAAAAATGGGGAAAAATTATTTGTCCAAAAGGATCACTCCTGCCGTGCACAAGTCTAGCGCTCGTTCTTAGCTTAATGTGTTCTGTTTGTCACTCCCCAGGCGCAAGGCTATGAATGGACGCATGTATTTTGCTGGACGAGCTCAAAAAGAAGGAAAACTAATGATCAAAACTCACCCACTTGCTCGATTGTGTCGCTGTGACTGCTGGGGCTTTAAACAGGTGAGAAAGAGGCTAAATCGTGGAGGGATGGTGGGCCGGTGTGTCTGTCTGAGCTGTCACTGGATATGAGCCTTCTTATTTCCTTTCTCTCTTGTAATTAATTTCTGGTCTCTCCAGTTCACCCAGTGCTGGTGGTTGTTCGGTTTACGTTCATTGCGCATTCTTTTCTTCACTGCTCCCAATCTAACATTGACCCACATGTTCTGTGATCTGTGTGCATCTCTGTTGAATGTGGAAATAAGAGATTCTGCCATTTCTCTGATGTCTCCAGGTAGAAGCTGAACAGTATTACGCAGAGCTGGAGGAGAAATTGACTGATGAGTTTACTGCTGAACGGAACCGGGTCATGTTAAAGAGACTGGGGATGGCGTTTATCACCTTCCAGGATGAGAGAATGACTGCAGTGTACGTGGCTAGAACTCTGTAAACTGCAGGCAGCTTACTGTGAAGAAACCTCCCATCTGTATCACTGTCCGGCTGCATCAAATACGCCACATGCATTCTCCTACTTATAGCGTTCGCATTACTACTTCAACCACGTTTTCCATGAAAGCTTTACATTCCATACAATATTGGGGGGTGCGTTAATTGTGACGCCCAGCTGTATGTAGAATTCTAGGTCTACCAGAAGAAATTTAATTAACTAATCGCTGTGGTTGAAGAAATCCATTTACTACTAGCAGTACTAGTATCCTGATAGTTAGTAGAATTCTAGCAGTCAGAAAAAATATGTGTGAGGTGCCAAATCTACTTTATTATCAGACATGGTTATTGTTAAGGAGGAGATTTAAGCAAAATAGAGATGGAACAATGTAACCTAATAGAAATTAGTTGAATTTCTGTAACTGGCAATTTGGGTGGAATTAATCTAATTGTGATGGCTATCCCTCCTTTCAGGATTATACAGGATTACAGCCGCCCCCATTGCCGCCGGGCCCCCCAGCAATCCTCGGTCACGCCGATACTACAGTCTCACCAGTGGGAAGTGCAATACGCTCCTGCACCAATTGATATCATTTGGTACGATACCTCAAACTCTGACCACATTGTCGGCAGGATCTTTCCTGATAATATGTGAATCTTACTGATGATGTTACACGTATAACACTAATCATTTTTACTTTGAACACTGTGCCCAACAGGGAGAATCTGGCGGTGACTGGGACGGTCTGGTGGCTTCGCTTTGCAGCGTTGAATTTGGCCTTGTTCCTGCTCCTCTTTTTTCTCACTACACCTGCTGTCATCGTGAGCACCATGGACAGATTCAATGTCACCAATCCAGTGGAAAGCCTGCATGTGAGGAGTGTTTGGGGTATTCTTGCCCTTGACAGGCTTCTTCTGCTATCTACCCCTTTGTATCTTGTTGACAACTCTGGTGTCCCCCATCTATCCTTTACTTCCCCTCACTCTTGCCTTGTCTTCTGCCGGTCACTCAGACCATCTTATGTTCTTCTCCCTCCTCCCATATTCTCATTGTCTGTTCTTATTACTCACCCTTTACCCACACACTTACCCTTCATCTCTCCCTTACTCTCATTGTCTGAACCTTCATCTCCCCCTCACTCTTGCTGTCTGTCCATTCATCTCCTGTTCACAATGTTTCCCAAATATGTTCCCCATCTTACACTCCATTCATTCTTCCCCCCCACCCTGAATGTCTCACTCTCACTGTTCTCCGGTTTCACGGTTACCCTCACTCTCTTTCTCACAGAATCCAGTGATCACTCAGTTCCTCCCCACATTCCTTCTGTGGATGTTCTCCGTCTGCCTCCCATTTTTGGTTTATTACTCTGCATTCCTGGAGTGCCACTGGACCAGGTAACGCTCTCACACCCATAACAGGCCCCTATGGTTTTCTATCAACCTCACCCCTTTCCTTAAACATCATCCCCTATATCTTACACAAAAACAGAAATATATTATTGTGAAGTAAGTAGCAACCAATCTAAACTACAAATAATTTGATCCATTCTAAAACCTGCAAGCTAATATTTAGGCTGGTAGTGCTGAATACATCCAATGCATCTTTAAATTACCTTGTTTTAACCTCATCGGCTAAAAGATGATTTGAAGGATAATTTACATTTCATTTTAATTATTTTATCTAAAGTGCTTTAGTTTTGTTTTGATGCTAGGTCTAATGAGAATCGGCTGACAATGCACAAGTGTTACTTCTTCCTCGTATTCATGGTTATTATCCTGCCTTCTCTGGGTCTGACCAGGTACTTTCCACCCAGCAACTTGCATTCCTGCACAGCCACATGTTCTGCTTTCTGTATCCCCACTTCCCTTGTCCTTCTTTCTACTTAATGACCTCCCTCCTCGTTCTGCTTCTCACTCGTGCTCTCCTCCACTTCCCTCTTCTTCAACCTCCTTGAAGTTGACTTCCCTCTATGCTGTCTTTCTCCTCTATCA